GGCTTGTTCCATATTCTTTCTGGCAATAGCAATTGCCTCGTCCATCCTTCTAGCTAGCACTAGCGCTTTCTCTCGATTCAGCTTGGCGCTAGGGGTGTTGTCGCTATCCGGACGAGTATTCTAGTCGAAATGAAGTACGGGAGCGGTGCCGTACAGCACTTCGTGGGGTGACATTCCTATACTAGCTTAAGGGAGGCATAGCTAAGCGTAGTCCATTATAGGGAGCATATCTGACCAATCGTCCTGGTAGTACGACACAAATAGTGTTAATCTAGCCTAGAGAACTTAGTTATAATTCTCTGTTTGGCCGTCTGTTTGTAGGTGGTAGCTAGTCGAAAGCGTGATCTTAGTGCCTATAATACAGCAAAGTTCTTACCAGAACTTAGAGATAAATTGAGGACCACGATCACTAACGATCTCCAGAGGGCGTCCGTAGTATCGGAAGATATTCGTGAGAAATAAGCGGGCTAGTTGCTCTGCATTAATTGTCTTGTAGTAGGGTATGGAGACAGCTTGCTTACTGAGACGGTCGATGATTACGCAGATACTATCATAGCCGTACTTATCAAGAGGGAAAGAGCAGAAGTCTATAGAGAGTTGTTGCCAGGGGCGTTCTGGAATCGGCAGAAGTTGTAGTAAGCCAGGAGTCTTGTCTCGAGGAGAGGAGGCTCTAGCACAAGCATAGCAATTCCGTACGTACTAAGCCACATCACGGAGCATGTGAGGCTAGTAGTACCTTTAACGGAGGATCTAGTACGTCTTGTCTCTTCCAGGGTGGGCTATAAGCATCTAGTTGTAAGCTTCTCGAATCAGGTGCACTCGTAGATAGTCTTAATCAGGTACAACCAGCCTATCTTAGTACAAGAGCAATCTATGCTTTAGCGAAAAGTCCTCATCATCCGGACGTTCAGCTTGTAGCCTGAGGGCAGCTAGCGTTCCTGCTTCCCGGTTAGCTTGCAAAATGCGGTCGATCAAGTCGAAAGAGTGCTCTATAGTAGCTCTATCCACAGGGGCTAAGGCCAAGGAGGATATCCGTAACTCGCTATAGATCTGAGGATCTAGCTTGTTAGCTGTAAGGAGTGTTTGGGTACGAGAGGCTTCCTTAACAGCGTCTTGCGAGCTTATCTCATCACTTCAGCGGGTTAAAGCGTCAGCTTTGAGGTTGTCTTTACCAGAGCGGTACAAGATAATGAAATGGAAGTCTACTAGCAGCTCTGCCCAACGGGCCTGCCTAGCTATTAGCTTCTTAGATGACATAAAGTACTCCAGGGCTTTGTGATCGGTGTAAACCTTGACAAGTATAGGGGTGGAGGCTAGTTCAGCTCTCTATTCCTTCATAGTCTTCACAATAGCCAGCATCTCCTTGTCATAGATCTCGTAATTCAACTCAGCAAGGGCCATAGTCTTAGAGAAATAGGCTACAAGTAGCCACTACTCTCCATGCTTCTAGTTGAGGATTCCTACAACTACACCATCGGAGGCGTCCGTTTCTATCATACACTCGAGCGCGGGGTCGTAGTGTTATAGAATTGGTACTATAATAAGCTATAGCTTAAGCTTCTCAAAAGTAGTCTCACAATCGCTATTAAAGTGGAAGGGGACGTTCGCTTTCGTAAGCTAAGTTAAGGGAGCTATAATCCTTCTATATTCCCTAATAAATCGGCGGTAGAAGTTGCAGAAGCCTAAGAATGACTATACGCCTTTAACCGTACTAGGGCGCTTCTATTCCTCTATCACTCTCGTCTTCTCTAGGTCTACAGATATGCCTTCTGTACTAATAATAAAGCCCAAATACTTCGTACGAGTCATATTAAATTCGCACTTCTTGAGGTTAGCTTACAAGCCGGCGTCTTAAAGTCGTTATAGCACTTTTCTCACGTACTCTTCGTACTCAAGGGGATTATCGGAGTAAATAAGGATATCATCGAGGTAAGCAGTACAAAAATCGTCTAAGTAATCAAACAATATATTGTTCATATATCGTTGATATGTAGCAGGCTCATTAGTAAGTCCGAAAGGCAGGACTTTGTACTTGTACGCTCTATAGCGAGTACAAAAAGTAGTTAGTTCTTCCGAACCAGAGTGCATTCGGATTCGGTGGAAGGCTTGGCGTATGTCTAGCTTTGTGTAGATCTTCGCAGAGGCGATTCGGGCGAGAGTCTCGTCGATTAATGGCAATGGATACCGGTCTTTGCGCATAATAGCATTTAGCTTCCGGAAATCGATGCAAAATCGTAAGGCTCTACTAGATTTCTTTACAAAGAAGACGAGTGCTGCGAATAGGGCCTGGCTAGGTTCAATGAAGCCCTTAGACAAGTTGTCTATTAAGTATTGCTTAGTGACTGCTAGCTCTTTAGTGCTTATCTTGTAAAGAGGCGTAAACTAAAGCTCCGCTTCGTCCTTCTTAAGGGCGATCTTATGGTCGTACGAGCGAGAGGGAGGCAGTGTGTTAGAATCGTCTTTAGAGAAAGCTCGAGCGAATGCTTAGTATGTTGCTAGGATAGACGGCTCGACTTCCTTGATTTCTACTCCTAGCCGTGCTTCTTAATAACGCTTATCCTTAATCAACCGATCTAGCTCGTACAAGCTAGTGGTAAAGAGCTTAGTATCTGGCTAGCGAAGGTTGAGGTGGAACGCTTCTAGCGTAATTAAACAGAGGTCTACAGCTTTTGGTATTGGTACGTAGTCTAATAGCTTTGGAGGAGGCTGCGGTGGAGTTGGCTTTTGACTCAGCTTTCTAGACAAGGCATTATCCATCTTATGCATATTATCTCGGTTATCTAGGGACTAGGTACGCTTCCTAAGTAGTCGGGGCACATAACTTTGCGGTTTTGCCGATATAGGTGGGGGCGGACGAGCTAGTAGTGGCTTTTTTAACATAAGCTCCTCTTTTGGTATAGGTAGGAGGCTTAGCACTTTTGGTAGCGTAGCACTAGGCTCTTGTAGCGGCGGGGACGGTAAAGGTAGGCTTAAACTATTGATATTTAGCTGAGCACAGCTATGTTGAGCACTACTTCTTCGTTATTGATCCTAGATCTCTACTACTAAGTTACGATAGTCGGTATCTAACTAGTCTTAGCTTTTAAGTCCAACTAGAAGCTTTCTCATATAGTAGCGAGGCACGTGCTTATCGGGCAAAGTAGATCGTACGTCTAAAGGCGTATAGTCCTTTAGCTAAAGGAGTTAGCGCTTAGCTACGTTTAGCTTGACTTAATACATCTCTAGCTAGGTGCGGCCTAGAATAATATCATAGGAGCCGAGCTCTATAACCAAAAAAGGGACTAAGAGCTGCTTCCTTCCGTCTATCGTGAGGTGGAGGCGTAGGCAATGAGAGATAGCTTGTCCAGGTCTGCTATTAAAGCCTAAAACAGAGATAGGAGAGCATAAGCGCTAAAACTTAGCACTAGTAAAGTTCGCAAAGTCGCGGGCAAGGGCAGAAGTAATGAAGGCAAAGCCATTTGCTCCAGTGTCGATGAGAGGGTGAACGGTAGTACTAATTGTATTAAAACTGATAGTATATAGGTACGAAAAGTGTGTTCTACCCATTACTGCTCGTAAGTCTAGCTTTAAGCAATCGACAAAGCGGCTTAAGAAGGAGACTTCCCTTAGGCTACGCTATTTCCTAGCATAAGCTGACTTATGTTGTCTTTATCGTCTTCTACCTCTTCCTCTTCCACATAGCCTTAAGGGTAGGTTGCAATCTCTTCTATCTCTAATACACTCTCTATGTTAGTAATATCCAAGTGTATAACCGAAGGGTAGTCCTTCGCAAAGTGACCAATCCTCTTGTAGTTGAAACACTAGCTAGTCTTTGGGTTAGGAGGAGCTACTGACTGCTAGCGGCTAGGAGTGCCTTGCTAATGAAACGTAGGGGCAGCAGGCTTGGGAGACGATCGAGGTGGTCCGGGCAGATAGTGTTGTGTTGTCCTGACCGGTACCTGGGGTCCTTGGACGGTGGTAGAGCGAGCTTCCGCACGAGACTTCCTTAGGGTCGGCACTAGCTTCGTCTGAGCTATGTGTGAGAGTTCGAGGTCGGTCTGCTCTACTATAGCGCAGAGGTTGGTAAAGCTTTGGCGTATGCTATACACTTGGCTTGTAATAGCGATACGGATGCGGGGCGTAAGCTTAGAGCGGAAATCTGAGAAGAGCTAGTCTCGTAATATCCCTACTTGAGCTGATAAAGTGAGAAAGCGGATCTTAAACTATCGCACAGTCTCAGTGTCTATTATAGCCAAAGAGCAATACTCGTCTTGCTTCTTTAAGGATTCGAAAGGGTCTACATAAGCTGTAGCCAAGGACTGAACTATCTCTTCCAACGTACGGAACGCATGGTGGACTCTTCGTAGAGTGGTAGGGAAGCGAGTTAGCAGTTAAGCTCTAGCCTTACTAGTAGTACGACTAAGGGCGTAGTTCATCCGTTGTTTCTCTAATACGCTAGGGTCTATATAACCTGAGGCCTCGAGCTTAGAGTCCAGGTCGATTATCTACGAATCAAACGTAGGGTCTTCTCTATTGTTAAAGAGAGGTGGGTCAGGGAAACGATAGTTGGTCTAGAGTGCTGGCGCAATAGACTTAGTTTGAGGGGCAGGCGTTAATTGGGTAGGGATCTCGCCTCTGTAGCATCTTGCAGATAGTCCTCGAAAATGAGGATGAGTCCGTCTGTTGCTGTCTGACGAGGAGTCTCCTGAAGGGTCGTCCGGAGCAGCGTTTGAGGCGAACTGGGCCGGTCTCAGATCGGGGCCCATAGCGGGAGTACTATCCGCAATAGTACTGGCGCGAGTGGCTCTATCTCGAATAAGCTGTTACCAAGCCGCTTGGATCAAGGCAAGGAGCTCAGGATCGTCGTCTGCAATTTCGGCAGAGAGGGGTTAACGTGAGGGGCTAACGTGAGGGGTCCGAGAGGGGGCACCCGGCGCAAGGGTGAGATTTTGCCCTTCGATTGAGGGTCTTAGGGAGGGTACGTCGTCCGAAGAGACGGCGTCTTCGATGGGGGAGCGTCGTACACTCATTCTTGTAGGCGGAGGATAGTAGATGATTCGAGGAAGCTTTCGAGGGCTGGCCCTTTGAGTAGAAGTAGAGGTGCGTACTCTGGGGGAGGAAGCTTCGTTATTGTCGACTATATCGAATGGCTCTGTAGTCTAAGTGTCGACATTCGACATCGGGGGTCTAGTGGTGCTGAAGATATAACTAAGGATATACTCTTCGCAGTATACGTCCAACGCATATAGTCTCTAGTCGGATATTCTTTATTATGCCTTCCCAGGCTAGTAGGGGGTTGTTTGACCTTTAGATAATGTGATAGCACACTTGGACTCAAGTACGTAGACGAGGAATCGGTTAGGCTATCTCTTAGAATCTAAAGGTAAAGAGGAAAGAAAGGAAGGAAGCGCCGGAAGGCAGGGCATATATACAGGCGAGCGGTCACGTGAGTATTTCGTAGCGGGCACGTGACTCCATAACCGTGACAAAATTAGTTTAATAATTTATATTTAAAAATTTTTTTTTTGTCACGGTTCTGGAGTCACGTGCTCGCTAAGTACTCACGTGACCGCTCACCTGTATATATGCTCTGCCTTCCGGCGCTTCTTTCCTTCCTTTCCTCTTTACCTTTAGATTCTAAGAGATAGCCTAACCGATTCCTCGTCTACGTACTTGAGTCCAAGTGTGCTATCACATTTTTAATTTTTTTTTAATTTTTTAATTAATTTATTTTAATTTAATCTGCTATTTTTTTATTATATTTTATTTCGTTTAAAATAATTATTATATTTTATAAAAACATTTTTATTTTATAATAATTATAATAATTTTATATATATTAAATTATATTTTATTAATAATATCGTCAGCTGTTTGCTATATCTCCAGGCTTTGCTATTTGTAGTATAATATAACTCTTTTACTATCGCGCAATCCTCTTTTCTAGTAACTTATACAGGGGATTCCAGAAGTTACATCTCTAAGAGGGGGTTCCCCAGATCGCTTTCCTTGGTCAAAAGTGCGGGCTCGACAGGTTTAGATTCACTCGTTGCAAACGGATATTAACAACACCTTCACCACGATCGAAGAGAGCTACTCCAAAGTTCAAAAGGCAGAAACTTCGCAAAGGCTTTCTTTGAAGCACAATCAACAGACGAGATAATGTCATTTTACGACAAGTGGTTATTCGATAAATTTAACTGTTCCATGTCCTTCGGGTTATAGTACAGCCGTTTATCACACGAAATACGATCACATAACACTAATTCCCCGTAAGAATACTGCGGTAATACTTAATTTCAAAAGGCCAGGCAGAACCAAAAAGAGCAGAAAAGCGTTGGAAGCAGTTAGATAAACACTAGCTAAAGAACCTCAGAACACCTCAGGCAGATTCGGCCCCCACACCGATAAAGTATTCGGACCCTGATCTTCTTGCCTCAACGCCTTTGTATGAACGTTGACCAAATCGCCATCTGCATAATGCTCAATAGTAAAGCCACTCGGATCCTTCCAATAATCAAAGATTTGCGAGCCCAAAACATGTCTTCCTACACCCCAGACCAATGTGTAACCCTTGCTCAGCAAATGCTCGTGACCGAGAAGCTGGGTATCGAAATCGTCGACTTCGAATGAGGTGTGATGCATCATGGTAGCCGGCATGTCGGGCGGTGCACGGGCAACAAATAGAGTGTGATGATCGGTGTACTCCTCTCCAAGATCGAGATGTAGGAATGTCATCACGTCCATATCAGAGTTGCCGGGAGCGTGGAGAACATCTGAGGGGACGAAATTGAACTTCTCCGTGTAGAATGCGACGTCCTCGTCCCACTTCTTGGAGATGAAGCCGAAATGTCCGAGTTTGTGGATCATTGCAGGACCAGGCTTGAAACGTTGAAACTCGCCTGAAGTGCTTCTGTTAGCAGTCTCTCTGTAAAACGGGCAAGGACCCGAGTAGTACCTTTCCTCGATTTCTCCAAACTTGTGTTAAAGGCACCCTTGTGGACTTCGGTTTTCGAAACTGCAGTCTTCGCCGCCTCCCTCTCTTCCTGGCCGAAGGCGATGTGAATCTTGTTCCCAGATGGTATAGGAATTGAGATCATCTTACCACCACCTGGAGCTTTGCTAATGTCCGACACAACCGCATTTTCAAGCGCTGCAGCCTTCTCAAAGTCTTCCTGGGTCTTCGCAATGAAAGCGCCGCCTCCAAATTCCTTCTCGGAGCCACTCTTCGACGCAACGTAGATGTAAGGATCCTTTCCGTAGCCTCTATAGTATATCTTGCCGTCGACTTCCGCTACTTCTTCAAAGCCGAAGTCTCGAGCGAATGCCTGGAATTTGCGAAGATCTGGATGTCCGTGGTAGACATGGCCGATTCGAATCAATTGGATCTTGCTGGAGTTGTTGACGACGGGAAGTGGAAGCACGGAAGAGGGCATTGTGATGGTGTTCGTAGTCTCCAATGTAGAATTCAGATGATGAAGACAAAGCAACGAGTGAAAGAAAACAGGAGTATAAGGGTTTGACGACAGTAAAATAAGGTCGTTGTTTGCAATTTAGTCCGTGCGGACTGCTGTGTGGAAGAGAATGTGGTAGGCTTATGATGAGCTTGTGGAAAGGTCTTTCGGCGGAGGCGAACTTTCTTCGGTCTCGGACAACTCACGGTACTATCTAAGATGAGATGACATGCACGAATCGAATTAAATCAATTTATTGAAGAAAGAAGTGGGTATCCCTGGCTCCAGCAAGGATTTAGAAGCCTTAGACCTTTCAGGCCTTCTGTGCCTGCATTCCTCCGTTATGTTGCGGAGGATCTGATGGAGCAACTCAAGATTCCCCACACTTTGGCGGGGTAACTCACAAATTTCACATTACCCCATATTCCAAGTTCTTCACACTTCCGAGCCCAGCCAAACCCCCCTGGTATTCATGAGCAACGAAGTCTGACAATCTAGCCCTGGGGCAGAGATCTCGGGTACGGGAATGCTCGGGTGGATAAAATGGGCTACCCAGACGTCCGAAGTTGACAAGACCAGCTATTCCTCCACGGATCATGACGACTGTCTTGATCATCAACAAGTGTTCGCCTCAATTACTTTTGTTATTTGATCAAGACACCTGACCCTGGTTCGACTACCTTGCTTCTTATTCTGGACCCTCTACACCAGCACATCGCATTTCTCAACCCTTCAATGTATTCGTGGAGACTTGCGATGGAAGAGACAACAGTGCTCATTGTCGGTGCTGGCCCAAGTGGTCTTGCACTGGCTGTGAATTTGGGACGAATCAATATCAAGGCAAGATCTGCATTTTATTCATCCAGAATATATGTTAACAACTTCGGCAGACCGTCATTCTGGAGAAGGAATTAGAATTATCAGAGGACCCTCGCGGGATCGCAATCACGGGCGATGCGGTACGCATCTCGTACGCTCTAGGAATTGGTAATGAGCTGACGACCAAGATCGGTCGGAGTGAGATTTCCCACTAGGTCTGCTCTCAAAAGATCATCCTGCTGACCCCTCAATGCGTAATGCCTTAGAGACTGGAATACTTCATTTCCATAACAAAACATGGAACAACCCTGCCTTTATGTATTTCGATACCGACCATGACCACTTGCAACAGAGCGTCCCGAACGCAATCAACCAATTTCAACCTAATTACGGTATGCAATATCTATACGATTATCGAAAGGAAGAAAACTGAAAATTGTCTAGAAAGGGAGCTTAGAAAAAGAATTGTTGCATTGCCTACAGTTGATCTGCGCATTGGCTGCGAAGTGTTGGACCGCACCGAAGAAGAAGCAGGCGTAGTTGTCAAGTATAAAGACGAGGAAGGAAACATCCGTTCAATCCGAACCTCGTACTTGGTAGGAGCAGACGGGAAACGTGGCATAGTGCGCAAAAAGTTCCTAGAGCCCAAGGGCATTAGACAGGAAGTTGGTCAGTACAATCACGTCTCAACCTGGGTTGCTACAAATTTCGAGATTACTCTTCCCACACCAGCAACACACCCCGATTTCCCTCTCTGGAAAATCGGGTACTCCCCGGAACAAGTTTACGATGCGTTTTGGCCATCTGGATTCCAGTAGGTCTCCGGATACTGCGCCATCGATCTCAACGGGCAATGCTAACAGCCTGTAAAGCTTCGTCAACGACCCAAAGAGACCTGCAGCCACTGGCAGTTTTGGCCCTAAGGGTACACGTTTCTGGAGGTAAATGAGGACCACCTGGTGTGTCAATGATAGACAACTGATTCTACACAGACATGAGTACTCAGTCGAGGAAGGAGATAACCTAGACGATCCCATTGCTCATCTTTGGTCCCAAATCGGTCCGTGGCTTGAAATAGCAGGCTACAAATTCTCGTAAGACCCCATCAGTCTGGAGGCATCAATCCATGGCACAAGTTTACTGACAAATCACAGAAGCAAATTGAGAGGCACTATGGTGTCTTATCCGCGAGACTGTGTAGGTATACTACGCTGTCGCCCATTCACGTAAGCGATCTGCTGTCCACAATGAAAAACGGGACTGAAAGTTTGCAAAGTTTTGCCACAAAAGTTGTGAACCGATGGCACTGCAAACGGACCATCCTAATCGGCGACGCATCGCACGTATATCCCCCCTTCGGCGGTCAAGGCATTGCCTCGGGAGTCCGCGACGCACATAGTCTCTTCTGGCGCCTTGCGTTCCTCTCCCGCATGACTGTGCCGCCTGTCGTTCACGATAAATTCCTCACCGGCTGGGGCCACGAGCAAAGACAAGCATGTGACCACGCGACCAAGCTCACCAAGACAAATGGGAGCATCACCAATCAGCGCAGCCGCGTACTCGCCTTTCTGACTCGGACTCTGATGCGGTTGCTCTGGTGCTTCCCTGGAGTTCCGTTCTTGATGACTCGCTATACGATTGGCGATTCGTTCAGATACCAGCAATTTGATGGCTTGTTTGCTTTGAGAGAGAGAGGAGGCGGCTACAAGATGCCTCAAATCTGGATTCGAAGGGGCGACGAAAAGCCGCAGTTGTCGGACGAAGTCTTCCACCGCGACGCGTCTCGGCTGGCGTTGGTAAATATCGTCGAGGACGAAGATGATGTCGATGAGATCAGCATAGCCAAGACCATTAGGAGAATGGCTTTGCCGGGGGATCTTCTTGGGGAGAAGAATGTAACTCACCTTTGTCTCGGATTGGGCAAGAGCACAAAGGACTCGCAAGTGTATCGTCCGTGCAAACGAGAAGAGTTGCTGGCAGAAGGCATCGAACCAATGATTGGATACGATCCCCATACGCTGGCGAAGAGGATTGGAAGTGCGGCGAAATATGCCATCGTTCGTCCAGACTTTTTCATTCATTCTGTCGCTTCAAGCGTGGAGGAGCTTTTCGGCAACGGAAGGACAATCGCAGAGTATTTCATTTGAGGCAAGACGAGATGAAGATGGGGTAAATGCGAGCTGGAGGGAGAGGCCTATGTTATGGCTCTGTTTGTGTTCTACTAGCAATTACTGCGGAATCAATGGTCTTGTGCTCCTGATATTTAAAACTATTGACGTGGCATTATTCCCGAAAATCCAAGATACTATGCCGTAGAGATATCATATCCCCTTTTGATTATGACCTGCATATGAGCAAGCGATGTTCACAGACGTTAGCTAACGATGAGAGCCTCTTCTGCAACCGACATGATGGACTCCCTTGCCAGGAGTGCCAAGATGGCGTACCTTACGCTAGGAGGTCTGGAACCCAGTATTGCTCGCATTTGCAATCGTGCCTCGTTCATATGCCACTCCACACTAACAATTGATCCCACCAAATTCGTCCGCGAATGTGGCGGCGATGGGGAGGATTTATTAGCGGCGGAGGAACCGCTTTCTCTCCATGAGATGCATCCTGCAAGCGGCCCCACCATCCTGCCGTTACTGTAGTCTCCTAGGGGCGTAGCAGGATTGCGTCTCTTAACTACGGCGGCAGTACAGTAATTTCATCTTCAGTTGCTTTCCAAGTCTGTCTTCATATAATATATCTTTCCCATACCTGTCTCTGCTCGGAAGCTGTGCGTCATATTGCCAGACGGAGGAATATCCTAACATCAACAAGTACAGCAAAATGGTCCCCTGGGATAGTTTGATTCGCTTTGCGGGTGAGGACTCAGCCGAGTACTGGGCTGCGCTGGCTATGGATGAAATGCCCAAGGTTGGTCTGCAATTGGAAGGATTTGCCAGCATCGAGGACTTAGAGAGCAATAAGGGCGCAAAGAAAGTTACCGTGAAGAAGGTGCGAGCCTTCAGAAGCGGGAAGATGCTTTCAAGTAGCTAATTGCTCTCCCACATAGTTACTTGCACCGACGCCAAACCAGACGGACCCTATATACTGTATCGGATTGAACTACCGAAATCATGCCGAGGAGGCCGGGGTTAGTTGTACAGACTCGTCGTCTCAAAGATCTGGTTAGCTAATGTTTATCTATTCAGTTGACCATTCCAGCGAACCCACCAATGTGGTACAAGCCAGCAGCAGCTCTATCCAACCCCGATGAGGATGTCCCCTTTCCACTCTGCACGCAAAGCAATTTCCCCGATTATGAGGTACATCCTTCCAGCTCGTCGAATCGTTGGCAAAATCTTCTTACACGCACATACAGGGCGAGCTTACAGTAATCTTAAGGGGCCCCATAAAAACCATCTCCAAAGCCGATGCCGCTCCCTCAATCTTGGGCTACACAGTTGGGAACGACCTCACAGCGCGCCTTTTCCAAGACCCGAAGAGATCTGGTGGCCAGTACACGTTTGCCAAGGCATTCGACAAATTCGCACCTTTGGGGCCTCGCCTTGTTCACCCTTCAAAGTTCAAGCCCGGCGAGGCAACGGTTACGACAAGGTTGAATGGGAAAGTCATGCAAAACAGCCCGCTTGACTTCATCGTTTCTGTAGAGGATCTTGTGCATTTCCTTGCCCAAGGTGAGCTTCTCGGCCGACACCAGGCGCCCCAAAATGAAATTTGAATGCTAAATATCTCTGCAGGCACAACCGTCCCGTATGGATCGGCAATCATGACTGGCACTGCTGCTGGAGTTGGATGGTTCCACAAACCTCAAGTTTCCTTGAAGGACGGAGATGTGGTGGAGGTTGAAATTCAACCTATTGGAATCTTGAAGAATAAGATTGTCTTTGAGAAGTGATGGCTCCAGGCAGAAGACATACAGCGCCAGTGAGGGGATTTCGTACAGGGTCTTGGGTCGTTTACGACGATTTGGAATAAAGATCTTAATTTATTTAGCATTGCTCGAAAACCGCGTTTCACATTCAACCAGGCTGAATAGCTGACTTTACTGTGGAATGCGACTACGCACTGGTGTATTAATGACTAAGTCTTAGAGTACTCCATAGAGGACATGGGAATATTTAGCGCCTCGCAGCCTCGTTTCTGCGCCACGTTTCTTCGTAGATGCGGGGTACATAGTTACCGTAGAACATCCGGGCTTCATCATCTTATCTATTCCTCTCTCAAGGCACATTGCGACAACGGGCATTGATATCCACGACGTTTACACTTTCAAACCAAACATAGAGTATTTCCTACAAATGAGTTCTTCTCTTGATGGTCTGGATTGGGCTGCAATCATGTCGCCGAACGTTCAGCCAACGCCAGGGTTGATGGATATCGTACCAACGCCAACGACCAACGTTCAACCATCAACGTCACCTGGCGCCAGGAGAAACGAGAACCTTTCAACTCCAGTCTACAAGTTCCAAGTCTGTAGTAGCTGTCGACGGTGAGTAATTCTGATGCCCCAGGGACGTTCTTGAGTCTACCTTTTTCGCTAGCGAACTGACTCGTCCATCTCTAGGAAGAAGAGAAAATGTAGGCCCGACATAATCTGTCTCCAGTTGAAGATGAGACCAGCTAATAAGATCCAGGCAACTTGGAGAGGCCATCGTGCTCTTTATGTCTCGAGAATGGCTGGATATGCGAGTACCGTCACATGAAGAAGAAGCCTGGCCCTTCAAAGCGCTCAGGTAGCACTGTCGCAGCTGCTTCACCAGTCGTGGCTGCGGAACCCGAATTGAATACCAGTAAGTGCTCGACTCGTGGTACCTCTCGAATACTCATATGCGTCTCAGATACAACTTTCTTCTCCGCCGCAAATTCTCTCTCGACTATCAGCGAAAACGCAAAGAACAGATTGTGCGCCTGTCCTTCTTTGAGACTTGCTGGAATAGCCTGCCTGACAGAAATCCAGAGTCGATCTTTACTTCGTCCATGTTCAACCCATCCTTCCCCTATTCTGCAGAAGCTCCTTCGAACGAGACCTTGCCGAATGCAGAATACCGAACAAACTCATTTACGCCCTTTTCACTGTTTCCTCGAGGTTCGCTCCTCTTGAAGAAATTCTTGTTCTACTCGGATCCTCGAATAGCACGCCATGGAAGAGCTTTGCGCGCATTGCAGACCAGGAGAGCCAGGCACAGGAGGGGAATACACACATAACTCTCAACGATCTCAAAGCCGACGTTCTATTGACGCTGTATCAATTCACCAGTTTCCCAGGCCGCAAAGCTTGGATGATGGTCGGGACCTTGATGCGCACGGCATTTGCAATCGGGCTACACCGCATAGATTGCGGCATACCTAATCCAGATCTCACGGAATTCGAGCTAGAAGAGCAGCGCTTTGTATGGTGGGCTGTATGGAAACTTGATTCCGCTATCAACAGTATCACGGGCTCGCATTTCGGGATTGACAGTCATGGCATCGGCACAGCACTGGTATCAACATCTGTTGCAAAATTCACAGCAGGCGGTGTTGTAAGATCCAATTCTCAGTTCCTTCCGACAGACTCGTCGAGATCATGGATGAACGCTCGAGAGATACTGACCACGGATACTGATGACGGAATGAATATGCACCTTTTGTCAATCTGCTTTGTTCGGGCTGTATCGCTATGCCGACAAAGTTTACATGCAAACACAACCCCTGAGCTCATTCGGCAATTCAGTGTGCTAAGAAATGCGCTCCCATGCATGCGATTATCCCTCTCTGAATGGTATTTCGACCCATCGATGCAATCTTTGGAGACGGTGGGCTCACATCGGGCTCGCCTGGAAACTCTGCTCCTAATGCACATGTGAGCATCAATGCCGTCCTCAATGGAATCTGTATTGACGAAATTGAAAGGTCTCAAGTCCAATGCTTTCTTCCTTTTCCCAGCTCAAAAACGGGTGACCTTCTCGGAGATGATAGCGTCTCGAATTGGAAAATTTCCGTGGCAAGCGGAGAGGGCATTGCCACTATTTTCCGTCACTGGAAGCCAGAATATTTTGCTGTCGCAGATCCATTTGTTTGCTCAACGATCTGGTTTACCATGTGCATGTTGAGTCTACACACGATGTCCATCTATGGACAGTCCGAAGCGGGTCCAGATGTGAAAATCTCAAACGCCTTAGACCTCCTGAATGTCGCATTGGGAAACTTCGCACGACGATGGGAGCTCTCGCAACGTTTGCTAGGTATGTCAATAATCGTACGGTTTTCTTGTCCTACTTCCTGACATCTGGACAGACTCTGCGATACAGCTGCAAAGCTGGAATTGGCTCAAGATAGACTTCTCGCAAATCTTGTCGCTGATGGCGCAGCTTCACACGCCCTTCGATCCATTGAAGCAGGAACCTGCAGGTATCGACATGTGGCAAATAGTCGGAACCATGAATGAATATCAGTAGAAGCGGAATCCGCACGGCAGGGCTTGGAGTAAGTGGGGTTTGGTAGTCAGTAGACTTATTAGCAAGTGGAAGGAATCTGATACTTCTGGGGTAAACATCTTTGATTGCCGGGCTTTTCTGCCGTACCATGCCGGGGATCATCGAAGTCCGGCAGCAGCTTCCGGATGAGATTGTGGGAAGGCAAGCGCTACTGCGAACTCCCTAGATCCCTGGACCATGTGGAGGAATTGCGATAGGCGGGTGACGGGATACTCCGACGCTAAGCCAGGGCTTTCCCCGGTTACCCGGTACGTGTTCGGGATGAAGCCTCGGTATTCGGTCACAGGTACTTGACGTTTCTGACAATCTATTTTAAAGGGCACGAACGAGTTGGGCACGATTGTAAGCTTTGGCGAATTTCTTGTAAGCTTTGGCGAATTTCTGAACAGTCGAAGAGCCACTCTCTTTCAAAGTCAAATCATGGCGGCCACAACTGGAGAGGTGCTATGGAGGAATCCGGCTCCGGAGAAGACCCAAATGTTTGCATTCATGCAAGCTTTGGGAAGAGAGAAAGGGCTGGATCTAAAGGCAATTAATTATCTCAACTGTTGGCCCTGGGCTGGGACATTGAATCGTAGCTAACCACTTGCATTCGCTACAGACGTTTGAGGATATTTACGACTACTCCGTCACGAAGCACTCTGAATTCTTCGACTTCGCATTCCGGCATTTCAATTTTGTACATGATGGAACGTATTCGGAAGTCGTAAACAAATCGGCTCTAATCGAAACGGTACCAGAGTGGTTCAAAGGCGTCAATGTCAACTTTGCGGAGAATCTGTTGTACAGCGGCACATAAGATGGACCTCGAGGAAAGCGGTCCACCAGAGGGAAGGAGGATGACAAGATTGCAATCACAGAGGTTACGGAGAGATATGAGGCGCCTAAGCATATCTCATGGGGTACGCTACGATCGGAAGTCATGCAGATGGCAGAAGCCTTGAGGAGCGTTGGAGTGCGACAGGGAGACCGCGTTGCTGTTGTATCCGGCAACTCGATCAACAGTGTGAAAGTCTTCCTTGGGATAACTGCATTAGGTGGCATCTTCAGTAGCTCCTCTACAGACATGGGAGTCGCAAGTATTCTCGACCGATTGGTGCAGTTGAGGCCGAAGTTCATCTTCTGCGACGACGCAGCTGTTTACAACGGGAAAACCATTGACCTGCGAGAGAAGATCAAAGGTATCATAGAAGGGCTATCTGGCATCCAAGAGTTCGAAGGAGTCGTGGTCATGCCACGATTCATTGCGAAATCTTATGACTTAAGTAATGTTCCACGCAGTACTTCCCTTTCCAAGTTTCTTGGGCGGAGGAACAGCTCGGCGGAAACTGCGAGATTTCAGTTCACCCGAGTGGCATTCCAGGATCCTTTCATCATTGTCTACTCATCCGGCACAACTGGATCGCCAAAATGCATTGCACACTCGGTCGGAGGGGTGCTTCTGAACACTGCAATCCACAATCAACTGCACATCGACCAAGGCCCTGGGGATACTGTACTCCAATTTACGACAACAGGATGGATCATGTACCTACTTACCACAGTTCATCTCATACACGGAGCACGACTTGTTCTTTACGATGGGAGCCCGTTCTATCCTAATACGATGTCATACCTCGAGTTGATCAGCCGGGAGAAGGTGACGATGTTAGGAACATCACCGAAATGGATAGGGGAAGTTAAGAAACAAGGCATTGTCCCGAAAGATCTGGTAGACATGTCCTCTATTCGAACCCTTGCTTCGACAGGAATGATGTTGCCGGATGCGCTATTTCGATGGATATACCAGAAAGGATTTCCACCGTCGGTTTATCTAGAGAATGTCAGTGGTGGGACTGATATTGCGGGAGCCTTTGCATGCGGCAATTCTATCACGCCTGTATATGTTGGTGGAATGCAAGGTCCTCAGCTTGGTATGGCAGTCACAGTCTTTGAGGAGGAGGAAGGTGTAAGGCTGAATGGAAGACTCGCACAATCGGGAACTCCGGGCGAGCTCGTCGTAACAAAACTTTTCCCAAACATGCCGACTTCATTCTGGGGCCCCGACGCGAAGGAGAAATACTTCAAGTCCTATTTCGAGAAGTTCAACCATGTTTGGACGCAAGGCGACAATGTGCTTATGATTCCTGGAACGCGTAGGCTCATCTTCGTGGGGCGGTCTGATGGAGTTCTCAATCCGGCTGGCATCAGATTTGGATCCTCTGAGATCTATACTATCATCGAACAGAAGTTCCCTCAGGTATCTGAGTACGTTCCCATCCCTAACTGGTTGTGTTCGCATCATGCTAACCACCGAAGTTCGATTGCCGTGGGACAAAAACGTCCACAGGATAGTGACGAGCGAGTTCTGCTTTTCCTAAAGATGCAAGACGGAGAGGAGTTCACACCGAAAGTGGTGGCTGACATCGGAAGCGTGATTTCCAAAGCTCTGAGCCCAAGGCATGTACCGGCCTTCATCTTCGAGACTCCCGATATTCCGGTAAGGCTTCATCTCCTCTCTGTGGCTGATAAAGCGCCTAACATCTTTACAGACGACGATCAATCTCAAGAAAGTCGAGCTTCCTGTCAAGAAGATCTTGTCCGGGAAGGCCTTCCAGCCAAGCTCGACTTTGGCTAATCCTGAGAGTCTGAAGTTCTTTTACCAGTTCATAGATATCGAGAAGATGGCTCCTCCAAAAAGCAAGCTGTGAAAGCTGTACCTAGGCGTTTGACGGTTTGAAGCACCAATGTAGACTGTATCATTTTGCATATGGCGTTTTATAATTATTGATGTTTTATATTATCCTAGAGACTTCAACATTAAGATCTTGGTCATCAGTAACATTCCACTTCTGCAATGTGTGCGTCGCACGTGCAAATCGAAGAGATAATTCACGCTGGGCGTATTCAGGGTGAAATTTGGTCCAGGCGTGTACATGCTTGGAATTTGATGGCTGTTGCGGCGTCCGGGACCTCCGCATCTTCACAGTGGTCGGACTTCACAGCGACTGCTTTCTAATTGGAGGCTCAGCAAGCGGATGTACAATCTCGGCTTTTTCCCGCGGAGCATCTCATTTCGTGTTCCTCCGCCGTTTCCAGATGCCTCTGTTGAGATCCTTGAGGCGTAGCCCCACCACGCCCACCTCATCCTCGTCCTCCGAATGGCCATAAGACTAACACTAATTCACCGTTACTTCATGCCTGTTATGATGCGTGCTAGGTAGATAGTGTCGTTCTGACCCCACATTCGAGATCAAAATGCCGCTACCCGTGGACGGGCAAGACTAATATAATAGCCTCTCCCAAGCCAGCTTCCAGCAATCATCGAACCCATAGAATATAGCACTCGTCTCTCCATTGAATCATAAGCTTTCATACTTTTCAGCAGAAGAGAAGCACGTTGCGATCATGTTGAACCTACATCAATTTACAGGTCTGGCTGCGCTGCTCCTGTCCTTGACATGGATCGCGAGCCTTCTACGCGTTCGTTTTCGTCCTGGACTTCGCAACATCCCTGGTCCATGTCTTGCGGCATATTCGAGGTTGTGGAACGTAAAGATTGCTGCTTCGGGAGATGCACACGAGAGCTTCCGACGTCTGCATGAGAAATATGGTAAGCTGGTTCGCGTTGGCCCGAATCATGTCGCCATTTCAGATCCAGCAATGATTCCAGTCATTTACGGCACGAACAACAAATACCTAAAGGTAAGCCTACGCTCTACACATTTGCGGGATTCGGTTTGGATGTCCATCCTGACGGGTGTTAGACTGGCTTCTACGACCCTTTCGCCACACCGTATGCTGGAGAATTAATGCACAGCATGTTCTCCATCACAGACATCATTCAACATCGGGCTCTCAAGAGGGGTGTTGCAAACAAATACTCTCTATCCTTCATGAAGGAATTTGAGCCTCAGGTCAACGACTGCACCAACAAGTTTGCTTCCATCTTGCATGAATACGCCGACTCGAACCAGATTTTCGACCTTGGCACGTGGCTTCAGTGGTATGCATTTGATGTGATAGGAGCCATTACCTTTAATCGTACATTCGCTTTTATGGAGGAGAGAAAAGATATCAACGATATCATTGCTGGAATTGAAGGCGGGCTTTGGTATGGCAGTATTTGTGGTCAAATCCCAAATTTTCATCCATGGCTGTTGGGCAATGAGCCAGTAATGAGCGTCCTTTCGGACAACATCGCCGCAGTTGAGGCAGCAAACCCAGTTCCGAAGGTTGTGAAGGTATGTGACAATATTCCCCGAGCATGTTGTCAAGTTTAAATAAGCCTAATCGAATATTGCTTAGATTGTAGAAGACGCGATCAAGGATTACGACACACAGAATTCAGGCGACTCAGATCGAACTGATTTTCTGGCCTTGTTTCGAAAGGAGAGCGAGAAATCACCGGACAACATGCCTCACCGCAATCTCATGAACCATCTCATGAACAACCTGTAAACCTCTCATTTTCACAGAAACACAGCAAATATGCTAAGACCTTTCAGGCTCGCTGGTAGCGATACCACCGGAATCTCTCTGCGGGCGGTATTCTACTACCTGATCATGAATCCCAGATCGTACGAAAAACTTGTCAATGAGATCTTGCTCGCAGATCGTGAAGGCAAAGCGTCAAAGAATATCACACTAGCAGAAAGCTCTCAAATGCTCTACTTGTAAGTTCCCTTCATCGCCACTTCATAGCAGGGCGTGCTTTCTGACTCCACCAAGGCAAGCTTGCATCAAAGAGGCAATGCGTCTTCATCCCGGCGTCGGCTTTCCGCTCGAGAGATACGTCCCTGAAGAAGGACTGAAGGTAGATGATGTATTCCTTCCGGGAGGAACTATTGTCGGAATGAATGCCTGGGTGGTCCACCACGATAGGATCATTTTTGGTGATGATGCGGATGAGTTCCGCCCAGAAAGATGGATTGAGGCAAAGCCAGAGGAATTAGGAGTGATGGAGAAGTGTTTCCTGTCAGTACGTTACCTCACCCTAAGCTTTGATCCTGAGATATGGCTCTAACTAAGAGGTGTACAGTTTGGAGCCGGTACGAGGACTTGTATTGGTATGTTATTATTCGTGTCCCTGCTCGGGAGGCTTTACTGATTATAAACAGGGAAGAACATCTCGATGATGGAGATGAGCAAGATGGTGCCGCAATTACTAAGAGACTTTGATTTTTCGTGGGCTTCGGAACAGAAAACTTGGCAGATAAAGACGTTTTGGTTTGCAAAACAGTCGGGCGTATTTGTTCGGGTTCATCCCAGGGCTAAGAAAGAGGTTAAGGAATCTTTATTATAGCAAGAAAATAATAAGTATAAACACAGCCTGCCTTTGCTTAACCGTTATCCTTGCTTATTGAAGGAGCTGAAATAGGAGGATAAAGGAAAGCTTATAGCAGGAGAAGAAGTAAAGTCAAAAGTAACATTTTCGAACAAAGGTGCACGCTGATTGATTGATTGATTTTAGTCATACACGGTTCCAGCCATCCGTCTGGATAGCTATGCCGGAATGGCCTAGCTTTGGCACCAATTGCCGAACTGCAGCTGCCTCAGTAAACACACCTCACTTCATCACACTCGTGTGATCAGCAACTTCCTCCACTGAGTGGTCTGGCTTCTATCTACGCATACATACATATCCGTTGATAAAAGTGCTTTGCTCGTGACTTTGGTATAAGGCCTTGACTCGGCGACTAACTGTCTTCTTATGTCTGCGATCCCTAGATACCTGGCGGGCTACGGCCACAGTGAAGCCATGTTACAACTCTGCTGACCACAGCAACCGTGATTCCACGACCTTTCTAATCCTCACAAGGAGAAACCTTCCCAACAACGTTCTCTCTCGTCCAAACTACCCCGTATACTCCCGTAACCCCTGAACCCCGAAGACCCCGAATCTCCCCAGATCGTGTGGTTGAGTGTGCCCTGTGTAGGCCAAGTGGCTACTGTGTGCTTTGTAAATTGGTGATGGCGTTTCGATGAGAGGTTTAAGAATCCATTGGGCAGGACTGCGGTTGCTGGAAGTAGTGATGCTCATCCTGATCCACAGAAGTGTGTGTACCGTGTGTTTGTTGTACTGTATTATGTATAACGTTATCGCATCTGAGATCTGGGTGGTCCAATCGAGGCTGTGTTGAAGTAGGAAGACCCCGAGGAGGAGTTGCTGCCGGCTTATAAGAACGCTTCAATGTAGCCACCTTCCTACTATGCTAATCACTGCCCGTGATCGCTCCCTAGCACAATCTCATCTGCTACTATGACCGGAGCCGCGCGTGAGCTGACAGGCCCTAAGGACAATCCGAGATCGAATCGCAGTCGCTTTCGAGGTTGCCGTCGTCACTCGCAAATCCATCGTCCTATTGGCCACGCTGTTATCTTGAGCATGATGGGGTGGCAGCCGTATGTGACAAGGTCTCTTCGGGAGGTTATATAGAAGCGCACGGCACAAGTGCGAGTTAGGTGGAAGCCGACGGGTTTGAAGAATACGTGTCAGCGAGGGAACTGGAGGAACGTTACTTTGCGGGAAAAGACGAAGGGGCAGATGGAGAATGAGTACTTGTACGAATTCTTATGTAGAAGATATATGGGTCAGGAGATCTGGATATTATGATCTCTGGTCCTTGAGGTGTGACACAATGCCATGGCTGGGTCCAAAGTCGACACCTTTTTCTCCACGCTATGTTGTTGTGCCAGAGGAATGAAAATCCGACGTTGACGGAATTTGTGCGCCGCTTTCCGCCGATGTCAGCCGCGATTTACCCCAGCACAGTCGGAGAGCTGCTGGATGGGTCTGAGTGTTTACTTTGGTAGTTGAAGTAGCTACGGGACTCTCGCCTCGCAGGGATGTCGGTTAAAGACCTTAAAGTTCGCGTAATTTTGGTGATGGGCGGGGAACCTGATTGATTAGATTAGGCTCTGAGGCTCTGCGCATCTCAGTTGCTGCCCATCGGCGAGCCTCCTGTTAGCGGGATAGTTTCAGCACCAACATAACATCGACGGGATTATTAAAGAAACCAATATGGAAGAACTAAGAGACAACAAGCCAAGCACCGTTGTCAAGATCGCTGCAGACGGCGATGTTATTCTGGTTGTTGGGCCGGAAAAGGTGAAGCTTCGTGTTCATTCGCTATTTCTGAAGGCAGCCTCGAAACCCTTCTCCGTCATGTTCGGGCCCGACTGGAAGGAAGGCCATAATATGCTCGGTCGGGATGGGCCAGTAGAGCTACCGCTGCCCGAAGACAATGCCGCTGCGCTCAAGCTTATCTGTGCCATCATCCACCACCAGAACAACAAGGTGCCTCAATAGCAGGAATAAATGACGGGACTGGGATGTGTGTTTACAGGTGTGGATGGACAAGTAAATATGCATATGCATATTTAAAGTTGCTAGAAAGAAAGGACCTTTGGCCAGCGCGCTTGCTCCATATCTCTATCTCTAAGGCAATAGAGTTAGCAGAAAAGATGCCTGATCCGATCCCGGAGGAACCAAGTATTGCATGCACGTATGGGTACAAGCATGCTGCGCCAGAGCATACTAAAACGGAACTAGCGAAAGGGAAAATTAATCCTGAGTCTATGGGCATCTGCGGCCGCCGTCTGATTTTGTTCAAAATCCTCTCTTTTTGAATAGACGCTTGGATTCACTCCTTCACCAGCATCACTGGCTGCTGTTTATTTCTGTTTACAGTATTCTCGCTATGACAATTAAATTGTATTTAAAGATTCTCTGCCGAGAATGCTGTTCCATATTACTGGGCAAATAATACTTTAACTGGAAATAGCTATTATTTCGATGGAGAAATGCTAAACACCCGCGAGCGTCATGAAGTAGAGACTGGTGCAGCGCTCCAACGGACAGGCAGTTTTAGCGTGTCCGACAAGAATTGTCCGTCTAGGCTGGTGATGGTTCTGTTTTTAATATAACCATCATCTTGATGCGTAGTAACGATTATTAGCCCCAAATAATTGCTGATATCCGGCTACTCGTCTACTACAGGGGGTAGAAGCTGAGCTTGAGGAATGGGGAGATTAGCGGAGATTAGACCTTAAGTAAGGTTCTGGAGCCTAAAAATTCTGAAATAGGAAGACTAAAGTAAGAGCTTAAAATCTGAAGTTAAAACCTAAGGTGAAAGCTTCAAGCTTGAGGTTGAGAATATACTATTAACAGTTTTTATTGTCTTGGTAGTTACAACTGTTTGGAACCGTCTAGAATCTTTGTGGTGACGGTCATCTGTTTTTACAGAACCGTAATAGTACGGGTAATGATGGTTTAGGGCAAAAAACTGCCCGAACTACTTATTGGGAGCGCTGGAGTGCGGACATTGAAGGACAAACTTCTTTACAGCGCCGCCCTTCTATGTTAGATTCATTCACATCTTACGTCCGCAATGTCTTCGACTCAGAGAGATCAGCAACAACAAGGTCAGGTTATTGTGAAATGCTGTTACAATAACCACAAGAGCGCAGATGCCAATTTCTCGGCATTTTCGGCCGCCGGCCGCCGTCTATTCCAGTGCAAAACTTCTCTCTTTGACTCACAATTCAGATTCACGTTTTTCAACAACTTTGTCGGAAATTGTGTTTTTTGCTCCGATCTAAATATAAATAGACTTGTTTCCCTTAGATTTTGAGAATACGACTGATAATAAACAACGAAAAACACCAGACAACTTAGTAAAGTCGGTTCTGTAAGTGGAAATACTCTTTCCTTCGCAATTGTAAAATAGCGAAAAACGTTCAAGGGAGTATGTTCAAGCGAGTGAAGAACAATTTGCTGTTGTTATTGGTAAAGTTGAATTGCTGTCGTTGTCAATGGAATTATTATTGTCGTTACTTTATTCTCCTATGAGTCGCTAAACTCTGGCGTTGACATGGTTCACTTCTGGTCATGTTGCGCCTTGGTGCCTCCAATTTTATTTGGTACGCAGTTCGGAATTACGTCGCAGATACTTTATTTTATAGTTAGTTCTAATGTAGAACTCTTTATATAACTGGAGGCTTAGATTCACTCCATTTGACAGCCTCGTCGGCACCGGGTTTCTTTTTTCCGCCTTTCTAGGCTGAAGGTTTATATTCACTCTATTTTATAGCTTTGTTGAGACGTAAATTGCTTCTCCCCGCCTTTTTTTTAAGTTCAAAGGTTTCATTTTCTTTATTTTATAACTTTGTTGGCACGGAAGTTACTTTTTCCCGCTCTTTCTGAGCTAAAAGTTTGTATTCACTTTATTTTACAACTTTGTTAGGATAGAAGCTACTTCTTCCCGCCATTTTAAGGTTGAAGGTTTTCGTTCACTCCATTTCACAGCTTTGTCGGGACGAAACTTACTTCTTCCCTCCTCTTCTACTTAGGTAGGCTGAAGGCTTGTATTCACTCCCTTTGACAGCCTCGTCGGCACGGAAATTGCTTCTCCCTGTCCATTCTTGGCCGAGCTTGACATTCACTCTATTTGAGAGCCTCGCCGGGACGGAGCTTGCTTCTTTCCGCCCGGTCTAGTGCAAAGATCAACATATATATAAAGACCTCCCTTCCCCCCAATTTCGGATTCCACGACCGTCAAGAACCTTGGTGAACGATTTGCATGGAGATGAGGGAGAATGGAGCAGATCTCGTCAAGATTATTGCTATACGATTTGCGCACAGGAGATTGAGCACATACCTATTTCGGATTATAGATGAAAGAATGGGATGTCATGTCTTTGCTAAGAATCTAGATTTGTTGTTAAACGTTTTACTACTGTCAATTATCTCCACTTCGCCTTTCATCTTGGATCCAAAAACTTAACAACTTCAAAGCCGCAATAGAGAAATGCGCAAAGGATTTCCCCTCTTTCTCTGGCCGTTCCTGGCTCACTCCTGGCCCACTCCATGATTTTGTTGTAGACTTTCTTTGTTTGTTGATTTCAGAAAGCGGACTGTGCGGCCGCTAGTATATATAGTTTTCCAGAGCTTGGAGGTAAAGAGAATAAATTTAGGTGTGAGGTCATCGCGACATCGTTGTGATTCAAGGTGATTGAAAGGCTCAGATTCACTGAAAAACAATAAAAAGAAACCCCCAAACAACTTTTCCCCCTCCTTCCTTGGCCGCTCTTGGCCCCTTGAATTCACTTCAGCTTGGCTCCATGAGCTGCAAATAACTCAGTTCTCCCTTCCCTTCTAGTTCTATATCATTTTGTCCATAAATAGGTCGACCTCTGTCTTCTTGTGGTCATATCACGAACTGTCCCTCGAGCTATACCAGATTAAGGGTGGAACTTCCCTGGCACGGCTGCTACTATCAAATTGGTACGGATCTTTAACTACCTGTGAACTACAACTTATAGAGACACCGTTGGGAAACTGTTGGAGCAAATCTCGTTCATAAAAGCTTCCACACAGGAGAGTTTTTCCTGAGTTCCCTGGAATAGGTTCTATACTAGTCTAGCAGTTTACTGTTTATTGTCATATTGAAACTTGCTGTCATGTCCTCAACTATTGTCAAGAAGCACGACTAAGAGTTACACCAAATATGCGGGGTTGGCTCGACCGGGCCAAACGTAAAGGAGGGGTCATGGACGGTAAGCGGAGAGAGAATATCAAGAGACGGGTTCATTGTGTTTGACGAAAAGGGACCGGGCTCAACTCGATTGCATTGGGGAGTTAAATATCGCTCGGTTGTCTTCAGTGAAGGGTGAGGTCCGAGTGGAAAGGCTTTATATATACAATAAGCAAGTTAAAGCTGCCCTATTCACCTGTATTTCCTACCACTCAACTTCTGTGGACAAGGGCGGTTGAAACATTGAATGTAAGGAATATAGCAACTGACTAGATTTTAATTTCAAATGCGCAAATCATTATGAGCTTGGAAAAACTGCCATTGGTGGAGGAATTCTCACTCTCATACCTGCTTTCGTACATAAAGCCTTCTACTGAGTTTGAGGTTGAATGAATTTATGTAAGTCAGTCGCTGCGGACATCGATTTACGCTTGTTCATGGAAAGAATAGGCTATGGTGCAGCTGGATACCAATGAGTGGTTCCTTCGATACGAAGATCTCATCGCATCAATCGCTCAGACCAGATCTACGGAGATGATCCCGACTCGGCACCGTCAACCGCACAAATCCGAACCCTTGATCTGCGCCGCGTGGCGTTCGGTCCCGTCCCATTCAAACAAGGGTCAAATGACAGCTGCAGGGTCATCAAAAGGAAGGATGGAAGCCTTAAATAAGATTAGCCGGTATGATCACCCAATCCTAGGCTGCATTGCTGCGCCTCCGCCGAGACAACCAGCACCGCAGCCAGCCTCAACAGCTGTCGATATCTCGGAAAAATTCCAACGACATCTCTACTTCGATCACGATCTCTGTTGCGACGTTTGCGTTCTCGAGATTGCATCGGATGTTTGTCCGGTTGCGCGATGGCTGATATACGGAGCCAGTTGTTTGCTAATATCAAGAAGTCGTGGTTGGGAGGAGCGTTCGTTGCCTTCTTTGTGTTTTGGATCACGTTGTGGGCAATTGATTCGCATCGAACAAACAGATTACTGGTGACTATTCCTCAGACTACACAAAATCAATTTTATACTTACCCATATTCAGACCCAAAGTATCGGGTCGCCGTCATATCCATCAAGTTTAGCAACCCCACTTGGTACGGATTCGAATCGGCCATTGATCCTCTACGCATTCTTTGATAGTCAGAATGCACGCATGAACCTCCGGTTCTTCATTGCACATGCTCTTCATGATGCCGCCGATTTTATGTTTATCTTCAATGGCGAGACTGATGCTATGAATTTGCTTCCAAATGCAACGAATATTCGCTTCGTTCAGAGACCGAACGAATGTTACGACCTGGGGTCTTATGCAGCTGTACTTGTTGCTGATGACTTGTACAAGCAGTACAGCCGTTTCATTTTGATGAATGCTAGTATCCGAGGACCGTTTATACCGTATTGGTCTGAAGGCTGCTGGAGTGATATGTACTTGGACAAGATCACGGATTCTGTAAAAGTAAGTCAGAACACTTTCAAGTCTGGCCGCTCTCTATCCTCTTACCGAACATATATGAATGACAAGCTAACCAGAGCGCCCAGCTTGTCGGAATGACACTAAACTGCATCCCAATCAACCACCTCCAATCCATGATCCTAGCGACTGACACCCTCGGCCTCACGACCCTCCTCTTCCCCACCAACGCAACCATCGCCACCTTCCGCGCCTCCCTCCCGCCCTACCCCTACACCAACATACCACCCAACAGCCCCGCCGTCAACGTGCCCCCCATCGAGCACCCAGGCATCAACTCCTGCCCGAACGAATACTGGCACGCCGTCTCAGTCGAGGTCCATGCTAGCGCCCTGATAAAAGCCGCTGGCTATAAGATCGACGCCATGATGGCGGCGTTTCACAAGAGTGAGACGTATGAGGAGGAGTGCGAGGGAGATGTTGATAGTCCGGATGTGCTTTATGAGGAGAGTTATTATGGGACGAATTTGCATCCGTTTGATACGGTTTTTGCGAAGAGTAATCGGGGGACGAATGAGATGGTGCTGAGAAGGTTGACGGAGTGGACGGATGGGAGGGGATATAGTAGTTATGATTTCTGTCGGGCGAGGAAGTGAGGGGTTGGGGGAGGATTGAAAAGGTTTAAACTGTAGATTCCGCTACTCGTGATGAATGAATGAATCTCTTGTCTTCCGAGATTATACATCAAGATATCTGATTCGAAGTCCGAACTTCAATCTTCAGCGCGTGGTGAGAATCGATCTCTCGAGTCTAATCAGATTCCGCGCAATTCAGTGCTATCCTCTCGACATTCAATCCGGAAAGTAGAACCCGTAAGGGATACCTGGCTCATCTTCATAACGAAACAATATCCCTAGCTCTCTTACTTTGTGTGACACCACCCCTTTACTTAAGCGGGCACACTAAAATAGACGTCGTTACACAGCGAAATAATTCTTTCCCAACTTCGGTCGAGGGTGTGAATCATTGTTCTCGAGATACCATTTTATTTAACAGGGAAGACAAAGTCAAATAAAATGTTCGATGCTTGAGACCGTGCCGACGCTATAACACTTCACTTATTCCAAAGTTTATCAGTAATGAGGACGTTATCTGCAAGAACTCGAGGTTCGGAACTTGGTAAATACAGACACGAGGGGAAGCCACAAGTCATATAGAATTCAGCTCTAGATACTTAATCTACCTCAACTCAAACTTCTCAACAGGCAACAATTTTTCAGCAGCCATCTCAATCGCTTCACCATGCATATGCTGATACACATAGCATTCGCCCACAAATTGATAATATTCTCCCTTTGGCCGCAGCACGCTGGGAGCATTACTACCATACAATAAAACGACCAGATCACCAGCCCGCGCCGCTCGAGGACCTATGCCGAATTCTCCGTTCTGCATGCAGAAGATTCGTTTGTTTTTGCTTCCACGGAAAGCTGCGGCATAGAATCTTGGTGCGTCACCTACTTGTGCCTGTTCCATCAAGAGTTGTGACAAATGGTGCGTAGAACAAAGCATATATAGAGAGGGTAAGATATCTCTTAGATATGCGAGGAAATCGAGGCGGAATTGAGCCAAGTCGAGAGGAGGGCATTTCGATTGTAGATCGAGGCCGACTATAAGTGTCATGCCAATGCGGAGAAGAAGAGGGTCGTTTGGATGTGTTACCTTAGGAAGAGTATTTAACAATTCCTGGAGAGGCTGTTTGAGGGGATCCCTCTGAGATTCGCTATATCGTGCCGTCGCTCCCACTATCTCTATCACCATACCGCACCATGACGATGTGGAAATACGGACACCTTCTAATGTGAGGATTCTCGGCTGGTGATGCATGCGAGGTAAGGATGAGTGCACTCTCCCCGAGGAGTATTTGTGCAGAACCTGAACGTTGCGAGAGCGATCCCACCTCGGAACCCAAGTTGGCCAGTCCTCGTCCTCGATTTCACAATCATGCTCAAGGCTAGATAGCAGGCCGAGGTTTTGAGAGGACGTAATGATCCTCACTGTAGCTTCTTCGAAGACTTCTGCAACGGACTTGCTGTAATCTGGTTGGATCAATGGCCGCAGGCTAGAGAGAGGTGGAAAAGATAGCAGTGCGTAGACTTTGTCGCGCTGGTCGGAGCAGTTGAAGTGGCGGAATCGATCGAATACACCAGATGTTGCGTGGCTGTGGCCGGCAGAATTAATCTGTAATATCGAAATTGAATCCCCTCTAGAACCGGGATATGCATTTAAGGGATCCTCCCAGAGAAATTCCGCAATCAGGACGAGATCCTGCCATCGCATCTCGTGTTCGCCGCAGAAGACGGTACACGCGTGGTTGTAGACCTCCTGAACGACCCAGAGTCCAGTGAACCAGGCTGCAGAGAAGAAAGCACCAAGTGTCGACCAACATCTCGAAGTAGGATCTGGAAGCTCCGTTCTGTCTATGAAGTTCGAATGTCAAAAAAGATTTAGTCTCGTCAAAGTCTGACGAGGACGTACCAGCGCTTGTTGAGCTCTCATGGCTGACTATATCATCTATGAGTTTAAAAGCCGGTTGCATCTCTGCGGTGCCGCATCCCAGCCAAACGCACACTCCAGTCGCATTCCCATATATCGTCTGCATAATTTTAACCTGCGATCCCTTCTCCACGTCGTCGCTCTGATTGATACATATCGCGTCAGCCCAAAGAAGTCGCGCCTTGTCTTTGAACCTAAGTCGAAGCAGCGCATCTCTGAGATTTCGTGTGACCACAATGAGCTTGCCATCACAGTGCACATTGACCTTGTTTGCAGGATTGCCCCACGCGTACGATATTGCCTTGTAGTTTGGGGCATCCTCTAAATCTGATTTGACGTAAAGTGCACTCAATATCGTCGCTTGCATTTCCGGGGTAAAGTTCGAGAAGTCTTATGAAATGTTCGGATGGTAGCGGGCTGTACTGGTAGAAATTGCCCCCTCCATTTGGATCGGGCATGTTGAAAAGAGACTCGGAGCTTGAAGGGAAATTGTTGGCTTGAGAGACCTGTTTATTTCCCCCAACTGAATTTAGTAAAGGGGTTCAGAAATAGCCGCCTGTTGTTGTGAAACTTGGGCTAACAATAGCTTTTCTGAATAATTGTTGGGTAGAAATTAGGCGCCAGCGGTTACGATGGACAATCGTGAGGCTACGGCTCTCGATCTAAGGCAACAAATCAGCTAAACTTAATACGCAAATCACAAGCAATCCTTAATTAAATAGGATATATATAGATTAGAAGCCTTTCTCTCTTTGTATTCGTCATTCATTGGGGGTTTCAGGGTCCACAGGCTGTGGAATGAGAGCACTGGAAAATCAAAAATCAACATCACGAGTTTCAGAAGTATCTCGCTCGAGGTTGATGAAGATATGAGCAAGGTTCTCTTGGAGAGGTTGAGAATGATGAGTCGATTTTGATTTTCTTGCACGCCTTCGAAGTTCGAATGAATTTTCTTTAGCCAGTCTAGATCTTAACCTGTTTTTCTCTCTGTCTACTTCCTCGAGTTCGTTGACCGCCCAACAGTGAATTTAGGCCAGCCATACCTCCTTTTGCTTGCAGAAGCTCAAGCCTCCTTTCTTGAATATCTCTAGTTTTCCATCTACAACTTTCCCAGTAGATCAGGACTTGGGCGTGTTCTTCATTCTTCCCAATCCATTATCATGACTTCAAAATACAAGCATCAGATGAGCCTAGAATTAGGATTGAGAGAAATGTAAGTTGCCCTCGAGTGTGACTCGTCCACTTCGCCACTTCTGGGGAAAGGCTCCCGTACTCCGGGTTGTGACTGGAGGCGTGGATCAGAGTGGTCGGGAACTGTCAGATACTCGTCCGTTATATGAGTTCGATATCGTCCATGTCCCTCGAGTGACTGTTGGCTGTGCGATGGTGGCTGAGAATTAGAGACCCGAGCATCATCATCTGCCTGGTCGCCCGAGAGTGTATCGCCGTCAACGCTATTTGCAATCGATACGAACACCAATTTTGGGCCCTGCTGAGCCTGCTCCATGGAGCTTTCCCTTAAGCCTCCGTGAGGATTATTCTTCTGCTTAGCTTTTTCGGCCACTGGAGCAAGAATAGGGTGGTCCAAGTCACTGATGTCCAGACTGGCTAGCATTTCTCCTCTCTTAGTGGTAGGGATCATGTCAGTACAGCCAGACCATGTTCCTAGCTGAAGCTCCTCGTTCGCAAGGCGATGCAGCTGTAGAGCTTCGTTTGTTGTCCACTCAAGGATCGCATACTCTTTGTACTTGCGCCGTTTCTGAAGGGTGCGGAGGATGGGCTCCATCACGAATGATATGATGATGATGAGGCTGCCGATGATGTATGTGAATAACAACCCGAAAAGGCTGAATGATGAGTAGGATGTGCTTAGAACCTTCTTCACTCGATTTTAGTACTGGCCAGTACGTTGTTCATAACATATTCTTGGACGGCAATCATTGAGAAGACCTACTTGGCTATTGCAGATCTTGTGCTCCCCAGCGTTGCTCGGTGTCATTGCAAACTCCTTCAAGGCTGGGTCCGTGATTCCTGTTGTCATCTCGACGTACGTCGCCTGTAATCCAGCAAGTATCGTGTTGAACCAATTTGTTACATCAAGTTGCCATTGGTTTAATGGTAATGGGTACTGGAGAGCACTGTCAAGGAGGGCTTGAGATGCTAACGATTTCGCACCGAGTTGTGCTGTCACAACATGAAGGCTGGCAACGCCCACATCCAGCACTGCTGCCGACCATATAAACCTTGCTCCGGCGGCTGTCGGAGTTTTTGTTCCATTGGTCAGGTCTTCCTGCGTCAGATTAAATAATGCGGCAGCACCAAAAAGCGCATCCATGAATCCAGCAAGTGGTCCACACCCACTTTCTCTAGGGTAGGCAGAGTTACACCACTGCCATTGCTCGACACAACCCATTGGACTCGCAGCTTCCACTGGCGTAAAGCTCGTTGCGGTTCCTTCCCCCGCGAAGTTAACAAGTTCGTTGGGAACAGTCGCTCGGTACCAGTCATCGTCCATGGAGTTGAGAAACGAAATCCCATTTCCTGATAGAAATAATAGATTGAGGTCCCCGTCCGGTCGGAATAGTTGAAGAAGAGGGACGAAATCTGCGCCCGCCGAGTAAGGCATTCCTTGGAAGGTTGGAGAGAACAATTTGCTGATGAAAATGCGACATTAGCAACGAACGCACCATCATCACTCTTGTCAAGATAAAGAAAGGACAGAAGAACACTTTGATAAACATACCTTAACTTTAGATTGGAACCAGTTCCCCAAATTACCCCAAAGGGATATTGCGTGTCTAGACCATAGGTTTCGTAGGTGAAATTGAGTGATTGTGGCTCATTCGCGAGGGTTCCATAGTTGTACCTTACCCAAGTTCTGTTTTGAATGCTGACCTCAGTTGCGTGACCTTGTGTTACTAGTGGGGCGCATTGAAGCACGTATCGTAATGCGAATCTTTGATCTTCTGGTGCGTTAATGCCTAGGTCATCGTTACTATCAATGTACCCGCTGTCAAGAAGCAAGTTTGACGTATTAGTGCGGCATATATCGTCTTGGAAAGGGCAGCCAGTATTGTTGTCCCAGACTGCAGTTGGAAGACTTGGGAGAACAAACTTGTCGCAATCGAGAATTCCAGAACTATCTGCCGAGTAGCATTGTTGGGCGTAGTTTGCAGCATCGTTGACGCTTTGGGAAGTTAATTTCCCGACTCCGGACATCACGCTGGTCAAATTACCGCCTAGAACGTTGGTGGGGAGTTGTAAGAAACTACAGTTATCACCCCTCATCAGAACCTCGTCGCCAGGGGCAGTAGAGATCTGTGAGGAGAATCCACCAGCAGCAGTAAACGCAGAGACACAACAGACGGCAATAAGAATGATCGGTAGCAGGTGAAAATGCCGTTTATCCTCCTTCTCTGACTTGCGCCATGCCCAGAAAAGCCGAAACAGCGAGAGGAGCCCTGTCTCTGGTGACGATGAGTTTCGAAGTAGGATTTGGCGTTGATGATGAATCGCATCCTTAGATTTAACACTCGAGTAGTGTATATGGAAGATGAGGCAGATGATACTCCAGAACCGGGAAGCCACGAACGGGATGAGGAAACCGGTGAAAGCAATCAAAAGATTACCATCTCTACGTGTCGTGGTAAGCGTCGAGCCCATAACCGTTCCATTTGACCAGTTAGTCCACACTCCCAGATAGACGTTGCTGTCCATGATACAACGAGATAGAATCTGATGACAAATGTCGTAGTGAAAGAAAGAGCTTTCTCAGTAATATGGATGAGATGGTGACAATGAATTATACTCACAGCGTTCCACCCGGATATACCTTCTCTTTAATTCAATCAGACAATCGTTCAGCTCCGCCCCCACATGATGCTTGATAATCAGCCCAAAGTCTTCAATGTCAATTAGGAAAGCCTTATGCAAAAGGATATTTTACGCAAATCGCACATACATGAAGGCCTATTGGCGGGATAGTGATTGAAAGCGACCATAGCTGTAGCCGCGGCCGCTGCATGGGTTTAAAACAACTCGCTTTAATTTGAGAGGTTGTTAGACATTCAAAACAAAACAACCGTGTGGCCGTGGCCGTGGCCATGGCCATGGCCAGCGCTTAAGCAATGTCATGCTTGATGTTGGTAACCGCCTTGGAGCCTCGCGCAGGCGACATTATCGTTGAATGATTTCAACTCAGATCCAACATTTGTTCGATATTCTTGATGTTTTGGGGGCCAACGCGGCAAAGCAAGGGGTGGGGGCTGACGGAGGATGCGTCAGGATTCCACTACACCATTCAAGAAGCATCGCGCTAATTCTAAACGCCTTCACCTATGACTTTGCGGCAAAGCAAAACCAAGTACGATAATTCGTCCATGAACGTCGATGGATCCAGATTGGGAGAAACACCTAGAGGTTCCCCCTCCTGAAAGTTGAGGTCTGGCATTTCGCGCGTTTCGCGCAATTCGCTTCATTCGCGTTTTGTCTAAAAGGCTGAGGAATATTATGTCGCTGGATTATGGTCACTTCACTTATTCTCTCCGATAATAAAGTTATAGTGAAATCAATTGTCAGTCGAACCAGAAAAGCTGCTGCAAAGAGTCGATTCCCAGAAATCTAACATGTGAGGAGGAGTCGCTGGTACATGGCTATTTACTTGCGTGCGCTGTGCATACCCTGTGTCATGGTTTGTGGGATTTATCTGTGGAACTATTATTCTACAACAAATCGTCTCAACCATCAAGTGTTGTGCTTTGCACAAGTAAGTGTTCTCGAGACCAGGTGCAGAACCCGTTCCTAATTCTGGTCTCGTTGTCCCACTCAGAACATACACTTCTAAATGGATGAGGAGCATAGTTCGGGGGTCGAAATATGGATGCTGAGGTGGCCGACATAAGGTGGGCCCAATTAAAACGATTGCTATACGTGTCGGCATGTTTCGCTGCACATGACTTCGGGGTTGCAGATCTTGACGTTTCATCGGCTTGCTGTTCCTGTTGAAGCGAAATATCGGTTAGTGCATACTTTCCACGAAGTTTCCCCTCTCGTAGTATCAAATTCTGTATCTAAGTGCTTTACTGCAGGTGGAGAAGAAGTTGATTGAGATGGGGTCAAGTTCTGCCAAAGTCACTTATCAGATCGGATCTGGCGTCCTCTCGGATGACAATGCATGCGCAAGAACAGAATTTCGTGGATACTTTATTACTTAATTATCCCGTTACCTATTGACGAGAGTTCTTATTTTTTGATTTTGTTTACAGATGCTTTGCTTTCTCGACTAGAGATAGGAATTGCTAAAGAGAAATTATCACGGAGAGCAGATAAATGCATGAGAGGGGAAGTTTTTCCAAAACTGGTTTTTGTCCGAATACGGAGTGCTCTCACTAGTGCCAGGTGGAATAAAAGTTTTTAAACCAGTGATTAGATCGACATTCCTTTCCAATGCATCGGTGCAGTATGGAACTCTTTGCTGCTCAGCTGCATTCTTCACAGAGCTGAAGCAAATATGTTTCGAAAATCGGAATTTGATCCGGTTCTTATTTTCTTCAATGAATGCTTATTTGGACAATGATTGACATCACCTTGCCTCCGTGGTTTCGGCATTCGATACCGCGGGCCGCCTCCCTAGTGTGATTTAAACGATGCCCCTGTCTAAGCGAGGCGACTAGCAAAATCAAGTAGATTAAAATCCAACACCAAGCATTTTGCATAAATACATATTTACCACTCCAGGTCATTCACACATTTCTTTGAATTTTTCTTGTTCCGTTTTGATAAACATGCATGTCCTGCGGCCCTTCATCTCTGACCCCACGCTTTCCAAGCCTCTTCCGTCTTCCCGTCCGTCTACATGTATACATTGCTGCCGGTAGTAGACCAGTCACTTATTGCAGGCGCCACAAAGCTTACGTTTTCAAAACAAGCAAAATATATTGCCAAAAAATTGGAAAGCCGTTATCCGAAGCCTTCTTGCGCCTGTCATCAACATGAGTGCCAGTTAGAAATGACGCTTCGCGCCACGCGAGTATAAAGTGAGCTGATTTTCCATTCATGAAGTCTTATTTCTTGGCAAGACTTCAGCCCAGATCTCCGAATCTTATCCAAACATCCATCACCACCTCAATATGAAGCTATCCATCACCGCTCCCGTTGCGGCTCTCTTTGCTGCAGCGGTTTCTGCTCATGGTGGTGTTCTGTCTTACGACATTGGCGGTACTACGTACAAAGGTTTCGTGCCATACAACTCCGCTGCTGGTCAATCTACCCTCCAACGAGAATGGGACAGCTACAAGTAAGTAATATCTCATTCCAAATCACCGTCCATCCTGAAAGAACGTACTGACTTTCTCTCAGCCCAATCCAAGATCCCACTCTGGCTAGCATGGCATGCAACTCCGCTGGCACCCCAGGTGCCTTGACCGCCACCGTCGCAGCTGGCTCAACCATAGTCGCCTACTGGAATAACCCATGGCCACACACAATCGGCCCCATGGTAGTATGGATGGCAAACTGCGGTGGAGACTGCAAGACCTTCGAGCCCACTGGCAACGTTTGGTTCAAGATCAATCAAGCTGGACTAATCTCCGGCACTCTTTCCACCGGGCTCTGGGGCTCAGGACAGATGGTCGCCCAGAACAGTTCTTGGACTGTCACTATTCCCAAGAGTTTGGCGCCTGGTAACTACCTGATTCGCCATGAGACGATTGCAATTCATACCGCCAATGCTCCGCAGTGGTATCCAGAGTGCGCTCAACTTGTTCTGACGGGTTCGGGTACAGGGGTACCGGGTGCGAGTTACTTGGCTGCGATTCCGGGTGTGTATCAAATGAGAGATCCCGAGGTCGATATCGATGTTTATTCGGCTGCCAACCAGGGTGTGACGAACTACACTATTCCAGGTCCTGCTGTTTGGACTGGGTAGATCGTACTCTCTTGGACTGTTACTTGGGTGAAAGAGATACGAAGTTGGCTGTAGGTAGCGATTCGTTTTTTTAGGATCCCCTCCTGAAGTTTCTTGTACATAGTTTTCATATTTCAGCTTCGATCATGTAAATAAATTCCTATCCTCTAAACTGATGATGCTCGCCTTTCTGACACTAATACACTCAAAAAGAAAAGATAATTGAAAAGACGCCGTGATCAGGATCGAGAGCCAGGGTCAAAACCGTTATTCGCGCAAATGTTTCGTGCCTCATTCATCGCAGTCATTTCTTATTACTTTAACTTATATCCTGAATTTATTGGTGCGGTTCAGTAGTTCCTCATTCAAAACCGGGATCAGCCTGACAACAGAATCAAATCATGCAGGTTCATGTCTGAGCCTATCAGAACCATTATTTTGTTGCACAGTTGAGCCAATCGCGACCACCCGAGGCAGACTTCTCTTCATTGGTCAAGCTGTTTGCGTTACCGACCTCCGAGTCGCAGCCTCAAATTCTTTCCTTCAGAACATCCATAAGTTGTTAGAAGACAAACTTAATCAGCGGGAGACAATTTTCATCTGTCTCTTTGTGTCCTCACAGCTGCATTATATCCTAGATCTACCCTCGCGCATCGAGGCTCGGGGTATCGCTCGCACTGCACTTCGTATTCTCAGCCTTATCTACCATCGACGACGCAACCATGGCAGACCGAGTCTCTGATCTGATTGTCGACTCAAAACTCGATGTCGAGGTGCATGCCGACTACACTATCCACAAGATCTTCCATTCTGATCCTACGATCGGTCGGCGGCGGATTAAGATCGACGAGAGATGGCAGAAGAGTAGAGAGCTCGGTCGCGGAGCAGTCGGCGTCGTGTGGCTTGAGTCTTGTTCTGCAGGGCCTCATATGGGACAACTTCGAGCTGTGAAGGAAATCCGAAGTGGCGGGAGAGATGCATATACAAAATATCTGCGGGAGCTGGAGGCCATTGCCAAATTTTCCTAAAAGAGAGTAAGCCGCAATTCTCATGACATATAAGGCATCAACATAATTGTTGGCTATAGTATCAAGACTACTTTGTTCGATCGTTTGGATGGTATCCTCATGAAGATAGTATATTTATCACAATGAAATACCTTGAGCATGGCGATTTGGAGGGGTATCTGACGGATCCAATGCCGGAGAACGAAGGTCGTACAGTTACTCAACAAGCTTGTGTGCATGCATGAGAACTCGTTTGCACATCGCGACTTGAAGCCAACTGTAAGTTATCGCATATTTTCCCCTAGAAATATCTGCACAGCATTCTTGGCTGACACCCTGTCTTAGAATATCTTAATTCTACATAAAGGTCCAGAATGGTGGATCAAGATAGCGGACTTTGGGATCAGCAAGAGAGTCGAGAATACTGCTCTCCGAACTCGGATTGGCACCGATGCTTATCTGGCGCCAGAAGTGAAGAACATCTTCGCTTCTGATATACGGAGAGACCAAAGGAAAAAATTTCACTTTCGCTATAGACATCTGGGCTGTAGGCGCTATTGTTTTCCGGATGGTCAGCTGCAGACTGCCATTCTTGGACGATCCTGCCTTGTCTGACTATGTTGAGGGTGCGTTACCATTCCCTGTCGTAAATGGGATCAGTCAAGAATGCTCTGAGTTCATGGTTCAAACCATGAAAGCGTCACCACTTAAAAGGCCAACATCCCATCGTGCAATGTCCCATCCTTGGCTACGTGTTGCAGACCAAGTGACCACATCAGTCCCGGTACCCGCTGGGAAGACAGGTGGTCTACCCCTCCCGGAACTAAGAACTTACAAACCATCTAGCCAATTCCAGGCCTATAACTTGCCAACGTTGAATGCTGAAAGAGCCTCAACTGCACCTGATATTCAAGCGCCTGAAGTGCTCATCCCCAATATTCCCGTATCATCTTCAGCATCAAATCATACCCACAATAATGGAACTGCCAGAAAGTCCATTGAGAGAACTTGGCCGAGTCTGGAGCTACGACGTAAGCAGACGCTTAAATCTAACGAGTATGATGATACTGTCAATCGTTACCCGGGTGCTGTTACGTCTTTGCACTTTTCAATCCGTGGACACCGAATTCTATCTCGTACAAAAAATGTTTTCGCACTCTGGGAATCGGGTGAGAACGAAGAATTCTGGTGCCGCGGTCAACAGCACATTCAAGCAAGAGGGGTGGTCAGATCAATACACGTCTCGCAGAGAGGAGATAAGTTCACACTACGACGTCAGAGACCGGGAGAGGGGAAATGTGATATCAGTGAGCGACATCTGTAGAGGAAAATCGACGTTAGAAAGGGAAAATATAAGATCAGTGAGCGACATCTGTATCGTATTGGACGCCTCTCAATCGAAGAGCTCTCCGATATGGAACTTCGATCAGGGACTCACTCCATGACAATGTATGCCGCCGAGGGTGTGGACGCATTAGGAGACACTACGCAGTGCTTCTCCGCGATCTCTATATCATCATCCAACGCCTTGTGCAGGTCTGTCAAGCCCAGTGCCAACGAACGGCCAGATACTACTCCCCATCAAGCCAATTGGCTCATGTTTGACTGGAATCGCCAAAAGATTCCTGTACTGGGAAAGCTCTTTGGTAGATCGAGCCCCGAGGACTGTTGGAAAGACTTTCCGACACCTTATCAAGGTCAAAATTTTCGACTTCTAGCAGTAGCATGCGATCAATGTCTCTTCGCAATGGTTGACCAAGGTAATGTAATTGAGTTTTGGATGAATTACGAGGAAGGAGAGATGCAACAGATCTGTAAACGAACTCTTTACCGAGGTTGCGAGATTACTGCAATAACATTCTCACCAAATTGGGCTGGAACGGGCTTGGAAAAGACCAGTCAGTTGGCAGTAGGTTTTGCAGATGGACGAATGGATGTTATGGATGTCACAATCATATGGCAGTAGTTGACGGACTTAGTATTCATTATTTTGAGATCAGAACGCCTTTTATGTTGATTGCGGAAGATCAAACAGCCATACCCAGCTCTATTGATCTGTTAACGGCCATTGAGTTCAAGTAAGCCGATAATGGCATATATCTCTCGCTTGTGCTGAGTCTCTTGGCCGTAGTCTCTACATGACTCTTGATAAACCTCACCGGAGGAACAAAGTTCTGCTGATTTCACCAGACTTGTAGACCAAATTCGTCCTGTGCCCTTGATACAGAGCTGACGAATGCATCCGAGTAGAGCTCTTACCACTACGGGTGTATTCTTGGGTTTTATGCTTATTTTAGACAAGAATCTCCACATTCTTTATATGTTTTGTATTATTATTTAAAATCGTGTCTTGGATATGACCTTTCATTCCTCAAACCTCAAATTCATTGAATGCCGGAGCTTAATAACATATGAGACACTATACTTTAGTATTACCCTGGTTTCTTCTCGATATCTCGCCGCCACCCGACAACTGCTCTGGGTACACCACATGAAAAGAAGTCTGGATTTCACTGCACCGATGCTCTGAATAGCTAAAAGATTTTTTACTCTTTTCCATAGCTTTATGCAAAGTCCACTTACCATCTCGAACTGTGTCCCCTCCTAATCCACTCACAGGTCAATCGCTCCACCAGGTCCAGGGTGAATATCGCCAAAAACGTGGGAGTAGCAAAAGTTTTATTTAAGTAGAGTGAAGCTATGGGTAAAGCAGCGATATACGCACGAATGATGCTGGATTCGTGGATTAGGGCTCTGGTGCGCAGACGCTAGTCACTTGGGATTTTAGCCTCGGATGTTAAGCGAGAGAGAAAAGGGGGCGGGGCTGTAGACTAGTATCCCCGCGATCTACTCCCGTGGAGTGACCACGGAAGTTAACTTTTAAAGTCTCTGCCTTCTCATCTTGTAGAGCTTTCTTCCACGTCGATTGATATGATACTAGCGCAGTTGTACAAGTGACTGGCACCCGCGTGCAATAGTTGGAGCTGCGAATCAATGTAAACATCATCTTACAACGAGTCAATCAGGTTATGTATCTTGTACACATACCCGTCGCTAGCATTTATTTATACTGCGGCTGTCCGACTGTCGAGCTCCGCTGCAGACAAGAATTGACCGTTTGCTAAAATTGAAGATTGAACACTTGCTGACATCGGCTCAGCTGATAAGTGATTGAGAGATATTGCGCAAGAAAGAAGATAGCAATCAGAAAATGTACCGTACATCAGGATCATTTTTGCTAGTAATATTTGTGAAATAATTTTTTTCAACCAACATGCGTCAATTGATTCACTTTGCAATCCACACTCGTACTTTCGAAATAATAGAAATACTCACGAACGCGTGTGCGACTCTATTCCACCTGAAAAGCACTCATTGATTAAAAAGCAGCCCAATTCAAGGCGAACGTAGGTATAATGCGCTGGGATACGAGAATATCAATTTACACACGTCCTCGAGGTGTTCTGTATCATACCGACGTGGTCAATAAAATTTGTCACCTGACCACTGTTTCAAGCAGCTTTGCTATTCAGATACAGTATTTGTAAACATACATTGACGGGGAATATACTCAGTGCGACTGTAGATCGAAGTGTCAATTATAGATCTCCTTTCACCGTCCTGAAACCCAATTTGAGGATGAAGTAAGATATGTAAGAAATAGAATCATATGAATATAAAGGCTTACCAAGGTGCAACCATTCCCACTTCCCAATTTAAACATGCTGCGAGGCACAAGATCAGGAAGGAGGATTTTCAAGGGAGCTATAGTCCAAAATTTGACAATGTCTCTTTTAGAATCACAACAGGAGCGCCATTCGCTCTGAGGCAAACGTCGGAAATGCGGCAGGACAAATGCATTTGCAGGAGCTGGAAGATAAGAGGTTAGTCTGATCCGTCTTGTTAGCCACAACTCGCTCAAATGTTCTCAAGCGCAGGCGAGCTGCTGCAGCCAGCCAATGAGATCGGTTTGCGACTCGGTTAAAGACAAACCCTCGGAACATCACCTCAAAGTGATATTTTCCCATTGTTCTGAAAAGGTGGGAGATGTTTAGCATTTGGGAGCAAATTTGACGGAAACCTCGAGTTTGAGGGCATTGAGGAGATCAGACAGTCTCTTGAAGCAAGCCACGTACATGGAGTAGTTCATCAAATGTTCCAAGAAATCCAGCCGCATGGGTGGTTGCACACACAACTTTGGCGCTGCGGCTCAGTGCTTCCGGAATGTCTCCAAATCCCAACATCCAGCCCCAGTGCCTGCAGCCAGGGTCAAGCTGCAGACAGATGTCTCTGACTGGAAAGCTTGTCCGAAGCTTGTTACCACAATCAGACTGCAGACGACAAGGATTTGGGAGTTCACTAATGTTATAGATTCACCCTCTCACTTTTCGGAGTGCGCTGATAGCTCGGCAGCCCGCGACTCCATCATCTTTCCAAAAAACTTCTACCGATCGTAAGTAAACTTCAATTCTGATATTTTAAACTCGACTTTTCTATCATCGGTCTCTTTCGGTTAAAGGACACCCATTGATCTCGCCATCCAACATGTCGCGCCTTGTCCATCTCTATGTCTCCTTGATCGCATTCCTGCTTCTCGGACAGGCAACTGCGCATTTCCTGATGCACTTGCCGCCAAGTATCGGTTTTGACGATGATCTTGAGGGAGAGGCTCCTTGCGGAAGCTTCACCGTTGATTTCTCGACCGATAACGTTACGAATTATTTCGTTGGAGGAGATACCGTTGCCTTGGTATGAATTTCGTCAGTATCCGAATGCACCTGCTTACCTGTAACTCAGACTTCTATCCATCCCCAAGCTACATGGTTGTTCCGTGCAACTCTCGATACCACTGCGTCCGGAAACTGGACGTCTCTACTCCCAGCCATTCAACAGACCGGTCTTGGCGACTACTGCGAGCCTTTCGTGGCAGTTCCAGCTTCATGGGCTGGATCTAAAGGTGTCATTGGCATTGTACAAGATGCTCCCGACGGAATTCTCTACCAGGTATGCCGCCTACGCTTCCAAGAAAACTTACAAGATACAATGGCTAATGATCCGTTTAGTGTGCTGCTGTCAACTTCATTACCGGTACTCAGACCTCGGTGCCATCAATCTGTGTGAACGGCACTGGTTTGACGGCAACATTCACCGCAGATGCTGTCCTGTCGAGTCTTCCTGCAAGCTTTACGTCTTCTGCCACCTCTTCAGCAACATCTTCTGCCTCGACCGGCTCCTCGACGGCAAAGTCTTCTGCCAACACAATCCACGTTTCTACATACAGTGCGCGGGGGCCTTTGGCATGGGTGACTGTTTGCTGGTCTGCCGCTCTTGTTGCATACCTGTTGTAGGGGATTGAATAAGGAAGTACATCTGAAGGGCGAGAGATTATGCTTCGAGGACTGAGAATACTAAGGTGTTTCCCTGTTCGTGAGCTAAAGAGCGTCGCATGGTTCGCGACTTTGAACAAGCAATAAAATGGCAGCATCCACACAATCCTCTGGTCTATCCGAAACTAAATTTGTATTGAAGTGATGTCTTGGGATCTAGACCCTGTATCACCACGAGGTCAACGTGGAAATAAGAAATTGCCCTCCCTCTCCACGTCCACGTCCACGGTTCCACCGTCACAGCGCTCGTAGATCAGATGTCAGTTTCCTCCCAGCAGCGGGGGGCTTTCCCGCATATTGATAACGGCACCCCTCCCCCCTTCTATGCATGCAGGCGAACCCATCGAGAGCCAGCTCCTGCAGGTTTGTGGCGGTTATTATGTCCGCAAAGAAACGCAAACTTACTCGTTATATGTCTCAGACATGCGATAACTGGGTTGTGGGACCGAGTCTGGGTCCGTCCCTGGATATTTCCCCACGCTGTGGTCTGTTATGTTGCTGTCGAACATGCAGGGCACAAGACGACTAGCGCAAGCAAGCAAGCAGCACTTTTCGATTCTACTTCTTTTTCTATTCACCTTTACTTCGTGCTTTCACTTCCAATCCTGTGATAGCAAGTCTTCTTCGAAGGACAATTGATCATCGTTGCGATTCCTTCGCCAGCTGAACGAATCTCAATCAACACACCAGAACCAGCGCCGAGTTAACTCACACTCGCCGCCCTGGAAATGAAGCTCCTCATCACCATCCTCTCCTCCATCGTGAGCTTGGCTCTCGCCGCCAGCTCGACCACAATGGATATGTCCGGTATGTCCACCACAATGGACATGTCTGGCACCTCAACCACCATGGCAATGTCCGCCAGCACCCCCGTCGACACCTCTCCACCCTACACCATCACCGCGCTCCCGAACGTCAAGAACCAAACCTCCTGTGTCTTCAGTACTTTCTCCCATCCCTCTTCCTCCCCTCCCCTTTTTTCCCCTCCTCTCTTTCCCTCTCTAACGCCCACAGATTGCCTAATCCCCATCGGCCTGGCCGACTCCTCCGGCTGCGACGACGTGACCGAGAACTGCGCCTGCCTCTCCGCGCCCGTAGACGCAGAGTCCTTCTTCAGCACCTGTATCCAAACCGTCTGCAAGTCCAGTACTGCAGCGTACATTGCCTCCGCGACGAGTCTGTATGAGAACTACTGCTTGTCGATTTATGGGAGCGCGAGCTTGGAGGCCGCTACTACGGCGAATATTCTCGCGGATGCGAGTGCGGCGGCGCCGAGTAGTACGAGTGCGAGTAGTTCGAGTGCGAGTGCGACGGCGAAGAGTGCGGCGAGTGGGGGGAGGGAGAGGGTTGGTTTGCTGTGGTGAGTTTTGCATAGTTGGGTAGTGTGGATTTTGACTAACTGTTACGCAGGCACGTGGCTCTTGTTGCGGTAGGTGGGATGGTGGTGGCGGCTTGGTTGTAGAAAGGGAGAGAGAGTGGTGATTAGAGGTGCCTGATTGAGGGTATCCGGACATATTGTGGATTATGTGCAGGGACGAGATAGGTTGCGTCTATTGGACCTTGCAATTGAAGCTAATTTCGACCTGAATTTCCATGTTCTGAAGAGGTGAAAGACTGCTTGGCTTGTGTTCTTCGGTCGGACATGATTTCAGACCCTATCTTTGTCAATTATACCATTTCATGCCGCTTGAAAAGCACTCGATGTCAATTCGCAGGTTCCATCTTTCAATTTATCGGATAGCCTAGGAGGACATGCTTGAATACGTCTTGTACGGCTGCAAGATAACCTCTTCGTGAGAGCTGAAAGAAAGTTGGTAGATAGTTCTACTTTGGACCTTAATTGCTGAAGAGCATATCTCTCATGATACTTAAAATGGGTAGTCAGTGCTACACTCTCATCTAAACTCTCCAGACTCCAAAGCCAAACAAATAAGCAATGGCAATTTTCTTGCCTAGAGATATTAGCAGGCCAAGTCATTATACATCTCCGCACACAAACTCAAGACATGAAATTGTACCAGAGCTCTTGCAGTCCAACTTTTGAATAAGCAAGAATAGTGTTTGTTGCAATAGTAGCACTTCTATCTCATTTATAACCACATTACCTCATCTCATGTAAAGGTTCGAATCTAATTCTAGCGAATATCTCTCCTTTCAATCGAAAGCTAAGATTTCTACGAATAAACTCAGTCTCTTGCTATACCCGTCTTAGATAAGTACTATCGTAGGTTTCCAGTTATTTCACCACCTTATAATGATTTCTGGCTTTATCATGTACGCAGATGAAATTGTTCCAGCAAGTTACGGTCACATGAGTCGATCATTGCCTTTTAGGTTCACTGGGGTCTGCTATCCCTACTACACGAAGCGGGATATTATGGCGGAGAATGGATACAATTGTATATGGCACAGGATGGTTCCAGATATCTCCAGAAATTAGCTGATTTCGATTCCCGGACTTAGTGCTGGTGTCATCGCAAGAACCTTGGTTGGAGCTTTCCTGGATTCCATCTAGGAGAGTATGGATATGGTAGTTATGGATACTACATCTGCTGGAGCGGTGAGACGTGCCACTCTTACAATTGATTCCACAAGGCTTTAGTGCTGGAAAATCTTTGAGAGTGAGCTTGTTGCTGCAGGTGCTTCCTGGCGTCACTGGGGGGTGCGAGCATGTGACTTTGTCTTTTTATGGAGTACGTACGTGCCACGTTGAGTATAAAGAGTCTAATTCCAAGGTCCCAGTGGCTGTCTACCTAAGCTCTAGAGATGACGTTGCTGAGAATAAGATGAGCGAGGAGTAGAGAGAGTTGCACGTGATGCCCACCTGATATTAATCTCGCTTAGTATTTTACTACGTTATATATTGATTCATCAGACAGCAGCCTAGCTCGATAACTACTCTTACAAGATTCCACATCTCATAACGCATCTAAGCCCATCTCCACGTCATCATTTCTTCCAGTCTCACATGACGTTAGTTGTTATCAGATCACTTAGCCGCACTAACCGGATCCAGAATACGAATTTCACTAACCACATCCAGAATACGAACCTCAACTAAGTTTCACACCACGCCGTAGACGGGTCATCAACGAACCGGTCAACAATCCCCCTTTTATAAGATGGAAGGACAAGATTTCTGCATTCGGGATACGAACCTCTCCTGCAGCAGCCATGGATGGGACCTTCACGTTCTTTGCGCTTGGGGGCGAGAAGCCGATTGACTTGAAGGTGGACGCGAAGGGCGATCCGGTTAGGAAGAGGCAGCAGCATCGGAAGAGTAGGAATGGATGTGGGAATTGCAAGAGGAGGAAGGTTAAGGTACTTACTTTTGATAGAGATGATGAAGGGGAGAGGAGATGGATGGCTAACACGTGACACAGTGTGATGAATCGCAGCCTTCTTGCTTGAATTGCAGGAAGAGAGGATTGGAATGCAGTGTTGTGGGTGGGAATAGGGTCAGGACGAAGAGTCCTGAGAGAGAGGTTACGATGAAAGATGCGTCCCAGCAGTGTGACTTGTCACCTGAGGTGCCGTATCAGCAGTCTTTCCTGAGTCCAGACTCCGCGTCTCTGTCTTCAGTTCCCTCTCAACAGGGTATATTTGGTCCAGAGTCTAATTCTCAGTCTCCCTTACCACCTGGTGATCCATCTCAACAAGACATATTTGCTCCAACCACATCACCTACGCAATACTTCCTGTCTTCGAAACAAGTCTGGTGTCGAACGGCCTTACACCCGGAGACAATAGCTGAATTGGTTTCTCAATATGGCGAATGGGGAAACGTCAAGAAAACAGACAGCGTGGCTACGAGCCCCGTCTCCTCAATCCCAGGCAATGTCGACTTGATCCTCCGCCGCAGTCTCGCGGAGAGGGAGCTCATTCTACATTTCGAACTGTTTACCTCGAAATGTCTACCCATGTCCTCCACCATCTGGGAATCGGAAGTCCTCAACGATGCCCTCCACCACGACTACCTAATGAGCGCCGTTCTCCTCATGGCCGCATGTCACATCAACCACTACCTCCCAAAAGACGACCTCTCACGCCGTCCCCTCCTCCACCACTTCGGAAATGCCATCTCAGGTCTCCGCATGGCGTTGCAAGAGGAACTCACCCCGACCAGCTTCAACAACATCATCTCCTGCTCTTTCCTCCTGATGCTCTACAGCTGGACGTACATCGAAGCCGCGCCCGGCGTCCCCGTCGAGGTCGTTGAGATGTTCCACGACCCAGTCACGCTGTTCTACTGCCTCAAAGACTGCATCGTGTCCTCGCAATTCCTGCTCTCCAAGACCTCCTGGAGCAGGGTCTTTGCTTATAGGCCCACTGAGGCCCTGGAAGAGTACGTCCGCACCAATAAATTCCGGGACCACGAGTTTGGGGAAAGAATGACGCATGTAGCACTCTGTGGACTCCGGAGCCGTGATCCAAGCTGTTCGTCGGCGGATAACATGAACGCGATCCAGCGTCTGGGTAATGCTCTTTGGGCGGTCAAACTATCGCAGGGTGATCTCGAGGGCTCGGGGGTCGCGGATGATATCAATCGGTATCTGTTCACCTGGCCGCCATTCTGCACCAAGGGCTTCATCCAACAGGTCCGAGACAATAATCCGACGTCTCTGTGTATTTTGCTGTACTACTACGCTGCGATTGTGGGGATCCTGTCCGAGAAGACGTGGTGGATGAAAGATCGAGCGTGGTTTATGTATCCGATGTTGTTGCAGAAATTGGAAGGCAGATGTGAGGAATGCATCGCGCCTGCGCGCGAGCTGGCGGGCGAGAATGGGCGGCTGATGGGGTTTTGAGATCTGACTGTATGCGGGGTTAAGGTTATATACCGGTAGACTTATTTGTATTATATGGGGATCATCTCCTCTCAATACTTCTGTACGGTACAGTACATAGGTTAGAAATAGACATACATTCCACTCCACCGCATTTCGGCCGGCTGAGACATCACGATCCGGACCAGCAACGGCCCAAAATACCATGTGCAGCCTTACTCTATTGCAACCATAAATATTCCACAAGGCAGAATCAGAATTGATGCACTGACTCATCAATCATCAGAGCTGAAAATCCGCACCTCGCAATACCGCCTATCTGATCTCACCGTGTCACATAATCTAGGCGCACGCACGCGTCCCGTCTAGGTTACCTATCTCCCGCAGCCGGACTTTACAGAAACTCCGCGACAGAGGGTCCAGACGCCATTTATCGCCAAGCCTATCTCGACATCCAATCTGCACGTTGCATCCCGTCCATCATCCATCATCCATCATCCCTTTCAAGATTCCCCCGATTCTTACATAGGTGCAATTAGGTCTTGTTTGGAATACGACTGACTGAGTGCGGATGGTCATGAATCATCTCCGCACTCCTCCCACGACGACGACGTATTCCCAGAACGGAATAAAAGTGGGAATATTGTCCGTTCTGGGAACACGAACGATGGAAAGGAAGCGAGCGCCATTGGCCAGGCTCGGAAGTTATGAAGGGCCCCTGTCGGGTGGTGCTAGTTCCCGAGAATCAGAATTGCAGTTGTGCCCAGGTGGTGGCTTTTTTGGTGTTTATAACGTGTGGGAGGGCGCTCGCTGTTGTTTTCTTTCAACAACACTCACTCTCTTTCTCTTCGAGTGAATGAGATTTATTTTCGAGAGCAATTTTTTTTAACTTGCGACTTTTTGACATCGTGGTTGTTTTATTTTGGTTTGTTTGTTTTATCGGAGATCAGACACGATTTTCTCAGCCTCGAGGTCGTGCACCACTATATATTTCACGTGATCGTTATATATTTGTTTAATTCGATTTCTACCTATCTTGGGAAACGTCGAGACTTTACCCATTTGTGAAGATGGGGTCAGAAAAGATGGAAGATAGGAGTGAGAAGGTCACTTCGATTGCGTCCAAAGAGGGGATCAACCATAAAACATCGTCTAGCAACGGCGAAGTCACGTTGAATCCGGATAGTAGCGAGAAATGGACTCGTTCACATCTGACCGAGGACGAGAAACGGATTCTTGATAGACAAATCGACGCTCCCGCTGTGAAGGCGTCGTGGTTTATGTTGTTTCGATATGCTACCAAGGTTGATCTTGCCATCATTGCTCTGGCAGCCTTCTGTGCTATTGCTGCCGGTGCTGCTTTTCCCTTGATGACCGTAAGTATCCCTCTTTATAATTATGTAGATCGCCAACTAAACCCCACAGGTCGTGTTCGGACAACTAACCACGACCTTCGCCCGTTTCTTCCAAAACGCCACCACCAGCGCAGATATCGCGGCCTTCCGCCACGAAATCAGCAAGCTCTCCCTCTACTTCGTCTACATCGCCATCGGCTCCTTCACCACCATCTACATCGCCACCGTCGGCTTCATCTACACCGGGGAACACATCACCCAGAAGCTCCGCGAGCAGTACCTCGCCGCGGTCCTCCGCCAGAACATCGCCTATTTCGACAAGCTCGGCGCCGGAGAGATCACCACGCGCATCACGTCCGACATGGTCAACATCCAAGGCGGTATCTCCGAGAAAGTCGGGTTGACGCTCACCGGCGTGTCGACGTTCGTGGTTGCGATTATTGTGGGCTTTATTAAGGATTGGAGATTGACGCTGATTTTGTTTTCCGTGGTATTTTGTATCGTGTTCTCGATGGGTGGGTTCTCGAGGTTCATGATTAAGTTTCAGAAGGAGAGTCAGGCGTATTCGGGTGTGGGGGCGAGTTTGGCGGAGGAGGTGTTTAGTTCGATAAGGAATGCGACGGCGTTGGGGACGCAGGATCGGTTGGCGGATGAGTATGATGGGTATCTGCTGAAGGCTGAGAAGGGAGGCTTTAAGATGAAGACGGTAGCCGGCTCGATGTTGGGGATGATGATGTTTATCATGTTCTGTGATTACGCGTTGGCGTTCTGGCAGGGCTCGAGGTACTTGGTCAAGGGCGAGATTGTCGTGGGACATATCATCACGATTCTGTTGGCGATGATGATGGGTTCGATGGCGCTGGGACAGGTGGCTCCTCATGCTCAGGCTTTTGGAGTTGCTATTGCGGCTGGTGGACCCATCTACAGCTTGATTGATCGACCGACTTCCCAAGAGGAGGTGGTGGTTGGCGAGAAGATCCCTTCTCCTGAGGGCGCGATTGAGCTTAGGGGTGTGAAGCATGTTTACCCTTCGAGACAAGAAGTCGTTGTCATGAACGATGTCGACCTTGTCATCCCTGCCGGCAAAGTCACAGCATTGGTTGGCGCTTCTGGATCTGGAAAATCAACCATTATCGGTCTCATCGAACGATTCTACCCTCCAGTTGCTGGTCAAGTTCTTCTTGACGGTCAAGATATCCAGACGCTTGACCTCAAGTGGCTACGACAGCAAATCTCTCTCGTCAGTCAAGAGCCAGTGCTGTTCCGTACTTCGGTATATGGAAATATTGTCCATGGTCTCATTGGTTCGCCGATGGAGAATGCGAGTGATGAGAAGAAAATGGAGTTAGTTATCGAAGCGGCTAAGATGTCGAATGCTCATGAGTTCATTTCTTCTTTGCCTGAGGGCTATGATACTGATGTTGGTGAGAGAGGTTTCTTGATGTAAGTTTTTGGCATTACCCAGGTAGCATGTGAATGGATGCACCAGAGACTGACAGGTGAAATACAGGTCCGGTGGACAGAAACAACGAATTGCCATCGCACGAGCTGTCATCAGTGACCCCAAAATCCTCCTCCTTGATGAAGCAACATCCGCACTCGATACCAAGTCCGAAGGTGTTGTTCAAGCTGCTCTCGATGCTGCATCCAAAGGACGTACCACCGTCGTTATTGCGCATCGCCTTTCAACCATCAAAGGCGCAGATAACATCGTGGTAATGGCAGAGGGTAGTATCATTGAGCAAGGCACACATGACGAGCTTGTCGAAAGGAAGGGAGCTTACGTTCAACTTCTTGATGCACAAAAAATGGTAGCTGAAACATTGGCTCACCACGACGAAGATACAGATGAAGAACCTACTACCGGCACTCTGGAGAAAACCCAAACTCGAGCAACAACAGCAAGCGAAGGAATGGTGAAGCCAACACGGACCATGACTAGCAAGTCGCTGTATGATCAAAGGGACGAGACTCGAGATTCCGACTTCAACTACACCCTATGGGAAATGATCAAGTTTGTCTCCGTCCTCAACCGCAAAGAATTACCCGTAATGCTATTCGGCATCTTCTGCTCCATCCTCGGCGGAGCCGCAAATCCCCTCCAAGCAGTCTACATGGGCCACTGCATTTCCGCACTCTCTCGTCCCGCTTCCCAATACGGCTCTCTTCGCCACGACATCGACTTCTGGGCTCTCATGTTCTTCATCACCGGCATCGTCATCCTCTTAGCTTTCTCCCTCCAAGCAGCGTCATTCGGCTACGGTTCCGAACGCCTCATCTTCTACGCCCGCTCAAAAGCCATCCGCGCCATGCTCCGCCAAGACATCTCCTTCTTCGACCGTCCCGAGAACTCCTCTGGTGCTCTTGTCTCGATGCTCTCCACCGAAGTCACTGGCCTCGCAGGCATCAGCGGTGCTACACTGGGTTCCATCCTCTCGGCTCTCACAACCATCATCCTCGCTCTCGCTATCGCCTGCGCCATAAACTACAAACTCGGCCTCGTTTGCGCAACCGCTATGCCGGTCCTCATCTGCTGTGGCTTCCTCCGTTTCTGGGTCCTAGCCCAATTCCAGCTCCGTGCCCGCAGAGCGTACGAAACGTCCGCCAGCTTCGCATGCGAAGCCACGGCCGCGATCCGTACTATCGCCTCGCTGACCCGCGAGGATCAGGTATGGGATCTGTACCACGATATGCTGCACGAGCAGACGAGGAAGAGTCTACGATCAGTCCTGCAAACGAGCACACTATATGCCGCTAGCCAAGCAGGCATGTTCTGTGCTTCAGCGCTGGGCTTCTGGTGGGGCGGAACGCTGATCTCTCGACATGAAATTTCGATGCAAGGCTTCTTCATCTGTTTCGCGTCCGTCATCTTCGGTGCCCAAGCCACTGGCGGAATATTTTCTCACGCCCCGGATATGGGGAAATCGAGACAAGCAGCCGACGCCTTAAAGACGCTTTTCGACCGCAAACCCGAAATCGACATCTGGTCCGAGGACGGCGAGAAAGTGCAGGATGTCCAGGGCGCGATTGAGTTCCGGGACGTGCATTTTAGGTATCCGACCAGAATCGAACAACCTGTTCTTAGGGGCATTGATTTGAAGTTCGAGCCTGGACAGTACGTTGCGCTGGTGGGACCGAGTGGGTGTGGGAAATCAACTGTCGTTTCTTTGATCGAGCGATTCTATGATCCGCGAACGGGAGGTGTTTTCCTCGACGGGAAAGACATCTCTACCCTCAATTTACGCGAATACCGCAGTCGGATCGCGCTCGTGAGTCAAGAACCGGTTTTGTACAGCGGTACGATACGGGAAAATATCGTTTCTGGAGCAGCTGAACATGTTGATGAAGAAGTGGTCGTGAAAGCTTGTCGGGATGCTAATATTCATGAGTTTATTGTACGTCCTTCTTCCCCTCCCCTCCCCTCCCATTCCATTCCAATATTTCTTCACGTGGACTAATGAATACTAGACCTCACTACCAGACGGACTCAACACCCTCGTAGGCTCCAAAGGCGTCATGCTTTCCGGTGGCCAAAAGCAACGCATAGCAATCGCGCGAGCATTGATCCGTGATCCTAAAATTCTGTTCGTCACCCTTCCATCCCCTCCTTTCCCCTCCCTTACCCTCGCTGCTAACTTTCTCCCAGCCTCCTAGACGAAGCAACCTCAGCCCTAGACTCAACATCGGAATGCATCGTCCAAGAAGCGCTCGACAAAGCCGCCAAAGGCCGCACGACGATCGCGATCGCGCACCGGCTATCCACAGTCCAGAACGCGGACGTGATTTACGTGCTCGAGGGCGGGCGGGTGGTGGAGAGTGGTGATCATAAGAGTTTGATGGAGGGGAGGGGGAGGTATTTTGAGTTGGTTAGGTTGCAGGGGTTGAGGGGGAAGGAATGAGAGGAGAGAGGGAGAGGGAGAGGGAGAGAGGGGGGGGTGTTTTTGGTGTTGGAGAGAGAGACAGAGAGGTGATTTGCTTTTTTGGGATAGATTGCGTTGGGCAAGCTGTTCTTTGTATTTATTATATTGGTGGGAATCTTCACTTGGTGGGTAGAATTGGATAAAGGGTATCGCTACTCTCGATCGAATATTAGATTTTTTTAATTTGCAAAATGGATGATAACTTGTTGTATTATTCGTGCCTGATCTCCGATTTGAGAATTGCTGGCTGGAGTATTTGATTAAACACTAAGATAGACCACTTTGGCGACTGCGCTGAGATTGTGGTCCGCTCCTCGCGCATATTGCGCAGACAGCGCAGATAGCGCGCATAGCGCTTTCTACGCTCAATTGTTTAAAACTTGGAGACTTTATATAAAAGTCAGTGGAAAGCTTTGTCAACTATCTAAGCTGTTCATTCGACACATGCGATCTTTAGCAATGTGAATCAGTTCTTAAAGCTTTCATATTATTATAGAAGATTGATGCTTAATAATAATGAAAACAAATCGACTAGATGAAAATAATAGAAAGGAGGAATGTCAAGTCGGCAGGAGTAATTACTACATTTTATACCGAGGGAGGAGATTTTCATATCTAAGCATCCTTAAGAGAAAGTAAAGTTCTGCTTGGGATGACTGTTGTTGGTCAAAAAATGCCCGCCCCACTCTCAGCTGCAAGTCATCGGCCCGCCTTGCTCAGTCCTCTCACCGAATTAGACTCAGCCTCACTATTACATCTTCCTCTCACTTTCAAACATTATTATCTTCCCGCTATAATTCATCAACATAAAGCTTTCCTTTCCAAATCTCATGATCCATAACCCAAACCAACAAATCCCCCCCCCCTTCCCACAACGCTCTGCCCCCTCTACCTCCCCCTCTCCCTCACACCCCTCTCCTCCGACTCCCACCACGCCCCGAACTGCACATCCCTCGAACCTCAGCCAACACCGGCTGTCACATCTGCACTTCCATCCGCCGCGCCTCCGCCGTCCCACCCTCTGTCAACCGCTTCAGTCTCGCGCTAAAAGAAGCGGGACGAAAAGAAGGGGTCTGGCTTCTTTGGACGGGAGAGGTGAGGACGGGAGTTATTGTTGCGGAGAGGTGTGCTTGTAGGAGAGAGGTGGTTAAGGCCAAAGGCTGGCCATCGCCCTCTTCAATTTTGGACGGCCGACCGCGAGCCAGGGAACGCGACGTACTTGATTATTCTATCACATATATTTTCCGTTTAACTTTGGTCCAATTTCACTATGTATTTCAAGCTGTGAAAAAGTAAAATGTTGCTAATCTCACGTTATGGTGTAGCGAGGCCCGCTCGTTCTTCACAATCACTATGTGCACTGCACCATTTATAATGGGATTCCCCTTCCGATCACTGGCATCCTCATCATGCTCGAGGGCCTGCTTATCATTCAACAAGATATTCCTCTGACTCATACACTATTCCTTTTTCTCGATCTCTACACTTTTCTCCCGGCAAAAAGTCGCTGGTTTTGGTCCTGTGTGCCATAGCAATTTCCCCCTCCGGCTGAGAGATACACGCAACGAACGGTTGGCTATCTTCGAACAGCTGTCCAATGTCACTGCTAAACTTCAGTGAATCTCACCAAGCGCACGAAACCAAACTCTCCCTCTGTCTTTCAAATTGTTCTACACTCTGCCCAGAACGATGAATCTCTACGAATTGCCAGCGCGGAAGATGTGGTCATTTGACATCCAAGTCCCACCCCGGTCCTGGATAGTGCATAGAACACCTTCAAGCCACAGTTTTTTCCCAATATCCTGCGGAGCTTGAGATTGCGAAAGCACGCGGTGTGCAACGCGGATGGCGATGGTTAGGTAGAAGTTGTGAGGGCCGGACGCACTGGCCATACGTGGCTCTGGGGGCCGGATGGTAGATTCTGGCGGCGGGGCGAATGGTAAACTATAATCGACACTCCTGATAATGTGAGAAATGGCGGTTGATGTTTGCTCGGATGCTGCTGCTTGTGTGAGGACGTTGATATCATCGCTGGGGAGAAGCGAGAGTGACGAGACGATGAGTTCGTTGATTAGTATAGTGATGGCGTTGTAGAATGTAACTACATTGGCCGCCTGTGGAGAAGAGAAGTGTATGATATCCGTGCAAGGATAGGGCGGTGTTGAAGCTACGATGGTGGGAGACACGCTGGAAAACTCGAAGTCAGGGTCAGAGGTTGTCCAACACGTGCTTTGGAAGCAGATGTCATCCCGAAGACTAAACGCGCGACTCAGGAGTGTTTGAACAGATGTCGACACGATTTGTTTGTGCGTGCCACTGCTAGTTTGGATAGATGGATCTGCAGATCGTTCTGATAGTATCGTGTCGTACTCACAATACAACGCTGGGAGTTGTGCGAAAGCGTTCAGTAGGTAGGCAAGAGCTGACCTGGGCGAAGGTAAATGATGATCGTTCGGTAAACAAATAGTTGTCGTATTCCATTCTGGTTGTGCCATCAACGATGGCCGGCGCGCGATGAGAGCTGCTACAATCATCATTGGCCGCGTCACCTCAAGTAGTGCAATGGCGAGCGGGTTGCTTCTATTCAATAAGGACCCGTGCATGGCCAAAAGCTGCTCGAGACCGTCAATATGGCGCAGCCAAGAGTGATCTTTGCTGCGTGTCGGTGCGATGGCCTGAATCAGGGGAAATCAGTAAAGAGCGAGCTCTTTGCGCTAGGATTGAGCGTCATTTACCTCATGCAGAGATAGTGCGACCACCGAACTGAGAGTTTCCGAGAAGAAGCCAGTGCTATCACAGCAACAACTTATGGTTGTGTTGACCATGCTGAGCGCTTGGAGATATAGACGCCTGCCGTAAAGAACGAGAGGTAGCTGCGCATGAGCAAGCCCATAGAAAGTTGTTGCTAGGGCTTGAAAAGAATGATTCCTGGCCACCCGCTCTAGCGAGTCTACATGATGGCTTATTGCTAATAACTGGCTGTGGCATATGATCTTTATGGGGCCATCGAGATTTGTGACTAGGTGGGCGATGAAATGGTCGTGTCGCATCGCTGACTCGGAGGGTGCTGGCCAGATAGGATATGCTTTGGAATCGCAAAGCACACGTCGAGAGCCAGCAAGAAGCTTTGTAACTTGAGAATCACTCTGGCATTTCTTGACCTCCTTTGGAGAGGAAGTCTCATCCCGCAGCCCCGAGGGAGATGTATGGCCTAGCTTTCGTAAGACTTGTGCTTTTGCATCGATGAAAAGCATCTCCCGATAGCCTTTGCAGACAATGTTTGCCCTGGCGCATCGAATGCAGGCCGGGCGCTGTTGGTCTGAAGCACAAAAGATTATATATTAGCCACAAGATGCTATTCTTCCTCCTCCGGTTGAACTGTTCGTCTGACTTACCGCACTTTACTCGGCGGCGCAAACATGTCGTACAAGCCCTGGAACGACCCTTGTTGTTGCCCATAATTTAAAAGCTGGACAAGCGTGAACGAAGGCTATCACTAGAAATAAAAGATGGACGGACCTGAGAAGCCTCAGAAGCCTTAGGTATCTCAGCCCCGGCCCCGGAAAACGCATGACGCCATCTTACGCCAAGCATTCCCCTACAGTACTGTGAACTCTGTCGCGAAGAGGACCGTTTAGGGACTAGGTTAGTGCTCACTCATCGACTCCACCACCACCACAAGCTTTGGCTTAGCGAAAAGTTTCCAAGAACTACTGCAACCTTACCTCGTGAACAACCTCTGTTTTGAGACGCAAACACCTTGGCAAAGTTGCCCTCTCAAGCTTAGTACTCGAAAATGGTAGGGAGACATGTATATCTTTACGCATGAGGTGCTCGCTCAGCTTGAGAAGAATTCTTATAAGAAGACTGATCTTTTTCTCTTCACCTTTGCTTGCTCATCATCCCTCTCCTCTCATCACCATCACATAGCCACCACCACCCTCTTATAACTATACCACACCCTTTCATACCTACATCTCATCTTTTTACGAGCATACAACACCTCGTGTATAAACACGTCACAACCTTTCGCAGCAATGTACCTTCTTATTCTCACCAGCCTCACAGCTCTGGCATTACCTGGTACCTGCTTTCCAGCCTGCTTTCCTGCTGTACATGATTTGCACGTCAAAACCGACAGTGGGCTGCTTCTTGGCTTTGTCGAGCCATCCGCTCCCAACGTCCGTCAATTTCTAGGCATCCCATTCGCTCACCCTCCAACTGGACCAAGAAGATGGCTTCCCCCTTCGAAATTGCGCTCAAGTGCACCCCTCAATGCGACCAACATCGGACCTGCCTGTCCGCAAATAGCCTTCGAAGGTGCAGAGTCCGGTTTAAGCGTGTATTCACCAAGCGGTGGCAACCAAACTGAGTACTTTCCTCTCGACTCATTCAGCGAAGACTGCTTAACACTCAACGTTTGGGCGCCGTCAAGCGCCAAAAAACAACTACCAGTTATTGTATGGTTTTACGGCGGAGGCTTCATCCAAGGAGGAACAAGTTCACTGTATTTTAACCCACAATCCTGGATCCAACGAACTCAAGAGCATATCGTCGTCACCGTCAACTCCAGAACAAACATATTTGGGTTTCCTAACGCCGCGGGCGTGGCCGAGCAAAATCTAGGCCTACTTGACCAGCGTCTCGCTCTTGAATGGGTTCGAGACCAGATTGCCCATTTCGGTGGAGACTCGTCTAGAATCATTGGTTGGGGTGAGAGCGGAGGAGCAGAAGCCGTCGACTACCTTAACTTTGCATATCCTTCCGATCCAATCTACAGCGGCACAATTCTCGACTCCACGACTGCTCTCTTCCCCAAAAAAGGAGGTCGAACATTCGACACAGCTCGGACGAACTTCACCGCTGTTGCAGCGGCACTTGGCTGCCGCAACGCAAGCTCAGAGATCGATTGTCTGAGGGACATACCGTGGCAAGACATCGAAGCCGTCCTTGCGGCAGACCCGACCTTGATGTTCCTACCCATCGTCGACAACACCACCGTCTTTGAAAACTACACCGAGCGCTATTCAATAAACGCCATATCCTCCGTCCCCGCTCTCATCGGCACAAACCAGCACGAATACAACGAAGGGATCCCAAGTCCCCTCAGCCTCACATTCAACCAATCCACTTCAGACAGGGATACAGACGAGATCTTCCTGTGCAGCACAGCGCGCACGTCACAACTCCGCCTGAGCCGCAACCTCACCACGTACAGATATCGATATGATGGTAATTTCTCTAACATATCGCCGCTTGCTTATCCAGGGGCATACCACGCCTCCGAGCTACCGTTGATATTCGGGACGGAGGGTGGTTTTCACGGAGCATCTACCGCGTATGAAAAGACAGTTAGTAGAACGATGCAGGACTTTTGGCTTGACTTTGCGAGAGATCCGGAGCATGGGCTGCGCAGAGCCGGATGGGGGACTTATGCCGAAGGCAAGGCTGTGTTGCTTGGTGATGTGGATCAGCCGGTGAAGGGTATTGATGTCTCACAGCTCGACGACGTCTGCAGTACACTTCCGGTCATCGAATAAGGGAAGCTAATGAGGTGCTTAAAAGCTCCTTGCGAGAAAGAATTTCGGGGCATGGTGTTGCGGGGGTTGTGAGTCTAGATGTTGAGAGAGAAGCAACAGAGGAAGAGGAGATATGGTGTTTGAGGGTTAGTGTGCAGTTTGTCTTGTTGCTTCTTGGGGTTGGGGTTGTGGGTAAGGATAGGGAAGAGGTGAGGAGCTATAGGAGAGTGGGGTTAGTGGACTTGAGTTTGGGGTGGTTGCCGATGCATGAAGATGAGTAGGTTGACGCTTGTTTGATGGTCTTCTGGAGAATTTTCATGTCTATTGAAATCAGATATGGAAAGAGATGCGCTCATAAGGCCTGAAAGCTCTATGCCTGAATGCTCAAGCAATTTGAAGGTTGTTTAGTACGGTCACGTGGATCTATTTCGATCGATCCCGAATAAAATACCGCAGAAACTTGAGGATTAGCCTTCTATTTTCTGAGGGATTACGTTTTGTGCTAGAATAAACCAAATACCCTGCGGACGTGAGCAACTGCTGCTTTAACCTGAGCTGAGTGTGAGCACGCCTGAGCCGAGGGCGAGCATGCTTGAGCAGAGCCTGAGCATCCTGAGCACGCCTAGATTCAGCCTGCGCACTATAATGTGGAGCTCATTTCCTGTCCAAACTACTGACGATTATAGATTTTGAAGAACTATCATCTTATTAGATGATCACGGTTTAGGCCTTCCTCGTTTGCCTATTTATTATTGGGAGAGCTTAAAAAACTGTGGAAATTAAATGAAATTAAACGAAAATGAAAGAGATTGAGGTGCCTGAAACCTGAAATTCGAGGTCAAAGTTTAAATTGAGGCTTAATATTTAAAGCCTGAGGTTAAAAACATATTAATAATAAGTTTATTTGTCAAGAACTGTCTAGATTCCTTATGGTGACAGTTTTCAGTTCTTTTAGCCCGTACTAGTACGGGTTGGTGACGGTTCAGAGCCAGAAACGGCCCAACCCACCCATCAAGAGCGCTGTGTAACGGGCATTTAGCTTAAAAAAATAACATACCTCGGCATTGAAGACCCATGTTAATCAAGGGATGGGCCAAGGTCGGTATAGATTCGAAGTTCTCAGACCGTGGATAGAAATGAGGCAGTTTAAATAGTGTCGAGAAAGTCATGAAGCGAAATAATGCCTTGCAGAAACTCTTTTGGAAATACAGTTATTTGATATTGCAAACGAAAGAAAATTCGAGGCATCAAAAAGACCCTGATGGATTTAGGCGTTGATAATGCGGGACGAAACTCTCCGTCCCGAAATCGTAAAGAAGTTGCTTTCATAGAATAATTTCACCTTCGTTGTCAAGTAATTCATTGAGATCCCCAAACGTAATAATCATCTCATTCAAACACCTTCCTAACATGGACCGAGCCGCACAAAGTAATACAGCGAGCAAGTTGGAAACTGATTCTAGAGGGCATCCGGGAGCGAGCCGAGTGGAACATACCTCAAAAACCAACATATGCTGATCATGTGGGGTACATGCGGCGCAAAAATCTTCGACGAAACCAAACGTGCAGTGTAATCTAGCGGTGTATGGCGTGTTGGTGGCTGCTATGCGACCAATCACTATATCCGTGAAGGTCATTGTAAGTAACACAGCATAACCCGATTCTTGTTAGACTGTGGGGCAGATATCGATGTCAAGGACAATAAAGGTTACACGGCGCTCCATTACGCGGTTGAGAAAGGGTCTCTAGAAGTAGTAACCTTGCTTTTGGATCGAGGTGCTGATAAGGATGCATCCAACGATGATGGATGGGCAGTAATTCATATCGCCGTGGAGCGTAATCAAGAAGAGATAGTAAGGCTTCTGATAAAAAGGGGAGTTGATGTAGGCTCTAGGATTGATCCAGCAGGACCCTAGCACCCACAAGTAATGATGATGGACTGTATTTCATTCGTTCAGAGAAATCATCCATGTATAGAACGCGGTGAATAATGTGAGGTAGATACTGGAGCCTCTGTTTAGATCTGCCGAAAGGACGCTGCCAAATGATGCAGATAAATCAAAGCGAGGGAAGTAAAAGTGTAGGGAAGTGAAATATGTACAGAGGTCAAATCTTCACATTGCTCATCTTCGTCGGACGCTGGCAAGGTGATCATCCAGATGCAAATTTTATTCTTCGAATTTCGAACAGTATCTTAGAGAGAAGGCAGTGCGGCTTGTTTATCGCCTACGTTTGCGTCTTATTGTTATTGTAGGGACAGTGTATACAACATTTCAATTGAACCAATGAAACCACCATACAAGTTCAAGCCGGCTACCCATTCAATCATGATAACAAATTCACCAACTTCGAAGGAGCAAGACGGTATTCCGCCAAGTAGACAAACGTGATGTACTGTACTTGCACAGTACAACAGGCTACCAACATGTAAGAGCTAATCAAAATATAAATATAAATCGGCAGCACTGGAGTGACATTAATTAGCTTTCCAGCGTCATGAAATCGGCCTCGACGGTTGCTTACTCGTGGAAAAGTTTCGTTTGGACAATCCGCATCTGACTACATGGCTTCGTCAGTAGAATACCTCAAACAATAGGAAACTTCATTACCGTGCAACTATCGTCTATGAAACTGCCGCAGTTACTGTCGGCACAAAGAAAGATGGTAGTCGGCGGCGGAGCACAATCCACGCAATCACCATCGTGCTCGACAATGTCGCCAATGTCTTGGGCAGGAAGTGCAGCAACGAGATAAGGAACCATCAAAAAGAACCATGCTTCAGATAAATGCATAGTTGTGAGAAGTCTTGACTTGACTCGGTCGATTTTGTGTGGGGACTCAACTATAGCGATCGGCTGGTGATTGCAGAGAAAATAATTGGCAAATCATATACGACTTTTGACCCCAGCGGTGTTGCTTTATACAGGCGATGGAAAGATAAGGGAGTTGCAGAAGGTTCTTGAAATGCCATAGTCTTAGGTTGTTGGAAAAGGATAGAATATCGGACGGTAGCAGGTCACTACGTGTGGCAGGTCAATCAGTGACACTCCCGAAGGGAGTACCAGAGGTCAGGGGACACTATTATGGTTGCAGTCCAAACAAGAGTTCCGATCCCTGACAGAGATGTTTTGGGGGCGGTGAGATATCCAACACTTGGAAATGAGTATCCCCCTTGCATCGGCAGTTGCAGACGGTAACATGTATCAAGTTGCCCAAATCGGCGACCTGCCTGTCGTGGTAGGGTTGTTCCTACCTTGTTGGAGAATGGGCGGTTGGTTTGTGTTGTCTTCCCGGTTCTTTTGCGGCCTTACTGCCTGCAAGGTAAGCATGCAGTTGCACAGTAGCACAGTGCTAACAGTAGCACAGTAGCCCAACCCACAGCTGAGAGCTACCACGTGAAAATGCACCGTCAGCAACCAGGTTCCCTATGTCACCCCCCAGGTTATCCATAGGTGAAGAATATGAAAGCCAGCAAACGTGCTTCGGGGACCTGCATGCGTTCTTGAGTTTAGAATCTACTATACTAGACAGTCCCACCAGGGTCCGCCACCGAGAAGATCACCTACGACGACCACCCTGAGTTACTGACACCAACACCACCCTCAAGATGACACGAGCAATTTTCGAACTCACGCCGACAGACGAAGTTCTCGTTCTCAACTCTCTGACCCTTCGAGATGCCATTGAAGCGAACAAGATGTTGTTGATATCGTTCTTTCACAAGTTGATCCCTAGCTGTGCCCGATTCGTTCACATATTCGAAGAGGTAAGCCCACCATTATTACACCCACTCAAATCGAGTCTGCAATTGACAGATGTTGCTTCGCCCGCAGACTGCGCAAAGTGCGCGCAACAGCTTCGAGACTCAGTTTGCCCAAATCGACGTTATGGAGAATGCAGCTGTCTGCCAAACTTTCAACATCACATCATACCCAGCTATTATGTTGTTTCAGGGTATGGACAAGATCCAAAAATACAATGGAGTATTGGAAGAAGCACAGTAAAGTTCCCGAGGTCCCTGTTTCCACAAAGTACCTGGCGATATTCTAATCACTTTTATTAGCATCATGTCGTATTTGACGAGACAGACCTCACCTATCGTTTCAATCCTCACACCCAACACCCTTCCCGACTTCAAAGTTGCAAACAGTGTTGTAGTTGTAGGATATTTGGCAACCGCAGATAAACAATCCCAAGATGCATTCACCACGCTTGCAACGGACATGCACAATGACTTTCTGTTTGGTCTAATCTATGGTGAAGCTACGCAATTGCCAGAGCAGACCACAACTCCGAGCATTGTGATCTGCAAGAGGTTCGAGGGGCAAGAGGAGGAGCATGAAATTTTGAAGTTCTTACACGACGTGAATTTGATGCGTACTCTTGTCAAGACAGCTAGCCGACCATTGGTAGTCGAATTTCGACCGGAGCTGCATGATGACTATTTCAATGTAAGGGGAGATACTCGTCTCACCCAATTTGTCGTCTGTACCTAGCTGACTTGAAGCTGCAGTTAGGAATACCGCTTGGATATATACTCATCAATTCCGTGGCTGACCGAAAACGATTAGCCAACATGGTTCGCTCACTTGCTAAACAATACAAGAATCAAATAGTGTTTGGCACCGTGGACAAAAAGGACATAGGAAGGTTCCGAAACTGGGCTGACGAGATCTGGTTCGAAATGGAACATTGGCCAACCTGGCCATCGTTTGCCATTCGCGAGCCTATCAAGAACTTGCGATTCCCATTCGACAAACGGCTTGACCTGACCGAGAAGGAGTTGTCCAAGTTCGTGAAAGCTTTCAAAGAGGGAAAGCTCATGCCGACAATCAAATCAGAGCCACTGCCCGATGAGCAGAAGAGCCCAGTTATCGATGTTGTGGCCTTGAACTACGACAATGTTGTCTTAGATAACGCGAAGGACGTGCTACTTGAGTTCTGTACCGACTGGTGCCCCGGATGCAAAAAGTCTCGCTCTACATACGAAGGTCTCGCTACGTTGTATGCTTCCGATGAAACTCTGAAGAGTCAGGTCACTATTGCAACGATGAATTTCGAGAAGAACGACTGTCCGGATCGCGACGTATTAGGCGTTCCGTGGTTCAAACTATTTCCTGCACATAAGAAGGAATCCGCGTCGCTCTATTTTGGACCAATAACGTTAGAGGGGATGGCTGGATATATCAGAGATCATGGAACCCACAAGGCTTATCCGAAATTTGATTCGGTCAATACTATTACCGACGGGGTGGTTGCATAGCTGGCTTTCACGAAGACTTTCTTTAAATCGAAATCAGGTTAACTTAATATACTGATTCCATAGTAAAGCATAACAGCATCTCCATAAGGGCATGTTGAAACGATGACCTGTGTAGCATCACAAGTAGCACCAGCTAGCACGTAAAAGGAGCTTCTAGGCTCTCCCCTCTGAATGAACCACCCTTCCTCCATCTTATTTTATGGTAACGTACCCTGGTTTTTTATGTCACACCCTCTTCCCAGCGATATCATGCTGGTTTCCCTCAATAGACAGTTATTGTGGGCAGTTATGATTAGCCGAGTCTTTGTCTGGACTTCTCAAGCTCTAGATATGCTTGATAAAATATGTAATTACTTTCTCTACGAATTAATGATTAGAAATGGTTTGGCTTCAGCTGTACCCGTCGCTAGTCCGTTCACCCTTTTAGCTTGAATCTACCATCACCATCAAACCGAAGTCTCATTTTGCTCATTCTCTTGTCGAGGGGCATGGAGCAAGTGTTATCCATGCCCAGAGCTTCCTTAACCTGTACGTTGGTTAGTGCATGGACGATGGATATTTCGTGGTAGAGATGGAAAGTCTCACTTCATCGTCCTGCATAGCTATTGCAAAGGTCGACACAGAGGCATTGTGGCTGACGCCATTCTGCCATAGTGCATAAATCCCGATGAGGACTGAAAATGTGCTGAACAAGATAGCTAGGCCGTAGGCAATGAAAAGGTTCGAAGGTTCATAGTGGTAGACTGTCGCCTCGCTGGTTGTAGTGACCTCAGTGACCACAGTCTGACTAATAAAATTCTTAGTTTTCTGGATGAAGAGGTGGAAAGAGCCAAATTTGTGTTGCGGTCTTACCAAAGGCTGGGATCACTGAGAAGGCTGAGACTAACATTGAGTGAGAACTCTTCAATATCGTCGGAGAAAGAATGATTGCGAAGAGAAGGGTCTGCACCAGGAGATGGGGGTAAACCAGTCCACATTCGGTGGTACATCTTGTAGAATTGGGAAGAAGCCATGAGCTGGCTTTGTACGATCTTACTTCCACCTATGTAGTCGAAGGGATCCGACCGAGCTTCAAGACCCGTGTAGAAACTTGCGATATTATCAAACCATCCAGCATAGGCCGCATAAGCATGACTCGTATCGCTAAAATTCAACGCAGAAGGATTTAACATCTGGATATAATCCACTTCAAGATTCGAAATTGTGAGGAGAGACGACTTTAACTCGATTGAAAGTGTGATGGAAGCATTATATAGCTCGCAAGTTAAGAATTCGATTTCTTCCTGTTTGCCGGACTCGTCATAAATTGAGAGCGCAGTCCAAAGCTCGCCTAGAGTTTGCTGGGCAGAAGAATATTGTCGATTTCCCTGCGTTTGCAGCAAGACCCTGTTTCCAGACTCAGGTATGACGGCGGGGACCACAGAAAGATACCCTATTTCGATGGTAAAGCACCCATGTGTCGTGTTCCACGTGAGGTTGTCAAAGGTGTGAGGACTGGGCAAGCCACTCCAATAACTCCTAGCCATGGTAGCCATCTGATGTTGTACTGAAGTATTTGACTGCTTACACCGCAGGAGCGGAAGATACGTAAACATAGAGTATGGTACGTTTTGGTAGGTTGTTGGCGTTTTCAATGGGACAAGTGTTCCAGTTATCGCTGCAGCAGACGCAACTCTTGCCACAGCTGGACTAGAAGCAAAGCCCAAACGAGCTATGCCAGGGTATAGTTCTAGTTTGGGGAACATTGCTTTAGTGAAATTGAATCCGTGCGTGTACATTGGTTCAAGGCTATGATCAGATATACCGATCGTGGGTACCATTTCGTTACTAGCGTTAACACTTACACTTCTTTTTGTAGACAGAGTAGCAGGAGGTATCAGAGTAGATATGGGGATGCTCCTGGAATATTTGTCAAAAGGAAGAACAGTATCACGGATGAATTGAAAAACTCGCCATAACACAAGCGCTAGTGCAGTTGCCAGAGGCATGCCGGACTTTAATTCCCAATTCCAGAACGACCAGAGATTATACTCAAGACTGAAAATATCGTTTAGCGTTCTGAGAGAGAAGGATTTGCGTCTCAAAATCATCCAAACATACTGAATATAGGCTACTCCAATTGACGTCTTTAAGAACAAGGCTACGAGCCAAGCAAACCCGGTGCCAATCCTAATACCATTAGTATTTTCGGCAGTTGAAAATTAACTCGCTCTTACCGCAATGGCCACTGTTGATGATGAGAATCTCCAACCTGTTTTCCGTTCAGCCAGCGATAGTAGAAATGATGGCCGACAGCGAAGCCAATGCCAGCTAGTAGCGACATGATCATCAGAGTGGGGTTACTCCAGTCGACATGTTTCTTAGTGTTTGGCTGACCATCCAATCGCGGATTGTTGCGATTGTCTGGAGTGGACGAAACTGTTGGCGCTTCGGGCAAGACATTGTCTTCAGCATATCCATTAGGGTCGTGATGTTCAACAATTTCGTCATCTTCGTGTCGACAAGACCCAGGCTCATCAAATAGCACAATGGTCTCGGCAATGGAGTCTCCAACCACAATATTTGCGTCAACTCTGCGAGGAGAACGAGTTGGATCAATTCGATAATGAATAGGTCGTTGATCAGCTGCATCGATAGAATGTATTGAGTCTTCACCATCATGGTGATGAATATCAAAGACGTCTAGATCAATCAAATCTTCATCATGGTACGCCATAGCTGAACAAAATAGTTCACAAGTGCAATGCTACCGTTGAGCTTTATAGAGGATTCGATCAACACTAAGACATTTGGTGGAGAGGAAAAAGAGGTACGTGTACCTAGGAAGACACGACTAGTCACAGGTCGAGGCACAGGTTCGTTACTATTTCGTATTCATACTGAAGCGAACCTGCAATGTAATATGGAGTTGATAAATACCAATTAATTAGCCTGAGTTTGGTGCAGCGCAACCAGAACTGCCAAAAATGTCAAGCCCCAATGACTTTTGTAGAGCCAATCATTGAGTACGTATCGTAGCATCAATTTTCAGATGCCATCCTGATCGACTCACCGAGTGAGGCTGTGAAAACTGGGCTTACAAGGAAAACAGCCCATCTACTCATTTACCTTCCCCCAGACAATATTTCCAGTTCAATAATCTTCACAACCGACATCCACCACTCGCTCTTCCCTCTCCCTTTGCAGAACCACCCCTCTGGCCCGCCTCTCCTTCAACATATTGTCCATCGCATTCCCCACCATCTCCGCTGTACAAATCAAATCATCCTCAACGTCTTTAACTTTCCCAAACGCTTCTCTAATCAGATTCTTCCCCAAGGTCTCCACATCCCTCGCATTACCCCACCCTTTCGTCTCACCCAAAAACCTCATCTTCCTCATCAAGTTCTTGCATACACTCAAGCTCGGCCGACCCAGTACAGGACACGAGACTCCGTTCTTACCCAAGTTCCTTTTGAGGATCTCGAGACAATGGTCTGGACCCAAAGAAGGGAAGTGGATCTCCTCGGGGAAGCGAGATGCGAGACCAGGGTTTGTGGACAGCAGGGTGTTCATTTCTGCGGTATAGCCAGCAAGGATCACGATGAGCTTTCCGTGGTACTTAGGCTTCGTAAGGAGATCGACCAGCTCAGAGACTACTTCTGAGTTGAAGGAACATGAATCTGGGGACGAGATAAGACGATATGCTTCATCGATGAAGAGAACGCGGCCCAGAGCTCGTTCGAACACTTTGGCGGTTTTAGGAGCAGATTGGCCGACATACTTCCCGACGAGATCACTGGCTGAGCATTCGATGACAGAGGGGTCGGCAAGATGTCCCATATCGTAATAAACTTGCGCGATCTTCCTGGCAGTGGTGGTCTTCCCTGTTCCTGGTGGTCCTTTGAAGACGAAGTTTGTGGGAATGAAATCTTTCGGATCTAGTCCCTTGAGTTTCATGACTTGGGAGATACGTTGATATTGTTCAAGTTTCGAAATGATGTCTTCACAGCCGATGACGTCTTTGAAAAGCTCTTTCAAGTTGTTCGTAGCTGATTTTCCACGATCAAACTCGGGATCAAAGTCTTGAGGCGCGAAGATCCACGTCTTGGGTCGATCAGGAACAGGCATGGAGGATACCCGCTTTTGGTAGTTGATCTTGGCCTTTGTGATCAAGTTCTCTACCTCGCCACCGTTACCGAAATTCACTCGACTACTTGCTTTCTCCAACACGTCCATGGCGACTTTAATTGCTGGTTCTGTAGCTTCTAGAACATGATCTTCAAGCTTGGACTTCAAGATGCACTCCAACTCTGGAAGGGTAAAATTCTGAAACCAGAAGGCATCGGACATGGGAAAGCGTCTGTTTAGACCAGGATTGGAGTTCTGCAACATCTCAGACATTGCGTCGTCATACCCCAGTAGTAAGACACATCGATCCTCTCCCGGCTCGCTTTGAATCTCGCCTACAAGAGTATCCATGATACCTTGCCGGAAAGAGTCACTTTCATTTCCTGTGTCACCGCCAGAGTACATCATGTAAGCTTCATCAATAACAAGAACATTGCCCATAGCAGAACGCAGAGCTGCCCTGGTGTTGTTCTCGGAATCACCGATGTAGCGTCCAATCAAGTCGCTCGGATTCTTCATGATCACATCTCCTTTGCTGAGTATGCCAATTTCAGCCAGTAATTGACCATATAGTTTGGCAACCAGCGTCTTTCCGGTACCCGGAGGACCGAGGAATAGTCGGTTCAAGGATACTTTCAAAGGCACCTTTTCCTCTAATTCCCGATCGTAGTTTGTCTTTACGAGCTCCAGCAGACCGAGGATCGAGTCTTTGACTGATTCCAATCCTGTCAATCTCTGCATTTTCTGCCATGCTGGACTTTCTAGGACAGCGGCCGATGGGTTTGGCCCTATAATATCCTCTTTCGTAAATTTGTAGTCTTCTTCTTCAGCCGAGTCAACTTCGCTGAGCGTGTCGTCGTCGTTTTTGTTCTCCGCTTCGGTCTTGCTATCTAAATTATCGTCGGATTTAGTTTCCTCTTCGGCTGTCGCTGACAATGAATTGGATACTTCCGTGGCAGGGATCTGTTCCTCGAGCTTGGTAGGTGTCAATTCCTCGGTTGTGCGAGTTCCAACGAATCCCCATGTGTTCTCTCGATGAGATTCTGCTGGTATATTGCCTGCGACGACATCTTTGTCTTCGGAAGACTTCGCATCTTGCACCTCGTTCACAGATTCTTTGCCCTCTGAGTTTGATGGACTGTCAGGCAATTTCGCATCCTGAGCCGCAGCTGTAATCCTTTCTGCTCGAGTATTCGAAAGCCGGGCCGCTTGTCGATCCAAGATCTGCGAAAGTAGATTATTGACCGATCTTGCGTTTGCAAATAAAGTCGATCCTCGGGTTCTTCCAAGCCTCCTGGTTGCTATTCTCATATATAGCCCCTCCTTCCCACCTTCGACCTCCGCTTTTCCATCAAACTTCTTCTTCATGGAGTACCAGAGAATCTCTCGAAGTTCTTCATCGGTGTAATCCTTGAAACGTATATGGTAAGGAAGAAGACTACTGAGATTCTTGTCCCCGTGACCGAGAACATCCATCATTTCTTTCTCCTTGCCGGCGAAAATGAAGACGGCTTTTCCTCTTCGGGAATCCACTTCTCCAAGCAGATAATCTAGCACTCTGATTCCGTTATGTTCATCGTTGAGAAGATAGTGTGCATCGTCAATGAATAGGACACCTCCATTGCTTTCCACGAGATCCTCGATGTAGCCTTTGATTCTTGAGATCCCACCATCAGCTAGGTAGATTCCTGTTGTATGCTTGACTTGTTCGCTGCCGATGACCCCCATTGAATGCAGTAGTTTTGCATACTGCTTTGCAAATGTTGTTTTGCCTCGAAGAACGTTAGTCTTGACATGCTACGTGGGCAGGATAGCCTACCTGTTCCCGAGTTGCCGATCAGTACTGTCCCATATCGTTCATCCTTGATGTCTATCCCTTGACGTGCCATTGTCTTCGCCTTGACCAACAACTTCTCAACATGTTCTTTGACATTAGAAAGACCCACAAGCTCCATGATGGCTTTGATCGCCTCTTCTCGATTCTGTCTCATCTTCTTTTTCTTCTCCTTCTCTCTTCTCACTCGTCCATCTTCTTCAGTTTCCGACTCCGAATCACTCCCACTGCTCTCCTCTTTTGGTTCTGAGGGAATGTTTCTAGGGCAATAAGGGTCAAGATTGTGCGCAGAGTCCTCCTGACATATGCATTTTAGTCGGTACGAGATGCCCCCCTCGCTCTCTTCGAAGACCTCAAGTCGATTTTCCAGATGATCGGCATTCCAGATACTGTCAGTAGTCTGGTCTCGCTTGATTTGGAACTGTCTCTCGAAATCTTCGAGGTCAACAATAAAAAAAGTTGGAATGCCATCTAAAAAGCGCGACTGAATCTTCATCCGAAGATGCTTGAGAAAATTCGAGGCCGAACGGAGGAACTTCAAGTTATGGTAGGATACTACTTCTCCAGATGGTTCCGAAGGAGGCATTCTGGGAGAAACCTCCTCCGCTAGAACTATTTCGTCCAATTGTATCGTAGTTGTTGTGGTAGCTCCTTTTTGCAGCTCAATGATGGAAACTTCAGGAACTTGGACATGTGATACATTGAGGACTGATTTCTTAAGATTCCGGGAAAGGTAGTCCACCAGAGAGGTCTTGTCATTCGATCGGAGAGAGGCAAGGAGTTGATCTGGGAGGTAATCTTGTGTTGTACGTCTTCTCGGAGAGGTCGAGAGCGTGTTATTTTCAGGCCAATCTAATGGCGATGGGATAATAGCAGCGCCTTGTCGACAACAATTCTCCGAGAAGATCACATCGGCCATAACAAGGAGGTGTTCGAGAACCTGCTTGATATCATGTGATAGCGAAGAGGTCTCGACTTCGAAGTCTGGTCCAAACGTAGCTGTCGCCGTTGCTTTTCGTAAAATCTGATCATAACTTCGCGATACGTTTTCCAAGGCCAGAAACGACTGTGAGAGGAGGTGCTGAAAGACTTCGGATCCATTGCCTGAACATTGCATGCAGCAGGGCACGTGATTGAACATTTTCGTCGGATTTTATCACGACTTGGTGGAAAGCTTTCGAACAAATCGGTCTTCCGTTTTTCTGAACAGGACAACGCAATGAAATTGAAGAAGAACTCGAAAGAAAATTTTCGACAAGAGATCTAACAGCACACAAGTACATGATTGCCATCCTAGGGAACATGCATACTCGGTGAGGCGTTTGAGAGAACCAGTCGCACCGAAGCAGCCATTGACAGACCCACAGGTGGGACTCATATTGGACTCATACCTGCAAGATAACAGGGTGCGAATCCATTTTATGCACAGACGGCGTCGCCGTCTCTCGTCGCGGTTTGCTGCACGTTGCTGCGGATCGAGAGAATCGAGACGTTGCTGACCGCGGAGCCTGCACTAGCAGGGGCTTTTGGAGGCTGCAGTGGCCCCCAAACTATGTCCCCTGCGTAGGTTCTTAGGAATCAAACCTTTGCTTTCTCTGAAGAATAATTGCACCCATCCAACTCATGAGAGAGCCGGAAACAATTCGAAGACGGGCCGTGGATCGTGAAGCCGAAACAAGAATGAGGGAACTCAACTGTACTCTTGAATACCCCTATATCAATACTCGAAAATGCAAAGTAGTCAGTACTCGCACCGATAAAGAGAAAGCCGAGTCCAGAAATGGCGCGGCTAGTGATGGACAACGCTACTGAAGGAGAGATTACACGACCCCACGCTCTCGAATAAGATAGTCAAGTCGATTCAAATCGACATTGCGTGGTCCTTGATCCACTAAGATCGCGGGGGAATAGAGATGAGACAGAAGAAAATATTCTGCTCGTTGTATCCGTACCAGAAACTTAGAAACGAAGATAGACATCATTCCTCGACACTATGTACCAACACATCAGGTTGAACCAGGTTCTGTCTAACCATATCTCCATTCAGCAGGTCGTTACTTTCCGCCCTTCTTATAGCCGATTCCCAATTGTTCTCGATCCCGCTTTTGATATGCCTTTTCGCAATGCGTTCCTTGGCCAATAGAGGGTCGACATCCACGAACCAACTCTGGTCCACCATCCCTTTGATCTTGTTCCAAGGAGCCTCATCCAGAAGCAGATAATTGCCCTCCAATATCACGAACTGTATATCCTTGGAAATGCTTATTCCATCTGCGACGGGGTCTTTCACTGCATGGTCGAAGGAGGGAGCAAGAATTGTCTCTATCCGCTCAGATCTCGAAGCTGAGAGCTTGGTGACCAGACCAAGTATGCCATCTGGATCGAAAGTCCAAGATGCACCCCGACGAGCGTAGGCTTCTGCTTTATTCGGCATTTCGTCAAGGGTCGATCGAGGGAGGTGGAAGCCGTCCATTGGAACTACAGCTGCAATTGGTGTATCTGAGCTGGCATTGAGTCGTTGCGCGACTTTGCCTGCTATTGTAGTCTTTCCTGAGCCTGGGGGCCCTGCCAATATCACCACGACGCGGTTTCGATGTTTCTCGTTGATGAGGTCTTGCTTAAGGGAGAGGGCACGGTCGGTGAGGGATTGATAAACAGGCTCCATTGGGACTGGAGTCGGATGATGGAGGTAGGAATGAAGGGGATTGTCGAGGAGGAGAGAGGTATTTCCTATTGTCTGAGCTGTGAAGAAATTTCCAAACTTACTTCATTGTCCATTTATGCGACCAGCATCGGGGCAGTCCACTCCGGCGTGGGATTGAGCACGAGAGCGGCTGAGAAGGGGTCGCAGAGAGTCATTTCCCTCAGGTACAGCGAGTGTATAGCTTCTCGAACAGGTGAGAGCAACTCCGACTGGTCTGGATCATGTTGTCGGGTACAAAGAAGGGCAGCAGAGAATTTGCTGGAGCTTTGATTTGCAAAAGAGCCTCGGTCCAGGTGAGTGCTGAAAGTTGCGCCACGCTGTGAATTTGTCAGAACATCAGGTCAGAACTCGCACTCCCCCTTACCATCTTTTTATATTTGTCAACTCTGCCAAACACCTCATTTGAATCTGTCTCGTTGTTTTGACATAGATATATACGCATTGGAGGCTTTTGCTCTCTCAAACTCCCATAGTACCCCTTTGCCATCACGTGCAGCCCCAGATTTCTCCACCTTTGTCGAGCATCAAGTCCCCGCAAAATTCTAGTCATGTCCCGTGCATCTCCAGAATTTGCTTGTCCGCCAGCTGTCCCTATTGTTCTTCTCCACAAACCTCTCAGGAATATCTCACTGGCCATCAAGTGAAAGTAACCTTGACGTCGATGGCCAGTATACATCAGCACTGTTACCATGAGTGCTACCCAAATTGAATCCTCACCACAACAGCTTCGGGCGGTAAGTGGCCACACATTACCCTGGCAAGTTGCACGTTGGAAACATTGCTAATGCCTCATAGTGTCTAGAATGCCAGGTATGTGTCTGCCCTCATCTCAGATATCTACTAGCTTAGAAGGGATTACTGACCCGCCGCCTAGAAACGAAAAAGCAAGGTACGTTACATCCTAGATACCTTGATGGGGAAAACTTTCGGAGTTCGGCTGACCACTCTGCCCTTCTTAAGTGCACTGGTGAGGCTCCATGTGCATTCTGTGCTAGAACACAGAGGATTTGTGTATATACAGCTCGACCTGTCAGGACACCTTTGACTAGGAAGTATGTCACGATCTCGCTCCCAATTCTTCCTTCTGCACTTTGTGGAAAACACTTGTTGACCACTCATGTGAAGAAACCTAGATTCGGCAGAACAAAAATGCGAAAAGCTCACATCTCTACTGAAGTCTCTCAATCCAGATGTCGACATTGAAAGTCTCCTGAAAAATGGGGTCCCTTCAAGTCGACCAGCTGCAAACAATCCCAGCCCGAAGAGTCCACAGCAAGTGGAAGAAGCAAGTCCAGGATCATCCCATGAGTACGAATGGCACGAAGCACCGTTGTCGAATGATGACGAGCAAGCTCATTCTCTGAGGGACGGGATGGCATTGTTATCTACAGACCCTTCTGAATCGGGCTATCTCGGTACGTTGGAAGCGAAAAGCTACCGCTCTTTTATTCACTCACATCTTGCAGGTAGCAGTGCTGGTTCAAGTATGCTTCAGACGATCTTTTCACTGCTGTCGTTGAGAGGACCATTGGATGACCCTTCCAAGCACGAAATCTCCAAATTGATTGCAACCAGACAGCGATCCGACTCAGGATTCCTCACTCTCGAAGGTGACTTGGCTTCATCAGCCATTACACATGGATTGATTGATGCTTACTTTCTATTTTATAATACCTCGTATCCCATCTTGCACAGTCAGCTCTTTAGAGACACTTACGCGAACAGATCGCAGATCGCAAGCAATTCTGCTTGGCAGCTGGTGTTTTACACTGTTCTAGCAATTGGCCATTGGGTTTTGAGTGCTGGTGAAGACCATGCAGACTCACCTTATTATCTTGCAGCACGATCTCGAATGTCTGCGGGTATGCTCGAGAGTGGTACTTTGACCGGAGTGCAAGCGTTTTTACTGATGGTGATCCTCACCATATCTCGCCCGTGACAAAGGAGCTGATCGATGCTAGGGAAATTATCTTCAAAAACGCGACAGACCAAATACTGGTTACAACATGATTGGCATCGCATTCAGGATGGCTTTGGGTCTGGGTCTCCATCGTGAGATCTCATCCATTAGTGGGGAGGAGAACACTTTGAGCAAAGAGATCAGACGACGAGTCTGGTGGATTCTCTACATGGTCGATTCTGGCTTCAGCATAACCATGGGAAGGCCTACCACTGCTTCCGATGCATTCATTGACGTTCATCTACCTCAGAACATTGAAGACTCGGTGTGTGATCTATCAGCCTTCTCCAAGCAGTTCTAACGTCCCCAGCATCTTACATCCGATGAACTAGTATTTCCACTCCCTCCACCGGTAGACTACCCAACGACCTATTCTGCCATGATTGCACAAGCTCAACTGGCAGTTATCGCAAACAAGATTTACAACGAGTTTCTGTCCGCTCATATCAGTAACGCTGTAATCAACGAGGAGTTAGCCCACAAATTCGAGGAAGAACTCCGGACATGGCGAGTCTCTTTACCGCCTTATTTCCACGATCCCAAATCTCCAACATGGTTTCACGGACCAAGATCTGTCATTCTGTGGAAGGAACAGAACCTTCGAATGATGCTCTGGCGAGGTGGTCAGAGAAACAATAGGGTGCGGCCAAGAAGTGAACTTGCGGTTCAGAACTGCATTCTTGTTGCCCTTGAATCAGTCGACGCAATTTGTACATTTTGCGATACGAATGAGAGGCTTCACCAAGGGTTGAGCTGGTATGCCACATATTTCCTATTCCAAGCCGTCTTAGTCCTCGACTTTGGCCTACTACAGTCACCACAGGACGGACAAGCATCCATTTGGAGAGAAGCCATCGAGCGATCAAGGCGATCTTTCACCCAGCTTGGCATCACGAACCCCGCTGCACTGCGGTGTATCGCTGTGCTTGATCGTATCCACCAGCATCATCAAGCTGGATCAACGATACCATCACAGCCTGCTCCTGATGAAGTGGCCAATGCTTTTTCAACTTTTGGTGACGAATCACTCCAGGAGAGCTCGGTTGATTACGCCACGCATCAGGCATACTCAGCTGATCCAGCATTGCAGTTCTTTTTCGATGGGCCGCCAATGACGAATCTTTTCGACGGTGTTTATGGCTTTCCAAGTACGCAAGAACAAGAAAACTTTGACTATATTCCGGGAGATTTCTACAACATGGACGACTTCGACATGTCACTGAATTGGCATGATCCTCAAAATGGATCCCATGCCTGATCTGGTTCGATTATCGCTCCATCCCCAACCAACTACTCGGTGGCCACTCAGTGCTGAGCTGAGTATGTAAACCTTCCGCCCCGACAGTTATATCACCATATCACAGCGAAAGGGTGGATTTATTCCTTCTGGCTTCAATATCTGCATTGATTCCAAGATTTAATCAAAGGTAATAGCTGCCTTGATGCACGTCTTATTTCGGATGGCATCCAGCGCCTCGCCGAAGTTCTCAAGTTTGTATGTATTCGTCACGATCCCGCGTACATCGACTTTACGAGTTTCGAGATAATGCACTGCACGCGGCAAGCACCACATCTCGGAGAATGATCTGGACAGCGTTAGACAATGCTCGATAATAACTGGGAGGATACTTACCCGATCATCGTGATCTCATCGCCAAAAACTCTGCTAGGAGCTACCTTGATCAAGGCCTCTTTCTCATAGACACCATAATATATGAGCTTACCTCCCCTCGTGCAATAGTCGATTGCCTTCTCAAGCAATGCATGGGACCCAGATGCTTCGACAACGACATCGAATCCGTATGGGTACTTCGCCTTCAGATCTGCCCATTGCTTGCTTGGGTCTTTTCGGCTCAACTCGACGTACTCATCTGCACAGTTCAACTTCTTGGCCAGTTCCATCTTTGGACCTTCATTCGAAGCCAAAACCATATGCGCTCCACCATTTGCCTTCAATAATTGTGCCAAACAGAGACCAGTTGGACCAGAGCCAATGAGCAAGATGTTTGATCCAACCTCCGGTCGGATTCGATCCATGCCATGAACGGCACATGACGCAGCCTCGAAAAGAGAAGCTTCCTCCCATGACAGATTCTCAAAGTGGAACAACTTTTCAGCGGGGTATGCGCAGTACTCGGCAAAGCCACCATCAACTATAATTCGTCAATTACACTTTATCGTCTCGTTCCACTTGTGTGACACTCACGATGAACACCGTGCGCTTGGAAATTTTCGCAATACAGCAACTTTCCTTGCCGGCAGTAATGGCAGTACCCGCAAAGCTCTGAGTTGTCTGCTGTGACCTTATCACCGAGCTTGAATCCCTTCACATTCTCTCCGATTTTCACAACGATCCCGCTAGTTTCGTGGCCAGTTACGACTGGCATGGCAGAATCAAAGTCGCCGTTGTGAATGTGTAAGTCGGTGCCGCAGATTCCGCAAGATTTCACTGCCACCAAGTCAGTTTCATCGTTGCTCAAGGCTATCCATGTTGCATACCTTTGATCAGAATCTCATGGGGCTTTGGCTCAGGAACCGGCATAGTTACAAGCGAGAAGTCCTTGATCTTGTTATATCGAATGGCCTTCATTTCAGTTGGAACAACGAACTTTGGCGTTGTGCCGTTGCTTGTTCCGTTTGTTGCTGGCATATTTGCAATGATCGACTACTACTTGAGGAGAAGTAAGGAGGATGACGTTTGTGTTTACGATTGTTTTCTACGACGCGCTCATATATATACCACCGCGTCTCTCGGACGACTGTTTCCCTACAGTGGATATGGGACCCCTCATCCGTTCGTCGCGACTGATTCCCCGCTGTGGGGTGGTAGGAGCGCAGTGCTCCGAAACCCTCCCACTCCCGAGCGGAAAGTCACGTGTATTTTTCATGTGGCTTGTTTCTTCGGAGTGGAGTCGTCCGACAGCATCTACAGCAGGTTTTCATGATTCGTGACTTACCAAATGCATCGCAAACCCGAATCTCTAGTTTCGGAGCACTGTGGACCGACAAACAAAAGATGGGAGAGATACCTAGACTCGTCAGACCATGCATACGTTTGTGCCGCATTCCAGGCGAGTGGGACTGGATTTGGGCGGGGGTATTCGTTGGACGATGGGTCGGGGCTAACCGACTGTGGGGAGTCTGGGGTACGAACTCTCTCCTTGTTATTCCGCTATGAAGCGACAAGCGTTCCACGGCCTTGGACTATATAATCTTCTTGATGTCCTTGAGGACGTCGATCCTTTTCGTCTCTATTTTCAGACTCAAGTCAGACTCAAGTCACTCGTCGCATCTCTTAGGTCCAATTCTCTGGTTACGAACAGGCTTCAATTGCCTCCAACTTCAATACCTTTTACCTTCTACTTCACTGAATAACGGACTATTTCTCTCAACATGGTTGCTGGTGGAGTTGCCGTAGGTGGCGACCTGGACTTGTCTTATGGTCCTGCAGGTATGAGATTACATTCACCGACGGTGTTGATTATGTTCTTACTGCGCAACAGGCTACAAGGGACTCATCAAAGAGCCTTTCATCTTCTTCATATCATGCTTTGCCAGTATTGGCGGGGTGCTCTTTGGGTAAGTCGAGGCAGAGCGATTCCTTCCGACAATCAGCCTTAGCTAATGAGTCTCGCAGTTATGATCAGGGTGTCATCTCCGGAGTCTTGGTCATGAACAACTTCGTAAGCATACCGCTACTCTAATCCTCTAACCCTGTTTATACTTTGCAGGGCAAACACTTCCCACTCCTCGCCAACGACGCTACCCTTCAGGGCTGGATGGTCGCCGTCCTCACCCTTGGAGCCATGTTCGGAGCTTTCGCGAACGGACCGATTGCCGATCGTATCTCTCGTCGATGGGATCTTCTCCTTGCCAATGGTGTGTTCCTTGTGGGATCCGTGATTCAATGTGCTGCTGTGAACATACCCATGATCTTCATCGGACGATTCATCGCCGGTCTTGCGATCGGTCAATTGTCCATGGTTGTCCCTCTGTACTTAGGAGAACTCGCACCTCCTAATATCCGTGGGAGTCTGGTTGCTCTTCAACAACTTGGAATTACTGTCGGAATCATGATTGCCTTCTGGTATGCAGCTCTCCAACCTTCCACTATTGTTCATTGCTGACCCCCTCAGGCTCGACTACGGAACACAGCATATTGGTGGAACGGGCGACGGACAAAGTCAAGCGGCATGGAGGTTTCCACTTGCTCTGCAATGTTTGCCATCTGCCATTCTTGCAGCTGGAACATTCTTCCTCCCATACAGCCCTCGATGGCTCATGAGCAAAGGTATGCCCCTCGCTCCGCATTACCTTCACACAAACTAATCGGCCTACCCTTCCAGGCCGCGAAGAAGAAGTCATGGCAACACTCTGTCGCATCCGTCGAGTCCCTGCTTCCGACCCACGCCTCAAGCTTGAATTCCTCGATATCAAAGCAGCCTGCATCTTCGATCAAGAATCCGTAGCTGCACGCTTCCCTGGCATCAATTCTCGATTTACACTCGCCCTTAAGCAGTACCAAGAACTTTTCGTTGTCCGCCATCTTAATAGACGATTAGTAATTGCCTGTCTACTTCAGATTATCCAGCAAGTGAGTCAAAATCACTCTCGACATCAAAGACAATTGGGACCCGAGCATTCCGGACGCTCCTTCGGGAGCGCTCACCATAGCTCCTTGTTGTTTGGATGAGCCGTACTGATTTTCTTATAGTTTACCGGAATCAATGCCATTATCTATTATGCCCCGCAGATCTTCACCGCTATCGGGCTCACTGGTAACTCGGTTGATTTACTTGCCACAGGAGTAGTGGGTATCATCAACTTCTTTTCTACGATTCCAGCGATCATGTTCCTTGATAGATGGGGACGAAGAAAGGTTCTCATTATTGGGGCAATCAATATGAGTATCGGACACCTGATTGTTGGCACACTGTTCGCCATCTACCAACACAGCTGGGACGCCCATCGCAGTGCGGGTTGGGCTGCTGCTGTCTTTGTTTGGTTCTTCATCGCGAACTTCGCTTTCAGCATTGGTGAGCATCTTTTCCTGCTATTTGTAGTTCAAAGACTGATGGTTGGTACTAGGTTGCGTGAACTGGATCATGCCCTCAGAAATGTTTCCTCCAGGCGTAAGATCGAAGGCTGTCGGTGTCGCAATCTCAACTAATTGGCTCACGAACGTTCGTCTTTCTCTCTACTTTCCTCCCAGCGTTCTTAGTCTAACATTTGCCTAGTTCATCGTAGCCCTAATCACACCTCGTATGCTAAAGTCGATCACCTTCGGAACCTTCTATTTTTTCCTCGTCTTTTGCCTGATCCTAATCGTCTGGGTCTATTTCTGCGTTCCTGAGACTAAAGGATTGAGAATCGAAGAGATGGATCTTATTTTTGGCGGCAATCAGGGAGTAGAGGATGTGAGGAGAATTGAGGATATCAGGAGGAGATTGGGAATGACTGTTGTTGGTGACAGGGACACTGATGATTTCAAAGAGGAGGAGGTGGAGGGGAATAAAGGCATGGGCATGGAGGTTAGTCATCATGAGGCTTAGGCTGCGTGGGGGAGCCAAGAGAAGAGAGGGAAGCACGGGTCACGGATTCGGAGATTTATATTCGAGTAAGTAAATCACACATCATCAATCAATTGTATCCACACGTTTTTCCTCGTTTCAGACATGGATATTTTACCCTTCAGCGGATCAGCTCTTCCCCTTGCCACGGTAGCGAAGCCGCTGCGGCTAAACACCAGGTATTTGTCAAGCCCTTAATCTATCCCAGAACCATCTGATATCGAAACATGCCTTCATTGGACCGTAATTCAAGGTTCATCTAATGTTTGTTTACGGCGGTTCGGCAGTCAATCCTCCCGGCGTCGCTTTCCCCGCAGCCAAGACCCCTTTCTACGAATGTTGATTTAGGGGTCGTCTCTTTTTCTGTACTGTTTCTCCATATTCAATCGTCTGTCATCTCCACAATTCCACAAATCAAACGCCTAAGTCTAGCTATCACTCCGTCTAGTGGCTCTACACGGACGCAAGTGCCGTTCTATCCGTGGAGATATTACCTCCATTCCAAATCCAATCCATTGAGTTTCTCTACAGTATATTACACTTAGATAGCCTGCTCGCGAAACCAAACAGCCTGATGAGATCAGATAAGTTTGTCTTCCCCACATCCCCATCTGCAAACATACATAAATATTCCCTCATTCTACCTCCTCCCTCCTTTTCACATCGCCTTCAACGCCGCAACCATCACCATGCATATCTCAATTCTCTCCCTCGGCCTCTTGGCAACACAAGTTCTCGGCCACGGCTTAATCACCAAACCGTGGCCCCGCACTCCGGGCGCGCTCAGTCTCGCAGCATGTGGACCAACCGTCACGAATAATATTAAGGGCGATAATACGAGCCATGTTGAGGGATTGCCCGAGGCCGCGATGACGGATGCTAAGTACAATGCTGCGGAGTGCAATTTGTGGCTTTGTCGGGGTTTGCTTCTTCCCTCGAGTCCCAGAGACCAGTGTGCTAATGGAAAATCATAAGGTCTCCAACTCGAAGAGTCGGCTAAAGCAAACGTCATTGCATATACCCCAGGACAGAAAGTCAGCATGAGCGTCAAGATTTCAATCAAGCATCACGTATGTTCCCCATCCCTCCACCTCGCGAAAATAAGTACTGATAGAACTTGATGCAGGGAACGGCGAACGTCTCCATCATTTCAACGAAGACCAACAAGATCATCGGCGACGAGCTGCTTTACTGGGATAAATACGCCGATGAGAGATTGCCGGCCATGCCTGCCAATAACACGCAGTTTGATGTCGTGATCCCGACGACGCTGGGGAGTCAGTGTGCTAATGCCGGAGATTGTGTAAGTTCTCTGTTGGATTTTGGAGAGAGGATATCGGCTAATTGGTGTGGATAGGTGCTGCAGTGGTGGTGGTATGGGACGGCGGCTAGGCAGACGTATGAGTCTTGTGTTGATTTCACGGTGGCGCCGACCATGCCGATGCTGGAGAAGAGGTTTGAGGCGTAGGTTTGGTGTGGATGAGGAGAGAAGTTGTGGGTCGAAGGATGATAGTGGGAAAGTGTTTTGTAGATTTGCTGCGAAAGGTTATCTACAGCCATATGCTGTCTCAATCAACAATTCGGACTTCGTTTACCAAATCCGTGGAAGTCGCATGACCCACTCACCAGTCAACATAAATAATGCAGCTAACCAAGTTTTCATCTCATTTGATTTTACCCCTAAGTTCTATGTTTTGGCTCTTTCGTTTCACGGACGCCGAAGTCTAGAGAATGAAATTCCACCTCGGACTCGCAGCGCTCGTAAGAGGCCTCTACGAAACTTTATAACAGTAGAAGCAAGAAGGTAAGACTTTCAAATTGGAGAATAACGTCCGAGAGTGCCGATATTAAAGCTAGTTATCCGTAGAAAATTGGTAGTCGAAGTCAGTCACGTGAACATATATCTCAAAGAGACAAAGCGAACTCGACAGCGTCTGCTTGTTGAAATAATGTCTGATTAGAACCTAAGAAAAGCAATGACTATTGGCCGAACACAACATATCCGGAAAATCTCTTTCGTTATCATATCTAACTTTCTGACAGACAATTGTTATGCCTTTTTCTTCACCATCAACAATACCCCTCTCAAACTCGATTTGACCCATTCCTTTCCCTCTTCCACACCCGCTTCACGCTGGAACTTCTCGATCTCCTTCCTGAAAAGTTTAACAACATCCCCATCAGTCCCAACCTTGTCTGGATGGGCCTCTCTCCACCTCGTCACCGGACTAATCGTACTCATCATTTTCTCCCAAGTATCCAGACCAGTCGTCGTGTTAGTTCTCCAGAGAAACTCTTCGTCAGTCTCAGGATCCCACACCTTCCGGTAGAAAGTACTCTCGTCGAATTCCGCGACAGGAGAGGAGATCGTCCACGGTAGAGGAAGATCTACATATAATTCTCGTGCGATCTCATTCCCACGTGTCTGAAAAGGTTTCAACTCACGGATCCAGATGTCTTCCAACACAGGCTGGAGAATCTCTGCGGCGGGCATCGATGAGTGCATTTTAGCATCGCCAGCAGACCAGATGGCGACTGTACCGCCAGGCTTCAGAAGTCGGGCAGTTTGAGGCCAGAACTCATCCATGTTGAACCAGTGAGCTGCCGTGGCGGCCGTGATGAGGTCAATACTCTCTTCCTCGAGTGGGGGCGATAGCTTCGTTCCGAGATCTTCGGCCGTAGCGGTTTCGAATCGGATAGGGGTGGGTTCAGATGCGGTGCCGCCAAGGGAACGAGCAGTAGATATCATGCCTCCTGAGGGGTCGATGCCGATGGCTTGGACGAAATGAGGTGCGAGTGCTCGAACTGCTGTGCCGGGACCACAGCCGACGTCGAGGAGAGTGTTGAGCTTGCCGCCGGTAGAGGTGTGGTGCTCGATGATGGCTTTGAAGAGGCTTGGATTGTAGCTGCCGCGGGCTTGGGCGTATGCTTCTCCTTGTTTTGGAGTATAGGAGTTGAAGGTTTTCTCGGCAACAGGCACCGAAGCTGGTGCGGGGCTCGACATGGCGATGGCACCTTGCGTACGGCAATTGTAGTCTTCTATGCGATGAACCTAAACGTTGAATCCGATTGCGGAAGAAGATGAGTGATAAAATCAAAGGTTATGGGCGTTATGTGGTGTTGTCTTTGACTTGCGCTGCTTCGCAAACGGGAGTTGCAGTCGAAGATTGTCGAGGCTGAAGATTTAGCGAAAAGCCTCATTGGAATTCGCAGCTGCGCATTACAGTAGCCCTTCAAGCTGATTGGGAATTTCCTTTAATCCAGGGCTCAAACGGAAGCGGCCGATCTTCCACGTCCGTATCCCGATGACAAACGAGGCTGATCGGCTGACATCAAACTAAAACTATTCCCGTTCACAATCACCATAATACGGATAATGCGAAATTTCTCAGTGATCTAAATCATGTGCTGTCCCGGTGCCGCTTCTTTGCCGGCTGCTCAAACACTGATGGTTCCCCCACTGTGTGCTCTAGCAGCGAAAAGAACGTGTTAGTAGAGGGGGAAGGATTAGAACGCCCTTCTAGATGGACTCTACCAGGTACCAGGTTAGGATGATTATAGAGCCTCTGGATAACGGCTTTTTTTTTTTTTTTTTTTTTTGCAATGCTATTGTGTATGCTAATGATCAGTTTGCGCTTAAACTCGTAGAGTTTCTTCTGTTGTTAAAAGTTTAGATCGCATCAAGCAAAAGGAGTATGTTGAAGTAGTATAAAAGAGTGCTGTGTAGGAAGGATGGTTGGCACATATTGCATGAAATGCGTCTCATAAGTGGAAATCATGAACACTTATTCAGAATAACTCTAGCTTTGGGCAAACCAATAACAATTAAGAGGCGATTGATTGCATTTTCAGAAATTAAGCCTGGGAGGTGATCGGCCAGCTACCCATGATAAGATCGTATCTACTAGGGCGTGAGACTGAGGGGAATGCGAGGCACAAAAGTGCAACAAAGGAGCTTGACAATAAACAGTAGGAAAGCTAATGGAATTCTGGAAATATCTTGATTGAAATCAACGTATTTAATATACAGGTATTTAGTATCAAGATGGAGTTACCTTTCACCGGTGAGGAAAAGGCACCCATTGCTCAAACTCGCCTCTGCCGGCTCGTGTTTGGCATTGCTCCAATGTCAAGTCCGCGACGCGAAACTCCGCTTTCCCATCGGCCCCTCTCAAAACCTGGTCAGAATGTCGGATCAAATTCAAAGCCTCTTGCCTGATACTACCAGCTTGTTCCACCTTTTCCTGTGAGTAGAGAGCAGCGGACCAAGCCCACAGCGTTCGGATCAGTGGTCCATTGGGGATCTGGCCTTGTGCTTGTCGGAAACTTTGGGCCGCTAATTGGAAATAGGTCCTACGTGCACGAGAAAATTATTAGTAGCGTATTTTTGGGATCCATTCTGGGTTGTGCGGGAGACCCTCACGATGCTTCTTCGAGACAAGCCCTCATGATGAAAACCTCCCCAAGTTTGTGCAGCGTATAGCCCACAAGATAATGTGTGCCACTGTGCCGCTGGCGAAGATCCCAGCACTTTTGAAATGCGGCTTCTGCTAGGTACAAAGCTTCCGGATGATTGGCGTTGTATGTAGCAAGTTGAATTTTGCCCAGTGTGAAATAGACACTAAGTTCGTCAGCGGTCGACCTATCTGCTGGGTTGGGTTGGTCGATAGAGCACTTTCTGAACATACCGGGCTTTTTCCAAAGCATCCTTTTCGCCCTTTAAAGATATATGAACCTCGTCCAATGCTTCGAGCAAGCGGCTCTGAAGCAAAAGGCATAAGGCCAAATTGGCATGGTATTTGGGCTCTAGAAGCTGCATGACTTTGTCATCTCGATGTCTGTTGGCGTACGCGAGGCCCGCTTTCAGGAGATTAGTAGCTTCATCAGTTGAGTCCTCCATCATAATCAAAGCCACTGCGATGTTTGTGTCCGAATCGACCAGATCTCTGTTGGATGCATGCACTGATTCTCTCAACGACTTAGAAACCCTCATTTCATCCAGGGCAGTCTGATGTTGATTCCCTTCGTGCGCGAGAGTCGCTCTGATGGAGGAGGTCAGAGAGAAGATATGTGATTGACGTTGCGGAGACTTTCAGGTTCGGAGAGCGTTGCTGGATGCACTTCAGGAGATGAAGGGGTGTATCGATTATGTCCTGGGCTTCTAATAACCTTCCTTGCTCATATAGCATCCAGGCCCAGATTCGACCGATTTCGAGCAGGAGTGGATTGTCAGACAGTTTGCGATCCTCTGTTGACAGTTCATGGTCATTCTTCCATTGTTGTAAGAGATGTTGAATGTGAGGAAGCCACTGAGATACGCCTTTCCAATACTTGCTGAGCGGGATACCACCCTGTTGCTTGGGTGTGAGTTTGAATATCAACGTAATCGCCCATGACCAGATGTTGACCCGCTCTTCTACGCTCATACTCTCTAGAGCTTTATCTTGTACCACTGGATGAAGGCATAGACGATCGGATTTGAGAAATCCTTTTGTTTTAAAGATATCGACTGCAGTATCTAAACTTGGACTAAATCAGCTTGCTGTCTTTCAATAATTAGGTGAAACTTACTGTTGTCTCAGATCTTTCTCAGCCTGTTTCTCAACATACAACCAGCTGTTGCCGTCGCAGTCCCTGGTTTCGAGTTTTAGTGAGATTGAAATAAAAGCAAAGGTGAGCAGGACTTACACAAAGCTTGGAGTAGACGCTGTACCAAGTATGATTAGTGAGCTCGAGACACCCTGGCTGTCCAGGAACGAGAGAAGGCGCAGAAGATGCCGAGCGCATGAGTCCAGATCTTCAGTGCTATGCTTCAGCGAAGCCTCCGGGGAAGACAAGCTGATGATATCCATGATTTGCTTTCTATCGAGGCTACAATCTTCCAAGTCCCTTGCTGCAATGTGGCGAGCGACGATAGCCAGGAGAAGTGGGAGATTTTCGCACGAGGCTGATATTGATGAGATAGAAACCTTGGAAATCTCACGCGTGTACCCTTTAGCAGTTAAGATACCGCGGCAGAAAGACAAGCTTTCTGCGAGCGAGAAAGGTTTGATGTCAAGTGTTATTGTTGTCGTGCTCGGAGATCTTCCTAGGTGGAGGGTCTTGATGGTTGTTAGAATGAGGTGAATACGAGGAGAAAGTTCCGTATTCTCCTACTAAAGTTATCAATCTCTTCACCTTTGCGTAGCCAATTCTTTCAGGCGATCCGTGCGACGCCGTCTTGTGTTGATTCACCTTTCGAGATGAATTGAAGTGAAACGGCGTTCATGACGCACGACTCGTTGAATTTAGTTCTCGTGTGACTTTCAAACCATAGGATATGCTGATATGGCTTTCCCCCTCCATCATAGCAGAAGGATGAGGCTAGTTCAGTGCAGCCTACTGCGAGCATCTTACTTGAAATGATTGCCACACGCGCATTTTCATCAATTGAACTAGCGAGTAATTTATCGATCTGATGCAATTTGTCTTTGCGCTCAAAGAGAAGGTCGCAGATGGCTGGTGCAGTGTTGACAGCTTGTTGCGATCCTAGGTTGATATCGATTGCGCATAAGATACTGTGGATCTTTTCGGAAGCAGAACGCCAATTTGGGACCCGTGGTCCTGTAAATCTAGCCATATCTGTGTGGTTTGCGTCAAGAAAACTAGTGCTCATATTCAGAGTTCGATGCTTCGTAATGGATCCATCTACCACCTGTATCAGTGTGAGGATGATGCCTGGCTTTGAGAGATTGGAGAAGCTGTCACCCTCTTCCCAGCATGTTCAGCCTTCGATTCAATAAAGTCATGTTGTCTATAGCGATCTTGAAACTCGGAATACTGATTAAGATGCTGCTGCATAGCGGAATTGATTTTGAGGCCTTTGAAATATTCCACAGAGGCATTTCCCTGGACCAAAGAGGATAAGTTGGATGCTATGCTACCAACAACTGCCAGCTTTGAGCCAGAATGCGGGGTACCGAAGAGAACTACTGCCAGCGTGGACCGCTGGATATCAAAGTCTGGTGATGCGTCCCGAGAACTTCGAGAAAGCAAGAGGCAGGACTTGACTACTAATCCACCCATAGTATGGGCAATGAATAGTATGGACCGATTGTCTTCCTATGAAAGAGGATTGTCAGTAGCTTAATAGAAGCAAAAGCAAGGGAACTGGCCCTATCAAAAGATCGCTTACTCACAATACCTTTCCGACAATCTACAAGCTGGGTCAGAAGCTCGCTGGACACAGTGTAAATTGTCTGCTTGGCCGTTTTGCTCCAAATCCTTGCATTATAGCCAAATGACATTATGCGTGGACACATGTCTGTAGTTGAAATAGACGGCAAAAGATCCCGGATCCAACAGCATGGTTTTGCATCTTTAGCTGGCAGCTTGCTCCAGGTTGACAGAGCTCCGCCGTTGAGGCCATGTACAGCGATGATACTTCTATAGTCAGAGAACTATCTACACACTGAGTTCATCTGTGCAAGACTCACTCAATGTTGACTTTAGTCTCATCTCCAGAGTAGAGAATCTCTAAGCCCAAGGCGTCCTTTTGGGTGTATTCCGGAGGACCTGCAACAACACCACCCATTGGCTCTGTGCCTTGATCAAACCCGATGCGAGCTTTAGGTGCCAATGGTTCCCGCGGAAAAGGAGCGAGGAATTCTGTTCAATGACCTCCGGTATGTGAGAGACTGAGGCTCGTGTAGCAGAGAGAAGAAAAGAGATCCACTTGTGTAGAACGACTATGATTTGATTTGATGTAGTCTTGTACCGGAACCGAGCATCAGACCGCAGGGCTGTTGGGACTCAACCTTTGCTAGCATAATGGAAACATAGAGGAAAGTCAAAGAAGAAGAAAAAGGGTGACGGGCTAAAACTAGCCAAAAATGTACTTCATTTCATTACTGTTTAGCTCACATTGGTAGATAGAAGAAGGCTCAATGAGGTAGATGAAGTGGCCAACATTAATTGACTGGTTGAGGTGACTGATATTGTCGCGGGGGCTGATGTCGCTCCATCACATAAGTGGCCTCTCGAATCCTCAGATCCTTTACCTGGGACCGAGATGATCCATTCTGCACACCGGAACCGATTTCCTCAAATTTGCAAAGTCTATCCCAACAACGAATCAAGGCCAAGGACAACGAAGCAGACAATGGGTATACAACAACACGGCTTATGGTCTGATTCCTTATGCGCTAGAGGTTGCCTACTCGGAAGGGTATTCCGAGCTTCTAAAACAGACGATCCTCACTCCCTTGGGTCTAAGCAGCACTGCGGTCACTCGTGCAGAATGCGCGACTGACGATGACAACGTGGCTTTTCCGTATGTGCAGCTTTCCGACAAGTCTTTCTACCGCCTCCGCCACAACTTAACTGATGAAACACATCCCCATGTTCTCGGTGTCATGGGAATGCAAAGCTCTGTAGACGATCTATTGGTCTGGACAAAGGCAGTGATGAGAGAAGATATGGAAGCGGAGCAATGTCCTGACCAAGTTTACAATCATCCTTCCATCTTGAGAGGCGCCACTGTGGCGAGACTGCCATTCTTTCAGACATGGAGCAGGGACGATGTCAACAGTTGGGCATACTGCATGGGTTGGACGAAGACAAAGATGCCAACATCAAGGTTTGGAGCTCTTTCATACAATTTTGCAGCACAGGATCATCGATTTGCTCAGCCGGAGAAGTACATCATCGGGGGGAACGATACTACCAACAGAACCATCCTTCAATGCAACGGCACAGTAAATGGGTCAAATTGCGGACTTTACACTTTCCCGGAGACAGAGAGTGCTATTATGGTTTGTTGTAATGGCCTTACAAATGGCGACGCTGCTGATTGGGCTGCTCGTATCTTAACTCAAGCTTTGTTCAACCTGCAGCCTCGCATAGATTTCCTCGAACTAGCAAGAATTGAAGCCGATGCGCGGAACGCACATTACCAGGCTATGTTGACAGAATGGCACAGCAATTATGACCCAGTTCCTCAAAGTGTCGCTGATGTTTTGAGGTTCGTCGGCATCTACAATGGAATGGCAACAAGTTTGACCATCACATCTCGAACCAAAACATACGATGCCGACCCCGCTAGTCTTAGTAGCCCTGCTAGCGACAGCGACCGCTCCTCCCTAGGACTTCATGTTGTTTTTAATGACATCTAGCTGTCGAAGCGGGATTTGACTTTCTACCGACCAGATACATGGAGCTTCTTCCCGCCATCTCGAGACGCGTGGCTACAGGATCAAATGCTCGACTGGGATTTTACCGGCTCCGGGCTCTTTTGCTTCTTCGGCGACAATGAGCAAATATTGGGCCTTACATGGAAATGGGATGAGAATGAGCCTCCGACGACGTTTCTGAGGCGTAGAAGTTAGGTCGTATGTGAGCGAGAGCATACTTTCTTCTCCCCTCCTCTCTGCTCCGCTTGTCCTGCAAACATACCGAGCAGTACATAGTCAATGCTTCTTAGCTCAAAGCTCTACGCGTACTAGTTAAATGAGAAAAAAATCTTTTGAAGAGTGCCTTGATCAGATGTAGGAGCACAATCAGTGACCCCGACGACGGAATATTCAATACCCGGCACGTTGGTTGCCTCACCGATCCCTCCGCATCTCCATCCCAAGTGACGTTTCCGAGCCGACAGTCTCCATATCAGATTCCGTGTTCCCCTCGCTCATGCCGACATTCTGCAGACTCTCCGCCTGCGAAAGGAGGACGAGGACGAAAACCCAACGCCTGTACTTGGAGAAGATGATCCAACCGAAAAAAGCACGCGCGGACTCTCGAATGTCCGCTAATTTCGATGCAGCAAAACGCTCATGGTAAGCGTGGTCGTCCCACCATATGCATTCCTGCACTATGGCGATAGAGAGGACCAAGAGCCAGATCCGCCCCTGTAATAGATTGGAGTTACATTAACTATCCAACTGGGTGCACAATTAAAGCATTAGCTATGAAATACCCAATCCATTTTCATATTAATACCTCCAAGAAGTGCAAAGGCAACTATCGTATGCTCATATTTGATGGCCATGGGTCCCACGTCAGCGACGAATTCCTATTCTACTGTTGGGAGCACAGAATCTTCCCATTTCAGCTCCCTCCTCACAGTACCCATCTCCTTCAACCTCTGGATATTGGTATGGTTCTGATGCACCCCGTTCATCGGAATCCAATTCCATGGAATTTTACCCAATCCATGGAATCCTTAGAATTTCATCGGGCTTTTTCCATAGAATTCGAGTACTATTATTTCCTTTTAAACATTCGCAACCAAATAAAATTTGCCTATAAATAAAAAACATATTTAAATTTACATAAGAGGTTCGCATACTAAAACATTATTCAAAATCTATAAAGCATTTCTAGTTTAATAAAATCTAAACTACTAATCAATAAATTATCCTTTAATACTAAAACCTTGCGATATACATTATCACATTACTAAACTCTCTTTCACTTAATAGAATATCTATAATCTCCTAAATCCTTCTTAATTTAATACTTAGTAATTAATTATTAAATAATAAACTTAAATTTATTGCAATAAATTATTATTTAACCTTATATTCGTTAAGGAAAAAAAATTTCAAAAAAAGGGTAGCAATACCGAATCGGGAAAAATAAAGGGATTCGACACTTTTTAGCCCATAAAAATTCCATAGAAAAAGCCCGATAAATCTCTTTAAATTTCATGGAAATGGAAGGATTCCATGGAATTGGAAAGAATTCCGATGAAAATCGGTATCCGATGAACGGGGTGCAACAGTTCAACCATTGAAGCACACCAAGATTGACTTCTTGAAAGCGTACGAGAGTATCCGCAAAAGCACCTTTACGTCCCGAATCATCCTCTCTTCTCGGCGTAAAGCAGGGTTGCATCCTTTCAAACCAGATGTTGTATACGAAAAGCTGAATATCTTCCATCAGAGCGAAGGTTCCCGTGCAATAGTGCCTGAGGATATTTGTCCTATTACTCCCAAACCGTTTTAGAACCCTCCGACTACTCCCAACAGCGCCGCCCACCTCAAATACCTTGATCAACGTCTCGCGGACGCGGAGCTTCCTGGTAACGATCTTTAGCGACTTAAAGTCTGGAGCGCCCGCTTCCGAGACCTTAGCCTCTTCATGGACATGATATTTTCTTCGATCATTCCTTCAGACAAACACATTAACTTTTGCGACAAAACATGACTGTTGAAGCTCACCCTGTCGCCATGCAAGATGCATAAAGCTTTACGGAAGATTCTAAGCAGACTTCTGCTCTTCTTTCTCAGCCTGTTGACAACCTTTTATCTTGCTAGGATATCACTATCAGGATTCGAAGACCGCAAATCTAAGCCCGGGGAGTATGGAGGTACTTCCACAGCTCATTCTTCCAAGCTGAACCCATTCTATGGTGTCAAAGCCTGGGATCATGACACTAGTATGTTCCCTCCAAAACTAGGCAGATTCGTGAAAATTCGAATAGCAAGAACTGAAATGATCGTTTTCTTTAGTACTTGGCATCGAGCTTGGAAGAACATTTTCCCGTGCTGGAGTTTACAGAGACAATGTCTTTGAGATTATTGCTGACGAGGAAGGCCGCACCTTCGTGCCGTCTTACGTTACATTCGTCCAAGATGGATCCCCTTTGATTGGATATTTCGCCATGGAGAAATCCGCAGATCATAGAGAAAATACGATCTATGATATCAGGTCAGTGCTGCTTTGATATTAGCAGTCGATTAGCTGCTGACTTGCCTTCGTAGCCTTCTGCTGGGTCAGCAACTACCAGATTCAGATTTAGAAAAAATCATTAGTGGTCTTCCATATACCATTATCGAGAAAGACGAAAAACTTATGATCAAAGGGATACTGGGAGGCCAAGACCACTACTTCGAACCTGAAGAGATTGCAGGGTTGATTATCGGGAAGCTGAAAAACATGGCGGAAGCTCATCTTGGATGCTCTATTGGGCTGGCTCTATTTACGGTTCCCTCGGAGTTCAACGACATTCAGCGACGAGCCGTCAAAGATGCTGCAGACTTTGCAGGAATAGAACTAGTGAAAACGATCAATGAGTCAATAGCTACAGGTCTAGGAGACGGATTGGATTTTCCAGTCTACGCATACAACCCTACCCACGTTCCAGAACACTACATATTCTACCATCTTGATGACAAAGACTCGAGCCTGGCACTAATTTCTGTGAACATGGGTATTCTCAAGGAAATCGCGGTAGTTAGAAGTGCGAGTGTGAGTGGGATGCTCGTAGAGGAACATTCCTCCTATAGCAAGATTTTCCCGGAAAAGGCTGTTGGGTTAGTGCGAGACCTTCTGCAACAAGCCAATATCAACATCACTCAGATTGACAGCCTAATATTCGCTGGTAATTCTGCCACGGTAGCACCCGTCGAAGAGGCTATCGAGTTATTCCTCGGCAAAAAGGCACGTTCCACAGAGAATACTTGGAAAATCCCAGTGATAGCCGAAGACGCGATCTTACGTGGAGTCTCAATTCAAGCTTCTTTGCAGAAAGAGTCTGGAGCCAATGCTGGATTCTACTGGGATAATTGGGTTGCCGTCGACCTCGGTGTTGAAATGAACCAAGGGGTTTTCGCAACAGTTCTGAGAAGAGGTGGCTACAGGAATCGTGCTACAGGAACCTTCGTAATAACAGTGGACAATCAGGAGAAAGTGTTGATCAAGGTCTATGAAGGTTGTAGGAAAATGGCCAAGGAGAACGAGCTTCTTGGTACTGTGGAGATTCTAGGCCTCCCATTCCAGCCGAGAGGTGAGTTGGAGATCGACCTCACCTTCATGGTGGATTCGGGATCCTTCTTAACGGTGATTGCGAAAGAAAAGGAGACTGGAAGGGAGGGAAGCTTAGAAGTCGCCTTGCCTTCCCGAGAATACACCCAGGATGATATCCACAAGATGATTCAGGAAGGAGAGCTTCACACGAGAGAGGATTTGCTATTCGTTCGCGCCATCGATTACGGAACAAATGTTCACGGAGAATATGAGGGCGGTGTGATGCCGAAAGGCGGTAAGCTCATTGGAGTAGACTTGATGGATTCACTTCTTGATGAAGAAATCGCCAGTTTGGGATTGTGAGGATTAAATATGGATTCGGACCCGTTGGAGAGGTTTATTTTCAAGACTTATAACATACATTTGTAATTAGACTTGGAAATGTAATCAGTCTTTACATAATCTCCGAAACTGCATAGAACGTCTACATCTGCATGATTCACACTCATCATAGATCCTACACTGGTCATTGTCCCTGCAGGTAAGCAGGTAGGGCAAGCAGATCCACCGAGTCTAATGAGAGCCGCAGACTGGATTCATCCTCGATGTCTCTTCTAGACGCTTTGTTGTGTCAGGTACCCGTAGTTGGCGTCCGGCGCTAGCATTCGCTAACCCTCGCTTAGCTCGCTACCCCCTTTTTTCGACCTCGCGACAAAATTCATTTGTTACTCAGAGACCATTGCTGTAAATATAAAGCAAGAATATGCTGGATAATATTTTAATGACTTTCTAGTATTGTCATGTTGCGATAGTGATAACCTTGAATTGTAATGTGCACTGAGCTCTGCACCTAGAAGCGGGATCTCGGCTGGCTAGCATCTAGGTCCCAAAGAATCAATATCGACAAAACACCGAAGATTATTATGATATGAACCAATCTGGTGTCATTCACTTATCTTAGTATTCGAGCCAGGCAGACACACCGCACACAGCTTTTTACCTTTTCCCAAATCCTTCTCCCTCTTTTCCTCCTTACCCACGAACATATTCACCGAACAACACACAAAATCACCAATCAAAACCTTGATACTTCTTCAGCTCAGTCATACAGACCTCCATGCCATACCTAGTCTCCCAACTCTATCTTTGCTGAGGAGAACGAAGTTTGAGCAGATAATTTCTCGCACAAGTCAACCATCAGCACTCATCAAGAGCTCAGGAGAATCAATAGGAGCAGAGAGGGCCGTGGACATCTCGATCTCGCTCACAAAAGAACTCTTCCACAAATCGTCCAACATCTTCAAAGTCCGAAAACGGGACGATCACCAGCACTGCAATATCTCAACTTTCTGAACTTCGACAGTCAGCAGACGCCGGACAGAGCTATCGAGCAATCACCACCGAATCCTTGAGCGCCATCATCAATAAAGGCACTATGAAACGAGATCTCGATTCCGTTTCGTTCTTAGACAATGAGCTTCTACCCTCGCATGAGATGCGTGTGGCAGGAGAGGAGCCAGCAATGAAAAAGCGGAAGGAGGAGGAACTTGAAAGGAGTCTGGAACAAGAGTTCGAGCTCCTTGTAAGTATATCGCGTAGTAATCTCGTCAATATCGAGCTAACAACGTCCCAGTTCAAAGAGAGCGATGAAAGCGCCGCCAAAGTCGCAGCCTCAATGACGAATTCGATTCCAAAGGTCAAACTGAACTTGATCTTGAAGAAACCTCAAACCCACGTTGTAAGTTCTAATCAAGTCCGGACAATAGTTTTCGCGAAGCTAATGTTATCTAGGCGCAAGAAGAAGCATCGGCTTGTGAAAGCCCAAGGATTACTGTCGCAAATCATCAACACCAGAACAACAACTTTATCGAAAACGACGATTCGGACTCCGAGTCTGATGCTGACGATATGGACGAAGATGTGAGTTCAATTCAATCTTACCACTAGTTATTATTGCTAACAAACAACAGGTTACCGATCCTCGCCTCGTGGCCAGAACTATCTACGACCCTATCACCGGTCTCAAAACCAGAATCCATTGGGACCATCGTGTTCGTACAGCGCGAGCCAAAGAGATCGAGGCCTTGTTTGACGAACAGCGAGTTGATCCAAAGAAAGCTGCAGAAGTTCATTGGACTTTGCGATCGCAGCAGAATATCTATCTGATCTTGCTGGACGAGGAGAAGGGGCATCATATGAAAGATGATTACCTCACGCGGAAGGTATTCCTCTGGGTCAGGGATCGTCATCGATATCAGAGCTAACATGTAGAATAGTATTGGAAAGTCTTGAGACGAGTCTTTCCGCATGGTGTCTACCGTCCGGAGGACAACCATGAAGAAGACTTGTGGCATATCTATTCCCTGTACGGAGCTCGGATACCCTTCATCCTGCTGGATCTCGATTTCATGCCCGGAGTCGCCCTCGAAAAAATTCAGCAGTCGATGACGCTCCATTTCGATCCCACTAACATGCCAAAGCTCTTCGACGCTAGTCAACTTCCGTCTTTCTTCGAATGCAAAGAGCTTCCAGTCACAATTGTTCCTTACCAATCCAAGGTCTTCGATGACATGCACAAAGAATGGAAGAAGGATTTCACTCACGTGCCCCGACAAACCTTTACCGAGGAAGAGAAAGAGAAGATGAGGAACATCCTCAAAGAATGGAAAACTCACCGGGAGCATTGTGGACTGGGTGTCTCCACCTTGTGGACCAAAAACACCTCGTGGGCTTACCTCCACGGATGTCACAACAGAGATCTGCGAGAAGGAGAACAACTGCCCATATTTGGAAAGCTGGATTGGAATGCAGAGGATGGATCGAAGGCTCGAGAAGAAGAGGGCATCGGTCCCACTGGCGAAAGTTCTCTAGACTCAGGATATGCAAGTAGCAACACCAGCTTCGATGGTAAGTCTCCCTCCGTCGAATCAAATTTGGAATTGATTTGCTGACAGACTCAGGGCCATATATCACCTCACTAGAACGCCAATCTAGTGGGTGTGGCACACTATCATTGGTATCTGAAGAGGACTCTTACGAATTGATCGACGACGAGGAGGAGGAGTCTCAACCACTTGCAAAGAAATCGATGTGGGACTGATGGATGGGGAGAATGCGTAATTTTTATGGCGCAAGATGATACGGTGTTAATTCTTATTGGCGATCGATCGACTTTCTTTGTTGATCTGTTTTAGATGACTTGGGGATGTAGAGGAGCAATGGGGACATGGACTAGGTGGCAGGCACTCTTTTGTCCTGTCCGCCGGTAATTGCGGTCAGGTTTTAATGAGGCCTGGAATGGAATTTGACAAAAGAATTGCTATTGGTGATTTAAGCGCCAGTCAATGACGCAACAGCTTCACAGTAGGTGCAGCTTGTGCAATGAAGACCATTGTAACTGCATTTTGTCAAAAGGTAACAGCAGACATTGGTCCACCATTCTTCCATTCCATGGTTGCTGAACCTGTACAATGATCCTGGACCGCAAGGGACATAGTCCATTGGACCCACAATGTGATGCGTAGACACTGAAGAAGCCCACTGACCTCAAGATTACATTGATCGAGAATGCCACGTTCGGCGATTCAGATGCTGCGCCTAGATATACACTGAAGACATGTAAGGATACGACAAGACCTTGAAGCACCTTTCGCATTGGTTAACCAAGCTCTACAGTATTACGCTGAGATCTGTGCGTGAGCACTATCTTCATGGCAACTTCCCTTGACCATATAACTCGAGCCATCCCAAGCTTCATGCAAACATAATAGTAGAAATCAGGCAATTCTCACTGGGTTGGGCTCCGTAGATCAGGACTTAGATGACACCATCTACTCTTTCCACGATTGGAGCTTTACTGACTGCTTTGGCTGCGACTGTTCATGAAAACGTCCAAGGCACCGCCTTTCAAGGGCCTTGAATGAAAGGCTTAAATTGCGGGTATTGAAGCTTAATCTTTGTGTGCTTGTCCGGAATTATTCTTGCTTGGAATGGACCAGAGTATCAAATAACAGGAGCAAAGTATAATCATCAATTGTGTTGCCTTGGAGGCTTTTCGATCATCCGAAAACTGATCGAGTTTGATCTTCGATAAGCGAGCCTTCGAATTGGTCAAAGTTGGTCTCACCATATATATGATCTGAAATCTGGGGAAAGCCCCACCTCAGCTCTGCTTCGATTTGGAACACACTAAACGTTTTCCCGAGTCAATGCATAAGATGCTTTCTGGTCAAGTCTCATCCCACAAACACCTCTTTCGGTGACTCGCTAATTCAGCCGTCTGAACTAACGACCCTGACATCTCATGCTTACCACAGCATCATTCTGGATCTTTCTCAAACAGCACAGTGCACAGAGAAATAATTACCGAGTCGTGAAACCGAAGCGAGATTTAATCCACTTCATGTAGAAAACAGGGTTAAGGCACTGGAATTTCATGTCACCGTGAATGGATGCCGTCGACTTTCCACTGAGTATGTTGCACACATCCCAGTATATCCAAGCCACACACTCTCATGTTCCAGCTTAGGTACAATATAACTTGAAGCGGGGAAATTCCACTCTTTCTGAATTCTTTCATGTGCAATTCATACTCAAGAGAAGACGTTCAACCGAATCATATGCCAACGACGTCCCAGAAATAACGATGATTGAGAGCCAGGCGAGTGGCTTTGCCCAAGACGTGCGCATTATTCATCAAGCCGCTTCACGGCGAACGTTCTTGATAGCGGCCCTTCGAGGTAGTCAGCTGGTACGCAGAACCTTGGGCCATTCTTGTAAGCATCAAATCATTGGTTACTTTTAGGTCGTAGAGTTCGTCGTCCTTCTACTCACAGGATATAGGGCGTCTGCATTTCAAGGCGACTGGGTAGGTCGGCAATCGTATAACTTCCTTGATTACCGTGCTGATACTTATGCCTTAGTACCACACCTTGAGTTCAGAATCGCACATGTTACATGACCGGAATCTCGACACCTCCCAACCATCCAACAGAGGAAGAGCTCAGCGCACTACGAAATTCGATGCTTGGAAAGCTCTTTTCTCGGCTAATGTGTTCAAACGCTTCAACACAATTGGTGTTTGGATTATGATTTTTCAACAATGCACAGGTGAGTCCTCGGATTGTAATTTGAAATCTTAAGATGCTAATTGTTTCTCTAGGTATCAACGCTGTTTTCTACTACGCTCCTCAAATCCTCTATACATTCGGCTTCACATCCGTAACCACCGATCTTCTTGCCACAGGTGTGACGGGCGTCCTGCAGACATATTCGCCCTCCCAGCAGTCCTTCCCCTTGACAACTACGGCCGCAAAACATTCCTCATCACAGGAGCAGTAGCAATATGTATCCGTCACGTCATTATCGCTGCCATCGACGGCACATTTGAGAATTCCTGGCCAACACATATGTCTGCAGGCTAGGCATCAGTCGCCTTCATCTGGCTCTTCGCCGTCGACTTCGCCTATTCATGGGGTTCTGTGGTATGGGCAATCACACAAGAATATTTCCTAACAGTATGCGCTAAAGAGGAGTCTCAATAGTAGCTTCTACGAACTGGATGTTTAATTTCCTCATTGGATTGACGGTGAAAGATATGCTCGCTAGTATGAAATGCGGGACGTATATTTTCTTTGTGGCGTTTTGTGGGATAGGAGGGGTGTTTGTCTGGATCGTGGTGCCGGAAACGAAGAATAAGACGTTGGAGGAATTGGATGTTTTCTTTAGAGGTGATAAGGAGGGGATTGCGGTGAAGGATAGAGAGAGTATGAGAGCTGTCAAGGCTAAGGTTGGACTGGCAGGGGTGGAGAATTTGGAGGATTTGAAGGGTGGTGATGAGAAGGCTGCTGAGCATCAGGAGATGATTGTGTAAATTGCTTGTCGAAGACTGAAACGAAAAAGGTATGAGACTTGGATTTTTTGGAGTCAAACAATGTCTTCATGATGTTTGTCTTTTCGTGTTTTTCTGGTTTCATCATTTTCATTGTTCAAGTTCTATGAATAGAGCGTGTGGGTCAGTTTTCGCATGTCTTAACCTTTCTTTGTTCACCAATCCATCTATGGACGTGAGGATGGCCCAGATCAAAGAGCATTTCGAGTCAATACTTCACGTTCCATTGTCAAACATCTTCCTCGTCGCGAATCTTTTACGAGGCCTAATCAACGATTGGCATAAAGAGCAACATGGCCCAATTTCCGCTCTCAATCTATCCATCATTCCATCATCATATTATACACCAGACCTTATACTTCCTTCAGCAATCAACAATGCAGCGATTTATCCCTCCCGAGTCGCAATCCTGGGATTGCGAACATACAAATCCCTCTTACCTTCAACAATGTCGAACTTGCGGAAGCGCATTGTTACCAACAATACACGGGAATGGCAACGTAATCAAATGGACCATTATCTCATTTGTTTCCATCGGCTCAACTTCTCAGAACAGATATTCGAATCGCTATCTTTTTGATGGTGCATTGGATCTATTTGATAGCACGAATAATGTTGCCATCATTCTACAAAGGGATGGTGTTAAGCATTTGTTAGCTAGGTATTCGGAAAACCAAGCTCTTTATACTAGGCAAACGGAGACATCTACTCGGACTGTAGTGTGGAATAGAGAGGACATAGCGTATCACAACAGGATTCGTCGGGTTGCGGATCAGGTTTTGCGTGGTTCTAATAGTAAGCCGAATATTTCTAGTTGTTTTCAATGATTCTAATGTCAATTGGTGTAGGAACTTCGTCATTCTTTATTCCTTTGGACTTTTGTCAACAAAAGTGGTTTATCACGTGTGTGTCACGAGCCTTAAGGTGGGGAGCCAAGCTGGTAGCGCATCGGGTAGGTGCGCTGCGGGTATACAAGAAGTAACGAACATGGGGACAAAAGTCCGTGCGTTCAGGGCATCAGAATCATGAATTTTATTAATTAATTAGCTGTAGACCAGCCACATCGCTTAATTAAGTCGTGTACCCAGAAGTCCTGCTGCTCAATAAGCCCATTGATCCATTCCTGAGGAATTTTGTCCCATTCTTCTAATACTGCTACAACCATTTGAACCTCAGTTGTTGGCTGCCTTAGGCGCCTATGGAGAGCTTGTTTTATTCTCCTCCAGCACTTCTCAATAGGATTCATATCAGGGCTAACTGCAGGATGGGGGAATAGAGTAATACCCATAGAAGTACGCCAAGTAGCACAAATATTGCTAGTAGTCTTGTGGCCGT